AGAATTGCAGAAGTCATTGGCAAAGGGGCATATACGTTGGAAACCATGGCGGGAAAGTTGGTCAGCAAGCCCTGGAACGCCACGTCTCTGAAGAGGTACTACCAATAGAGGCTAAGTTCTGGCTTTAATTGGATGTTATTTGTTGTCAATCAAATACGTATGAATGAGCAAGTTACTGGAATTTACAAAAAAAAAAAGAATTTTCTTTTCCAATGGTCTACTATAAAAATTCAAAGCCAAGTGGCAAGTGGCATTCTAGCCGAGCGCCAGGCACTTAAGCAAGACAAGTGGCAGCTGGCACTATAAGCCGAACGCCAGACACTTGCTAAAAATCTAAAGCCAAGTGGCAAATGGCATTCTAGCCGAGCGCCAGGCACTTGAGCAAGGCAAGTGGCAGCTGGCACAATAAGCCGAACGCCAGACACTTGCTAAAAATTTAAAGCCAAGTGGCAAGTGGCATTCTAGCCGAGCGCCAGGCACTTAAGCAAGATAAGTGGCAGCTGGCACTATAAGCCGAACGCCAGACACTTGCTAAAAATTTAAAGCCAAGTGGCAAGTGGCATTCTAGCCGAGCGCCAGGCACTTAAGCAAGACAAGTGGCAGCTGGCACTATAAGCCGAACGCCAGACACTTGCTAAAAATTTAAAGCCAAGTGGCAAGTGGCATTCTAGCCGAGCGCCAGGCACTTGCCGTACAAACACACAGCGAAGCTAATATAAAAAGAAAAAGAGAGAAAAGATATGTATATACTGAAGATAAGTTGAACAGAGCACAACACATAGAGAAAAAGAGTTCGGCCATTTCATTAATATTGAACATTTAGTTTACAAAAGAGAGATGTCCATCATTACAAGAAGATATGAACTAGAAGAATTCGAAGGAGCCCTAGCTAGACGCCTCAGTACCAACAGCATCTTAGTCTTGCCGACTCGCCTCCTCGGCCCCATCAGCCGCCTCACCTTCATGAGGTGGGGAATCCAGGTGAATAACTGAGTCGTTCGGCTGGGGTTCAGCGTCAGCAGTGGCTACAGAGGGAGCCACGGCTGACGATTGGGGAGCGGTCAGTGGCAGAGCGGCAGGAGGAGCTGTGATGATCCTTGAGGATGCGATGTCCTGGCACTCATCAAATATACGTTCCGCTTCGGTAGGTTCTGGGTCGACATAGACCCCCAGAGGTTCGATCCCCAGATCCTTGTCTACCTCATCCGGAGTGGAGCTGGTCTGTCCCTCATCCGGAACCCGGTCGGCGAAACCTTCCCGGAATCCTTGAGCATACCGAAGAGCACCGACCCTGGAGAACCGAGCGTGAAGGGCCAGCATCCCACCACCCACTCTGCTGATAGCGTCGATCAGAGCGGTACGCTCGTCCAGAGCTCTTTTTTCAAAAGCCATCCGAGCAGACTGTTCATCAGCTAGAAGGCGTTGGAGTTCTGCCTTCTCTTCTCTGAGTGATTCCTGCTCAGTCTGCCAGACGCTCTTCTCAAGCTGGAGGGCGTCCTTCTCATCCTGAAGGGAATCATTCTCCTTTTTCAGGACATCTCTCTCTTGCTCGGCTTTGTCAAGCCGAACCAGCACCTCGGTATTCTTCATGGCAAGGAGGTCGTTTTCTTTATTAGCCACCTCCAGGCTGTCAGAATACTTTCGGGCCCTGGCGTTCCCCATCTCCACCTGCTTCTGCATGGCCATCATCCCGAACAATGTCTGCATAGGCGCACAATAAGAACGGTTAAACCAATAGTCAGAACGGGCGAAGGCAAGACCAAGTAATATAAGAGAATTCATGAGTTAGAAAATAAAAGTCACCTCCATAGCAGATTGGGGGAAGCGACTGAACACGTCCTTCTGGGAAAGGCCCTTTGCCGCCTCAATGTCCTTCGGAGTCCACATGCTCCTGTAGTAGGCCATAGCGGTCTGGCCATCCTTCAGCATGGTCTCGTTCGGTTTCACGAACGTCCCATCCGTTCGGGTGTACCGAGGGGCCCATGGCGGTAAGCTGGGGATAGAAGGGGGGCCTGAAGCAGAGGCAGAGCCACCAGCTGCAGGAGGCCCAGAGGGAGAAGGAGCTCTGATCGCTCGGTGCAAGAGAGTACCCGGCCCAGAGACTCGGGTCCTTCTAATAAGAGGCTCCTCCTCAGGATCGATTTCACTGTCAGGATGAGGCCTTTTGCCTCGCTCTTTGTCCCGACCGCCCCCCGCAGCAGCAGGAGCTATGGTAGCTGGGGAGGGCGCGTTCTGGTTGGCAGCAGGGGCGCTGGCAACAGGGTTAGTGGCCACTGCGCTCGGGACAGTGTCAGATATGGTGGCTGAAGAAGAAGCCGACGCTGGAGAGGAGGTCGCCCCAGCAGCAGGAGTGGCTGGGGGAGTATTTTTCCTCCTGCCAAAAGAGGGAATCTGCAGTCTGCTCATATTGTAGCCGAGTGATGAGAGCGCAAAGAGGTTATCTGAAGTGAGGAGATCTGAGCAGGAAGGAATATCGTTCAGAACGTATCTCTTCAAGTAGTTACTCCTATCCCTGCAAACACTATAGCTCAAATCATCACAAGGTATTCCCAAGGAGCGGCATAAGTAAGTGCAAAAACGAGGAACGCATGTTTCACAGGGGCAGTCATGTTTATGGGATTTGAATTTTTTATAGGAGGAGACAGAGCAGACACCAAAGGCGCTCGGGATTGGGTAATCCTCTGCAGCCGGCGAAGACCAAGCCCCACTAATGCCCACTATGCTATCCCTCCAACCCTTTTCAGATTTTATTGTGTCAGTGCATATGGACATCTTCTCGAACGGGTAGAGGTGGTAGAAGGGCTCGTTAGTACGGATCTTACTGACCTTATAGCACAGAAGGAGGTCTATGAGGTCAAGGTCCAGATTTCTGTCACGCATCAATAAGAGCATAACAGATATGATCCTAAAGAAGTTGGGGTTGACCTGCAGAGGGGATATCCCCAATCTATTGAAGACATAACTAAAGAAAGGGTGCAAAGGGAACCTAACAACATTCAGTTGAAGGTTCGTGAATAAGACTTCGCCGGGCAGGAGGCCGGCGCCGGTCGTAATATTAACGTCTTGGGGGCAAACCCTAACTTCGATGTTGTCAGGAAGTCTAAGTCTCATACGAAGAACACCCAGATCTACAACCATGGTGGAAGTGCTAGAAGAATCTAAAAGAGGGAAAATGGAAGCCTGCCGAAAGTAAAAAGAACGAAACTAACCTCGGAGGACTGCAAGATCGCTGGGAGAATGACTCTCGAAGGATTTCACCGGAAAAGGCTTAGCACAGTTCTAGAAAGAGGGAGATTTGACTGATGATGGAGACGGTAAAGGGAAGTGAAGTGGAATTCTAGAGCATTATAAAGGCAAGGGGGCCCGAGGGCCGAAGCGTCGGGAAGGCAAGAAATCCCTCGAGCCCCGGAACATTGATTCTGGATCTGACCGTTCGCTCCCCACGTGGTTATCTCGAGCCGTCAGCGTCATGATGAGACGCCATCAATAATTACCCCTTATTAAATAAGGGGCAATTATGGGGGCAGTTGAGGAGGCCCCGGATGACATGGGCCAGGTCCGACTCGCAAAACACAACCTTCAGTCCGAACAGCTGGGTCAGCCCATAGAAAGACACTGCCATATGGGCCGAGCGGGAGTAAGCCCATCAAGGGTGACCAGGGCTTACAGAGGAATAGGCCCAGGTCCAGCAATTAGTAAATATCTTGTAAATATCTTGTAAATATCTTGTAAGTGTCTATAAATAGGAGTTGGAATGAAGAGGAGAGGGATCTTTCCGGGTTGAGGTGTAAGAATTCTAGAGAGAGAAAGAATAGAAGGAGTTTCTTGCATCTTCACTGGTAAATATGTTTTCCTCAATCTTGGGTGAGCATCAGCTACTGAGTTTAAGATGGGTTTGGTTCTGGCAGCCCCTAAAACAAACTATGGAAAAAGATGGGAACTTAATAGAACTTGCCTTCCTACCAATTAAAATTGGAGAGAGAAACAGAGGTTTGGGGATAGGAAGGGAATGGATAATGATTGGGGGATTGTTAAGAGTTTTGCAGCTTTAGTTGAGGTGAGTCAGGTGACCATAAGTCTTTCTTCCACATTCAAATTTATGGTCCATTTTAATTCCCACTTTTTGATTGAGAAAAATAGGACCACCAAGTCATCAATGAGAAGATGAAAAAAACTCTTCCATTCTCTCTCTCTCTCTCTTTTTTATTTATTTTTATTTTTTTATTTTTTATTTTGGGTAAATTTCTTTGGAATACGGTGAATGAAAGGAAAATAAATTGTGTATTAGATTAGCATGAATATTTTTTTTTTAATAAAATTATAAGAAATATTACTACGGGAATAATATGAAATTTATCATAAAATAAATGATATATTATTGGAAGTTCATAAAGAATGGAAAGCTCAAAAGATTCCTATGATTTTTGCTAAATATTTCCTTTTTAAGGGTTTACAAATTCCCTAGGGTTTAAAAATATCCTCTCTTTTTTCTATTTAACCAAACACCATTTCAACTCTAAAATTCCACCAAATCTAGCCATTCCAAACGGAGTTATTATTAAAAAAAAAATTCTAAAATAACAAAACTTATCAAGTTATTCTAATGGGTGATTGATCTATTAAATAGGTTATGAAATATTAAATTTGACTTTATTATTTAATATTAAAATTATAATTATAATTATAATTTTAAAAATTTAAAAATACACCTTTATGATAATATTATTTAATGTTAGATTGGTTATATCAAATTTGACTTTGCTATTTAATATAATTATAATAATAATTATTTTTTGTAAATTAAAAAAATACACCTCTATAATAATATCATTTAATGTTAGATTGGTTATATTACTATGATCTATTTTTGCCTCTAATATTATTTTTTTAATTTTAAAATAATAAATATGATTTTTAATTTAATATTAAATAATAAAATAAAACATTTCACAATAAGTTTGGTTAATTTACATAATTTTTTAATTTTGCTTTATGGAGGAGGAATTCTAGGCTAGATGGAGTTTTATGATTTTCACCCATCCCAAAAGTAAAAAAGTACAAGTATCGTGACATTCGAAACTCCCAAGTCCTAAAAAGTAAAAGAAATCACAAGGTTAGGAGTGTTCTCAACTTCGTCGTCTACGTCAATCGATAATCCGAAAACTGGACTCAGAAGATCGGCTCGAATTGCTGTGCGTGCCATCGCCTACAAGAGTCCCGACGGGGACGCAGACTCTCCGAAGCCAAAAGAGGCAACTTTCTTTTTCCCTCTTCTTACACATATATATAATAATCATCATATATTATTTATGTTTTTTTGATTATTTAGTGAAATTTTCAGGTTTTATTTTTTTTATTTTTTTAATGGTTCTAAATAGTTTGTTTGTTACAATGATGTGCCTATGTATGCATAGATTGTAAACTTTCTGGTTGATGCAAACCAACTGCTCGGTTAAATGCCCCATTGAAGGGATTATGGTTAGGAAAAATCAGTAGTGGTGCTGAGTATTACTTGATAACTTGATAAGGGCACCGCCAGATTCTATGATTGGGGGCCGATTTAATCCGAAATATATATATATATATATATATATATATATATATATATATATATATTTATTTATTTATTTATCATACACCAGAAGATCTAATGTTAGACTATTTATAACTCAAAAAATTTTACCATAATTTTTTTTATTTTGTATCATACATGAGAAGATCTAATGTTTGACTATCTATAAGTCAAAAATATTCTATTGTTTATCAGATGCATACAAAAATATATGTAGCCAACCTTTGGCAAATTATTTTACAAAAATGGGCAGAAATAAAAATATTTATGTATATCTAGTCAAGTATGGCATAGATATGTACGGAAATAATTTTTAAAAAAATCTGTCAACTAGAAAAAAGAAAAAGTAAAAGTATCATGCTACCAAGCTTTTTCTTATTTTATTCTTCTCAGGTTAGTTTTGGTTTCACATTTCACAATAAAAAAAAAATAGTTTTGACACTTTAAGTAGTTTTACTTTTAAAAACAAATAAAAGTAATATGATATATTATTATATTATATACACTATATAAATGATTTATGATTGCTACTGGGCTTAATAAACTAAAGCTATTGGATTTGAAAAATAAAAAGGCCCAATAAGACTAATAGAGTTTGAATTTCTTGGGGGCCATGTTTAGGCTTTTGCACCTTCTGGGCCATATATATATATATATAACACTTTTTAGAACTTTTGGGGGGCCATGGCCTTTGGCCCTTGGCCCATAGCTAGCAAGCTTTGCCCTTGGTTCCAGTGAAGGCCATTGGTGACACTGTGCATACTCTTAGCTGTTGGTTTTCTTTCTTTTTCTTTTTTCTTTTCCACTATAGAAGAAAGTAAAATGACATTTTACTTTAAAACTCAGAATTCAAGCATTCCATAATTAAAGTGCTCTTACATCTCACTTTTGAGGATAATTTGTGTCATCTTACTCATTAAAAAATTAATTTTGGATAATGTCAATATCATTTTCTTAAAAAAATGGAAACAAAAAGGAAAGTGCAATGGTGTGTTATTTTTTTCTTGTGGTTAGAGGATAATACAATTCTCTCTCAAAAGCAGTTCCACAGGTCACACAGCTTAAGTACTCTTGCATCCCCCAAATCAAAGCACCTCACAGCTTAAATATATCACGCTTTTGAGGGGATAATCGTGTTATTAAAAATTTAAGTTAGTGTACATTTGGTTCTTGAGAAAAACGTTAACCATTCCGACTTCTAAAAATCAGTTGAGTTACCTAGCTAGTTTTAAAAAACTTTCTATGCAGTTTCTATTCATTGTGGACTCTACTTGTGATCCCACCTTACCAATTAGTCAAATTTTGAGGGTGTAGTCTTCCTACAATTTTGATTTGTATACCACAACTCTTTCTTGAAAATTTGGAAGAAATAATATGAGAAGTGCAAAACTATCAATCGAAATGCTTTTGACTCAACAAGTGAAAAGTATATACATGTGTGTAGAGAGGGGCGAGAAAGGGAGAATCATGCAAGACATAGAGAAAGAAATTACTCATGTTAACTATGTCTTATTTTTTTCAAAAGAGAAGGAGAGGGGTGGGGGCGGTCAGGGGTTGGGGAAGATAGGGTATGTAGTTACTTTGCTCATCGTGATTTTTAAAGTTTGGGCTCTAAATTTTAAAAACAAATGCGTAAAATGCTATTTATGATATATGATAAATCTGTCAAGTGTTGTATATAAGCATATCTACTTGTAGGCTGGAGTTGTTATTCACTGTTTGCAATATGAATGTATCCTTGTGGAAGCACTTTGGTAAATATTACTACTGGAAGTTGACACCACCTTCACCTTTAAACATTATTACCTGCTAATAACTAACTTTCCTAGCCTCTCTCTCTTAAGTAAGGATGATAATAAGAAATTAACAATGTACCATATCCATATTTTTCCAATTCTCAAACTAATTATTGCATTGATCTAAGAAGTTGTAAAAATGGGATTTATATTTATTATCTTAGATATTCAAGATTCAATTTTCTTTCTCTAAAACCAGTTGTACTAGTTTATGATTTGTAACTGAAGGATCCATGAAATTAAATTATCTAAGTGAATTAGTATGCTCAATACTTGTTTCTTGACATGGAATAAGGTACACTTTGTAGAGAGCTTCGGTTTTGCCTTTGGTAAAGACCATAGGTCAAGAATTTTATCCATCTTTGTCTTCCATCCAATTTTTTCTTAGTTAGTACTCACACACACATGCCTCTACTGAGGTTTTGACCTCTCTTTGTGAAGTAGGGGCCTAGTACCGCTAGGCCACAACCTGTTGGTTTTGGCTTCCATCCAATTGCGTGCATAGATTTATTATTATTATTATTATTATTTTAAAAAAATCCAATTGCGTGCATAGATTTTTTTTGTTGATTTTGGTGGAAGGTGTTGCGTTTTTTTTGAGAGGCGTATCCTTTTAAAAATTCTTTTTTTTGCTTTCTTTAAGTACAGATGTTCTACTACAAATTTCTAAGGTGTGCTCTTTTAAAAATAGTATAGGTCTCCTTGGTAGGTTCATTTATTTATTTATTTTGTATATTCTTGTAAATTTCATATTATAAATTTGCTCTTTTAGATCCTATTTAAAGTTTCAATTTTTTATTTTTTATTTTTTGGAAAAAAAGAGTCACTTTTTAAAGTTGCAGATGGCTGGAGTTAATCGTATTTCCGATAAATTAAAAGTGGTTTCTTCTTCAAGTAGAAGAAAGAGGAAAAGAAGTCCATTTTTTCTTCCTGAAGAGATCCTATTTAGCATCCTACTTAAGCTTCCTGTTGAGGTTCTTTGCAATGTGATGAGGTATGTTTGCCGAGAGTGGTATAATGTGATTAATGACCCTTGTTTCATTGATGCACACCTTCAAAAATCAACCAATTGCCTTTTAATCCAAAGTTACCGCTTTCCAAATTTTTTCCATTTTGTGGAGATACACGACAGCGATATTCAGACAAGAATGGTAAGATACGAGTTTCCTATGTCTGCTTACTCTAGTTGTGACGGTTTAATATTGTTTCGGTGCAATGAAGAGGGTATCTTCTATGTTGCAAATCCTACCACGATGCAACTAGTAAAACTCCCACCATTATCTTCAAAGTGGTGCTTTATACGTGCTCCTCTTTTAACATATTTTCGCTCTACCGGGAGATGCAAAGTGGTGCTTATCCTCCGTGATGAAAACAATCATAATGTCTGTTTAATATTAACGGTGGGTGCTGATAGTGCTTGGAGACAGATTGATACTAAACATTTTCCAGACTTTGCTTCGCATTCATTTTCATGCAAGTCGTTTTCTACCGGAGGGTATATTTATTTGACTTGTGATTATGCTTCTCATCTTTTTGCTTTGGACGCTGAAGCTGAAATATTTCACCGGTTTCCTAAACCAGACTGCACCATAGGAGGGAAGTATATGGTGTGGAAAAGCTTTCTAGGTTTGGTGGCTCATCATGCTGCATTTGTTTGGGAGCTTTGGGCCTTGACGGACTTGAATACCGGAAAGTGGACCAAGCTTCTTTACATCGACTTGAGAGGTAAAAGATGCAAGATTGAGCAAAAATTTGATGTCCCGTATGGCGAATCGTCTGTGCAGGGTTACTTATCAAGAAAAAATTTGTCTCTGGATCGTTGTTTGGTTCCTATTGCCTCATTAAAAAATGGAGAGGTGTTGATCTTCCGTGGTACACTTCCATTTAAAACTTACATTGTTTTCAATCTCAAAACCAGAAAAGTTTCTTCATTTGTGATATGCAGAGGTGAGGAACATGCATCGAACTTCTACGTATGCCACATCAATAACTTGGTTTTATTGAATGCCTCTTAGTTCCTCCTCACTGGTGAGGTACAGTTTTGTTTTTCTTTTTAGTTTTTTTACCATTGTTTGTCCCAAATGTGATGTTACTGGTACTCTCCTGATGAGAATTATATAGTTGCCTTGCTTATTTACATGTCCTCTACTATATGTGAATGACTTTCTTTTTTTTTTTTTTTTTTTTAATCCCATATCACTGAGTAGTTATCTCTTGTATCTTTATTTTCATTAATTTTAGTAAGATTCAGTTTTATAATGGAACCACTGGTTTCTAAGTATATTCATGTTCTAGTTAGGAAGTTAATATACTGACCTTTAATTATTTAAAGTAGAACAATACTTGAGTTCTCACCGGTAAAAATGTACACTTTCATTTATGAGAATGTAAACCCCACCACATGACATTATGTGGTGTGGCGTATGCCCCCTCACTAACAAATTTCATTCACATCTAGTCAAAAGATGTATTAGTATTTCAAAAAATTTGCAGAAAATAATCTTGCTGATCATTGCCAAATAAGCTTTGATGGACGTTGAAACAATTTTTTGTTTTGTGAAATAATATTTAACAATGCTTTGTTATAAAGTTTTTTACTTCACTGCCGACAGATTTCGTTCTTAAATACGTCATTTTAATGCATATGCAATACTTATTGTATAGAAAATATAACACATGCACTATTTACTATATCGAAAATACAACATACATAACACTAGCAATCTACATTGCAACATTAGATAATGTGTTTATATAATGAGTGTTGCATTTGTTGTTAGAGGAGAACATCTGACTCTCCAATTTGTTTGTGAAATTCTATTTAACAGGTCCTAAAATAATTGAAACTACAAAGAGACAAAAAAAAAAAAGATTTATTTACCAAAGAGAATATTAAGCCCCCTATAAGAATTTTGAAGAAGCTTATTTAATAGAGCTTTGAAATTAAATTTATTTACAAAAAAAATTTACAACTTTTCCTTAATTCAGAGCAATTCTACCCTTTGGTATATCATTATAACATCGCAGGTCATATATATATACATACATACATACCCAAATAATAGGTCATTGTCTACAGTGTATAGTAGAGAGAATGAAATCTTAAAGAAAGAAAAAGGTATGAATAGAAAATTTACAAAAAGTCAAAGGCTAATTTTGTCTTTTAACATAGCAAAATTTGGAATTAAAAAGGTATTGACTGTCTCTTAAAATTAAATAAAAAAAGAAAAGTTCTCAAATTTCATATTCTGGGAATTCAAATTCAACCAAATGTAACTCTGGCGCCTCGTTTAACATTTGGTAATTCGAAACTCCCAAAAAAGTGAAAGAAATCACAATATCCACACAAACACCAGAGAGATATAAGTGAAGAATGTTCTGAGTATGTCGTCGTCATTATCGTCAATCGGTGATCGGAAAATTGGAGTCAGAAGATCGGCTCGAATTGCTCAGCGTGCCATCGCCGGCAAGAGTCGCTATGGCGACGCAGACTCTCCTAAGCTAAAAGAGGCAATTTTCTCTTTCCCTCTTCTTAAACATACATATAATATTCATGATATATATATATATATATATATATATATTTGATTGTTTAGTGAAATTTTATGCTGAATATCTTGTTGATTGTTCTAAGATAGTTTATGTTCTGAAGCAAGATGCTTTGTTTGTTACAATGATGAGTCAATGTATGGATAAATTGTATAATTTTTGGTTGATGCAAACCAACTGCTCGGTTAAATGCCCAAATGATGGGTTGGGGATTCATGGGAAGTAATTACATAGGCCAATGTCATTTTTGAGGTTAGGATCCTGAAATTGATTAGGCTACATTTTATGATATGAAAAATCCTTTTGTGGTGTTGTGCATGAGCAAATTTCTGGTTGATGCAAACCAACTGCTCGGTTAAATGCCCAATTGAAGGGTTGGGATTATTTAGTTAAATAAGAGGCTTTCACTTTTATTGTTAAGAAAATCAGTAGTTGTGTTGTGTATAAGCACATTTGTTTCAAGCATATCACTAGTCAACAACTTAAAAGACTAATGTGTTAGCTGTTGATTGTTGTGTTGATACTACATGAAACATTGGTTTTCAGAGAAAGGCAGTGGTGACACTTTTTATCCATTTATATTGCTTGTATCTGATTGTGTGCATACTCTTATCATGTTGGTTTTTAATGAAAGTGATGGTGGTTAAATATTTGAAAGACATTTCCTTTTGAATTCATGTTACCATCTGTTTTCTTATATATGTTTTCCGTTACAGTTCTTTAATGTGCTCTAAACAAGTTTATATATGTTGTTTTGTTTCTTAATTATAATTTTGTGTATCAGATCTTAGAGATTTTGCTATATTTTTCCATCTAATCATTTTTAAAGAAGTTGCAAATATCTGGAATCAATTTTATTACTCGGAGTTATAATGTTGTTAGCTTTTCTTTACGAGGGAATTGTATTTAGAATTCTTCTTTGATTTCTGGCTGACATAGTTCACAGTTCTAATTTGGATACTAACTTTTCCACATCCACAATCGTTTGAGGTTCCTTAAATGTTCCAAAGAGTTTCACACCTGATCTGAAATCAAAAATCAAACGATTACCAATCGCCCCTAAAAGGTGGGGAACCTAAAAAGACGACTACTTTGTCATTAAGTGGAAAACCATAATGGGCATGCTAGTGCAGCCCAAGTATGTGCATGGTGGAAGAAACTCTGGATAGGAATGTCTCAATATGAAGGATCCTTGTGGAAGCACTTTGGTACCAGTTGAGTTTACACAGTTTGTGTTGCTTATTTGTTCTGGAAGTTGATGCCTTAATCCTTAAACATTATTACCTGCTAATGACTAACTTAGCTAGCCTATTTCTATTAAACAAGTATGATAATAACAATGCAGACGTCCTCATTTTTCCAATTCTCAAACTACTAATTGCATGAATTTCCCGAAAAAAATACTTATTGCATTGATCCAACTAGTAAAGCAAACGTATTTTCATTATCTTAGATATTTTGGATCCAATTTACTTTATATAAAACTAGTTTTACTAGTGCATGATTTGCAACTGAAGCATCCATGTCAGAATTATATATTGGACTGAACTCATAAAGAAATTAAATTACATGGATGTTGAATTAGTATGCCCAATACTTGTTTCTTGAAATGGAATAGTGTAAAATTTCTAGAAAGACTTGGGCTTTGCCTTTGGTGAAGAACATAGCTAAAGAATTTTATCCATCTTTGGCTTCCAGTGCTCCGGCCAATTGTTTATATAGCGTTATTTTGTAATTTTGGTTGAAGCTGTAGCCTTTTTATTAAGGAAAAAAAAAAAAAAAAAAAATTCGAAACTGTTAAGAGGGCATACCATTTAAAATTTTATTTTTTTTGCATTCTTCTATATATGTTCTATTACAAATTCCTTAAGTGTGTTCTTTTAAAATTATTTTAGGTTTCCTTGGTGGGTTTATTTTTATTTATTTTTTCCTTTTGTGATATATATTCTGAATTTTATTATAGGAATGTTCTTTTAGATCCTATTTAATGTTTCATTTTTCTTATAAAAGTCCTTTCTAAAGTTGCAGATGGGTGGAGTTAATCGTAACTCCAATAATTTTAAGGTTGCTACTTGTTCAAGTAGAAGAAAGATGAAATTCAGCATACCTTTTCTTCCTGAAGAGATCATATTTAACATCCTGCTTTGGTTACCTGCTGAGGTTCTTTACAATGTGATGAGGTATGTTTGTCGAGATTGGTATAATATGATCAGTGACTCTGGTTTTATTAAAGCACACCTTCAAAATTCAACTGATGCCCTATTAATTGATAGTTGCCACATTTCAAATTCGGCCTCTCTTGTGGAGATCCACAACTGTGATGTTAAGATAAGAAAGTTAAGATACAGGTTTCTTCGGCATTGTTATGGTAGTTGTGATGGGTTAGTTTTCTCTCGCCACGATAATATATACTATGTTGCAAATCCTATTACGAAGCTACTAGTGACCCTCCTGCCGTTTTTTAAGACAAGTTATATATGTTGTCCTCGATTAACATATGTTCGCTCTACCGGGAGATACAAAGTGATAATTATCATCCGTTATGAAAACAAGGACTATTTCTGTTTAATATTAACTATTGGTACTGATAATGATTGGAGATTGATAGATACTAATCATTTGCCAAACTTTAATCGGTATTTGTTATTATGCAAGTCATTTTCAACTGAAGGGTATATTTATATTACTAGTAAGAGTGCTTCTCATCTCTTTGCTTTGGATGTCGAAGCTGAAATATTTCACCAGTTTCCTGTTCCAAATGTCTACCACAACGCAATAAGAGATACTTATATAGTGTGGAAAAGCTTTCTAGCTTGGGTGGCTCATTGTGGTGAATTTGTTTGGGAGCTGTGGGCCTTGACCGAATTGAATACAGGAGGATGGACCAGGGCTTTTAGCATTGACATGAGGGGTCAAAGATGCATTATTGAGCAAATATTTGATGTCCCGAATGGTAATTCGTCTTTGGATAGTTACTTATTAGAAAAGAATTGGTCTTCTCGTTAAAAAATGGAGAGCTGGTGATCTTTCGTGGTGTAGATCCCTTCAAAACATACCTTGTTTTCAACCTCAAGACGGGAGAAGTCTCTTCATTTGTGGTAGGAAATTGGGAGAAACATATGTCAAACCACTACGATTGCCATGTCAACAGCTTGGTTTCATTGAAAGTCTCTTAGTAAATTCTTTAGTTGCCCTGTTATTAAAAGTCTTTGTTTGTTTTTTTGATTGAGTTGTTATCTCTCATCAGAAACTATATTTGTGTTTTTATAAATTCTAGCAAGATTTCATTTTATAATTGAACCATTGTTTTCTGGATTACTTCGTTATTGATTGGTATGTTCTGTTATCTTAGTTTTAATTTAATGAGTATTAGTTGGATCTCTAGAAATTCTTAAAGAGAAAAAAAAAAAAAAAAAAAAAAAAAAGCTAGCGAAAGAATAAAGTAAGAGCAGTATGCATTTGTTCACCTGTTAATTCAGGGTGCAAGCATAAACTAAAAGAGCAGTATGCATTAAAACAGTCAATCTGTATAGGAGCCCTTTTAAGTGTAAAAAATCTGAAGGAATGCTAGGTAAAACATTAAAATAGGAAGAAAAAATAAAAAAAATAAAATTAAACAGAATTTTCTCAACTACTACAAACGTCCATGTCACCATATTCTTCCTTTTTGTTTGTTCATCTGTTGCTTCTACTCCTCCAAATCCTATACATAATAAGATATTTGGTAAGTGTGTGGTTGATAAAATAACATTAATTCAAAATTGAGTACCAAAAACAATTTAAAGTTAAAGTTGAGTATCGTAGTAGTTAAATCTGGTTCTTTTTATCAATTACATTTCTCATTATGCACTGCCTCCTTGTAGCTGAAATGATAATTATTAATAAGATTGATGATGATAATGATGATGATAATAATAATAATGAATAATTAGAATAAAAAAAAAAAGTATTACACTTCAGTCTTCTCCAAGGTTCAAATAGTATTACTCTTCTCCAAGGTTCTCGAAATAGATCCTCTCTCTCAGTAATCAGATTCCCAAACAGAGATCCAGGCATGTAATCTGTGGCCACTTGGAAGGTTAAAAGTGGCTGATTACCCCATTTTCGAGTCAAACTTTCTTATAAAGCCAAATCATCAGCTACTTGCTGTGCATCTTCACTATATGAATCCTCACTAGTTGAATGTTCAAATGTAGGAATAAGTTTTAAAGAAGGAGAAAGATTATTACATTATAAAGAACTTAGTAGAACAAAATTACAAATACAAAAATGGTTTTAAAAAAATACCTAATCTCTGGGAGGTTTTGAGATTGGTGACGCCGCTTTCTGTGCTTAAGATTATTGAATTGAATAATTCAAAAATGATAGAACAATATTTGTATTGAATATCTGTCTCATTGGAAACATTCTTATTTGAAGTAGCCGTTTACGCATTCACGGAGTGAGATCTAAAGAAAAACCGTTCAAGGAACAAATTTGCAATTTATTCTTTGATTATCGAGTAATGATATTTACATAGACTATTTTAACTTATTTGACTGACTATCCATTTAATAGTGTGAATAAGCTCAAACATAAATTTTACATCAAATGGATAGAAACAGCTCAGACTAGACAAATAAATTTGAGGTTTAGGTTCAAAAATCATTTTTCTTGATTATTTAATCAAGACACACATATTTAATTAAAATGATACTCAAAATGGGGATGAGATCTCAAAAATAAATAATATATTTACAAGATTTCAAATTGAGATTCTTTATGAATCTTTTAAGTTCTACAATTTGAAATCTGATCTCTCATTCAAAAAAAAAAAGAACAAATTGGAGTAGTTTCAAAGTAATAAGTTGACAATATTATAAAAACTCATCAAATTCCAGTACTATGTATGAAATTTCATATCATATTAAATATAATGTCAATTTAAAATTTTTAATGTCGAGTATGGAATACTTAATTCGACATCTTGAAATTAAAATATAACAAAATAAAAAAAAAATTTAAATTATATATTTTAGGAATCTACCTCTTCAAATTTAAATTTCACCAAATTTAATCATTTGAAACAAAGAGATATTGGGTGAGCCAATCATAGTGTGTCATTTGTATGCCCACCCAATAAAATTGATATTAAATATAAAAACTTTCCTCTACTAACTAGAATAGTGTAATTTAATTAGTTTGTGTGATATACCTTAATTCCACAATTCTTTGCAGCTCTCACGATTATGTTTTGTGACTTAATTTTTGCAACTTTCTTTTCTGAATTCGCTCGAACTCCCGTTCCGCTTGGTTTCCAATTTACCAATGTCTGTGATATAACCAGCATACTCAATATCTTCTCATTCGGAACACAAAGTTAATGGCCCCACTTTTTAAAATTTTGTTACTTTAGCAGCAGAAGTGTTCTCACATCTAAGTATGTCGTCGTTATATTATCGAAAAATTGGACTCAGAAGATCAGCTAGAATTGCTGAGCTCGGCAAGAGTCACGATGGCTGCGCAGACTCTCCGAATCTAAAAGAGGCAATTTTCTGTTTACCGACTGCTTGTTAAAACGTCCAATTGAACTATTGGCAAATTAGGAACCAAATATTGATTTGTCTACATTTTATGATGTGCATAAGCTCATTTGCTCGAAGCATATCTAATGCTAGTTGACAACTTAAAAAATTAATGTATTAGTTGTTAATCATGTCCATATTTTCCAAATTTCAAATTTCCTACTGTGTTAATTTAAGAAAAAGAAATTCATCTAAGTGAAGCAACAAGTCAACAACATAGTGTTTATAATGAAAAACAGAGTCTATCAACGCATATTGATTTAATTTCATCAAATTACAAATTTGATGACTGGACGCTAACGATAACGGGCGTTCATTGGAGATGAGAGGGAGAGAGAGACACCAATCTCTCCTAATGGGTAGGTGCTCCTTGTGACCTGATGGTGATTTGATCTCGGGTTGGTTTGACTAGCTTGAAAAGATGAATTCCCTACTGACGTCAGTAAAAGACAAAGCTGCCTTTGATGGCCTAGTCGGTTTTTCTTAGGACCGGAGACTACCAAGGGAGGCTGGAAAACAAGGTAACCAAAGGGAGAGAGAATGCAATGAAAGGGAGAGAGACAGGATTGAGGGAGAGAGACGGATAAGATTGAGGGAGAGAGACAAAACGGCATCGTATACAGCAATAATAGAATTTGACAACCGTTATATTCGATGAGAGAGACAAAATGGCATCGTATACATATCGTATACAATAATAACAGAATTTGACAGCTATTATATTTGAAAGAGAAGATTTGAGAATCTCAAAATTTGACTGCCAATTCGAGAGCCAATTTTTTATCCACCTCTTCTATTTTGAGATTGAGAGCTTATTAGGGTTGCTTTACACTACTCAATTAGACTCAAATTGACTTCTTTATTTGAGAGAGGTCCAACACGTATATATTAGTCCTCCCCTGTGATAGTGAGTTTGATAGAAATTGCAATATTCAGGTTTTGAATTATTTTATAAAAATAAATTAATTTTCAAATTCAAGCAAATGTAGAAGAGGATAAAAGAACAATATAAATAGTTTCCAAAGCCAAATTTCCAAGTGTGGTTGACTATTAGTTTCTCTATATTATGGAAGCTAGCCATGTAAAGTCTTGCTTAGCGCGCAACAATGCAGAGGAGTGGTGATGGAGTCTCACAAAAGATGATATATGCTACCAAGTGTCTCCTCTCTGACTACAACTTCTACTTTCCACACACACACACACACACACACACACACACACATATATATATATGATCTCATTAATTTCCTTTGGGAATCTATATTCGAACATGTACCAATCAAAATACCAATATGTTGTTGTAAATTGGAGGGTTTTTTTTTTATTTTTTTTTTTAAATTCTCAAATTCAAGCAAGCTTAGAAGAGATAAAAGAATAATATAAATAGTTTTCAAGTTAAAATACTTAACCATTTGAAAAGGTGTAATTGAATATATTATTTAATCAAAACACAAATCAAACCTAAGTCACTTTAGACCTCAATTTCAACCCTTAAATCATATTGAAACACAAATCAACCAGAAGAGAAAGTAATAACACAAACCCTTAAATCATGTGTAAAATACAATGGATCGATTTTTTAAACAAGAACCAAGGGAGAGGAAGAGGAAGAGGAAGAAGAAGAAGAGAGAGAAAAAGACCACTACCCGAAGCTCCAGTTTGTGAGGCCAACAGAGAGAATGGAGACTTTTCAATAACGCATGAAGTAGAATCAATTCTAACAAAATTAAATATTAGACGCTACGTACCACATTAAACAAAACAAAACGTTGAATTATATTGTGCAACACAATCTATTAAATATTAGATGCTACTGCATTACACAAAATCATGAACCGACATTCTCAGGAATGAGCCCCAATCATCGGTTTTGCTTTATTGCACCCTGGTCAAAGAAGCTTTGAACTTCCAAAGTTTACAAATCAAAGAGTTCTTACTCGGAGATATCAGCAGAACAGAGGGAGAATTCTCTTTTTACATAAGAAGAATGTTGACGGGAAGGTCTCTTTTCCCTATCCTGACGACTTCTATGAGAGGATTCATCCTCATCTTGTTCTATCAATCGATGTGGAATTCATATTGTACCAAATGGACCATGGAAAAAACTTGTCTACTCTGTTGCTATATTGGATCTTGCATTTCTTGGAGTGATCGCTCAATATTGATGTCCCTGTTGTTGTTGTTGTTGTTGTGTTTGTTGTTGAGTTATCGGAAGAAAATATGATCGTGACATCCTCACAAGTGAATCTCGAAACAAAATTGATGGGAAAGTATGTGTATGGCAGCGAAATAGAACTCACAGCATCATCTATGCTCATCGTAAAATTCACTACAGCGCCATTTTTTGACCAATCACCCACCAAAATATCATCGTTGGCCACGAATAAGGCAGCCTTCTCTAGTGATCTTTGATCCTCCCCCAACTCACACTGATAGAAAGGTGAGATAATAACGGTGGAGAGATTAACCTTTTTATAGAAGATTGAAACATTAATTGCTTGATATATATAATTTTTTGATACTTGTAAGGATTTTGAAAATCGAAACTAGCATTCCAACCGATGATCACAGTATTATTATTTACTTGTGATGGAGGAATACGTGAGACATTAATGGAGAGTGAATGAAGATGAAATATTGGAGGGTTTAGGATACTTGGCAATATTATAATCATCCAAATGATTAGACAAAACAAGAAGAAATAAATAACCATCACAGTGATAAAAGATATTAAGAGAGCGTCGCACTTGGACTTGGGCGGCGCTGGCTCAAGCATTGGTACAGTGTCAACGGTCATATTAATTTTGGTGTGTGCTTCACGTTGACCCAAAGTTGATCAATATTGCTTCAACCTGCTTAATAAAATTAATGTATCACAAGGAATGAAAAGAAAGTAACTGGTAACAACTTCTACAGAAGAATATATGTAAAGAATATATGTAAAGAATATATATATATATATATATGTTTGATAATGAAATCTCAATTTCGTCTAAAGAATGAATTAGTAAAATTTAATTTAAAATTAATATTTAATAAAGTAATGATATAATTATTTTTTAAAAAGATAATTACAAAATCTGAACAATAATAAATTAAAAAATTATTCTATAAAATATAATTTGCAAAACTCTAAAAATGATCAATAAACATAAAATTGACACGTAAAAAGATAAAAATAATAATTATTTATTAAACTTTTCAATAGAAATTTAATTATTGATTTTAAATTCCTCAAATAATATCAAAATCAAGACTCAATTCACTAAATTTCAGCAACAAATTCAATTCAAAATCAAGAAGTACAACCCAAACACACACACACACACAAAAAAAAAAAAAAAACCATTGATATTTTAATATCAACAACTTAGCAACCCAAAATTTGAAACAACTGTATATTAAAAGAAAATATCATGATGCTTTCAAAAATAATTTTAAAAAAAAAATTGAAAAAAAAATCAAAACTTTTTCAAATCCAACCCAAACGCCAAAAACATTGAAACCCCATGTGTGACTCAAAACAATAAATTAAGATTGAAACAAAAATTAAAAATTAAAAAAAAAAATTAACATATCAAAAACGTTCAGCAACAAATTTAATTAAAAATCAAGTCTAACACAAACACAAAAACATTGAAACCCTAACTCAAACTAAAAAACTAAGAATGAACCAAAAATAAAAAATAAAAATAGGAAGAAAAAATTTCAATCCAAAGTAAATTTATAGATAGTAGGTCAACAACGACTATGGTTGTCTTCTCAATACCAATTATGAGTAATTGGAACGGAATGGGTGCTCTTAGTGCAATATATATAGGTTATATGTGATATAGTTTTATAGAAAATAAAATAGGTAATTCGTGGTAAGAGTTTTATAGAAATTCTTTTTATTTTCTTTAAATATTCCTTGTCTAATTAGATTTTCTTTTATCAAAAAACTAATAATAAATAGGTAATTTGAGTTTTATAGAAACTCTTCTAAACACCTTATATTAATTAAAAATAATAAAAACTCATAATAAATGGGTAATTTTTGTAAAAAAAATATTTTTATATCAATTAATAAATAATTTTATTATATTAAAAAATAAATAATACTGAAACTTATTTATTTATTTTATATATTTCATTGTCGAATTAAATTTTCTTTTATTAAAAAACTCATAATAACTCTTTTTATATCAATTAATGAATATTTATTTATATAAATAAATAAATAATAATGAAACAAATTTATTTTCTTTATATTCAAAGAGAAGGTTATAGCGAGTGCAAAGCTTGAGTGCGGTCTTGTCTAATTAAATTTTTTTTATGAAAAAAAATCTTAATAAATAGGTAATTTGAGTTTTATAAAAATTAATAATTCATAATAACTTTTTAAAAACTCTTTTTATATCAATTAATAAATATTTTTTTTTATCAATAAGTAAATCCTGATATATGAAATACTAAAACACAATAATGTACAAAACTTCTTTGTACTTATTAATATTCAACAAAATAATTAAATAATTATTTTCTCAATGGTAGTCAAAAAAACTCATAATAAATAGATAATTTCAGTTTTATAGAAACTATTCTAAATACTTTATATTAGTTAAAAATAAATAAAAACTCATAATAAATACGTAATTTGTGTAATTTGTTAGAAACTCTTAACTCTATTAAGACGTAAATATTTCTTTTATACATTTTTTTGATCTAATTTGAAAGACTAAATTATTTATTTTCTTTACATATTTTCTTGTCTAATTGGATTTTATTTTATTAAAAATTTAATAATAAATAGATAATTTGAGTTTTTATTCTAAAAAATAAAAATTCATACTAAATACTTAATTTATCGATCTAAGAAATTGTAAATGTGAATTTTTTTGAAAGACTTAGTTTTGCCTTTGGTGAAGACCATAGCTAAAGAATTTTATCCATCTTCGGCTTCCTACCAATTGAGTGCATATCTATTTTGTTGATTTTGGTTAAAAGTGTTGCTTTATATATATATATATATATATATTAGGATTGTTCACCTGCTCACTGGTGTGTAAGGAATTTATGCACGAATTAAATCTTAATCGTTGAATATGAAAGAATATACTAATTTTTTAACTGCTTAATATAATCTAATGGTTAATACTTTAGGTATGCATACATTTTCTTGCATACCAGAGAGCAAGTAAATAATTCTGTATATATATATATAAATTATTTTTATTAGTTATTGGAGAGGCCCTTTTAAATTTTAGTACTTTGCTTTTTCTTTTTAAAATAGTACTAGTAGGTTTTTATTTATTTATTTATTATTTAAACTCATTTGTACGAAGCATATCTAATGCTAGTGGATTTCATATTATGAATTTGTTGTTTTGGTTTTTATTTAAAATTGCATTTTTTTTTTTTTCACTTTTAATTTTTGCTTCCTAAAGATGCAGATGGTTGGAGTTAATCATATCTCCAATAATTTAAAGCTATTGACATGGCCTATGTAATGGTTTGATATATGTCTATCGTAAAAGCCTACCTCAAATGAAAAAACCTTTCCTGTTTGGAGGTTGTAAACAAAGTAAGTTTTACATGGATCTACCCCACGAAAGATAACCAGCTCTCCATTTTTTAAAAAGACAATAGGAACCAAACGACAATCGAGAGACAATTCACCATTTAAGACATCAGATATTTGATCAAGAATGCATCTTTGACGTCTCAAGTCATAGCTGTAAATACTCTCAACCAAACATCTGTGACGTCTCAAGTCATGGCTAAAAAGCCTCTCAATCATGCATCAGTGACTTCTCAAGTCGAGGCTCAAAACCCTGCTCCACTCTCTGTACTCAATTCCGTCAAGGCCCAAAGCTCCCAAACAAACTCACCACAATGAAGCAACAAAGATAGATAGCTTTTCCACACTACATAAGTAGCTCTTATTGCCGTGAGGCAGACACTCGGAACATTAAACTGGTGAAATATTTCAGCTTCAGCGTCCAAAGCAAATAGATGACAAGCACCAGCACGAGTCGCATAAATATACCCTCCTGTACTAAATGTAGCACAACATAACAAATAATTACGAAAGTCTGGCAAATGTTTAATATCAATCTGTCTCCAAGCATTATCAGTACCCACAGTTGATATCAAACAGTCATCAAGGTTGTTTTCATCACGAATGATAACCATCACTTTGTATCTTCCCATAGAGCGAACATATGAAATTGCAACACAACTTCTAGACCATGTTTTATAAAATGGCGGGAGGTTCACTAGTTGGTTCGTAATAGGATTTAGAACAGAGTAGATACGCCTATAAATGCAGTAAGAGAAAACTAAACCATCACAACTACCATAAAAATGCAGAGGAAACTCGGGGCCTAACTCTCTTATCTGAACATCACAATTATGTATCTGCACAGAATAAACTAAATTTGCAGTGTTGCGACTTCGGATTAAGATGCCACCAGTAGATTTTTGAAGGTGTGCATTAATGAAATCAGGGTCATTGATCACATTATACCACTCTCGGCAAACATACCTCATCACATTGTAAAGAACCTCAGCAGGTAACCAAAGTAGGATGTTGAATATGATCTCTTCAGGAAGAAAACGTGTGCTGCTTTTCATCATTCTTCTACTTGAACAAGCAACCAACTTAAAATTACTGGGAGTACGATTAACTCCAGCCATCTGCAACTTTTTTAAGAAAAATACAACTTCAGATAGGATCTAAAGGTGGGGGTGGGGGATCCTAATATGAAAAACATAAAAATATAGAATCGAAAAAGAACCAACCAAGGATATGCCTCTAAAAAAACACATTCAACCTGTCTTCACCAAAGGAGAAGCCTAAGTCTTTATATAAAAAAAACTAAACTATTCCCCTTCAAAAACAAGTTTTGAACATATTAATTAAACATCCAGGTAATTTAATTTCTGTGTGCCCAGTACAATATAAAATATGTTGCATTTCCTCATCTCAAGCAGTGGTTAAACCAAAAGTGCCAGATTAACAATAAAATTGCACCACAAAGAACGTAACACATAACACAGAAGAAAACCAAACCTCAATTTTATTTTATTTTTTCTTAGTTGGTACACACAGGTGCTTCTATTGAGACTTGAACCCTTCACCTCCCTTTAAAAAGTAAGGACTTGATATCGTTAGACCACTGGATGTGTTTACACGTAATATCCAATGAAAAGGTAATTGGTGTTGAGAGCAGCACCCCATTTCGAAACAGTTGAATTAGCATGGAAGTGACTATGGATGTCACCACTATAATATACTATGGATGTCACCAGACGAATGGAATAGTATATTCTATTCTGTTCGTCCGGTGGAATAGACACTTCACTGGATGTAATTTCATTCTTTGTGTGTATATATACTTTTTTTCTGAATAAGATTCAGGATCCTAACCCTTATAAATGACAGTCGCCTATGCAATTACATCCCAGAAATCCCTAACCCTTCAAATGGGCATTTTGCCGATGAGTTGGTTTGCATCAACAAATTTTAGGAAGTCTCTTTGGCTCAGAATGTAAACAATCAACAAAATATTAAGCAGAAAATTTCACCAAAGAATCATAAGCATATAAAATGATTATGATACATATGTGTAACAAGAGGGAGAGAAAAAATTGCCTCTTTTACCGTGGGAGAGTCTGCGTCACCATCGCGACTCTTGCAGGCGTTGGCACATCGTGCAATTCGAGCCGATCTTCGGACGGGAATTTCCCGATAACCGATTGACCACGACGACATACTCACAACTCTCCTCACCCTCACCCACCTCTGCCGCTAGAGAATATCCTTGTGATTTCTTTCACTTTGCTCGGAGTTTCTAGAGACCAAAGGTTAAAAGAGGCCCATGTTAAAAAGGGACGTTAGCCCTCCAAAAAAGCAAAAAAACACAACGAAAGCGTAATTAACTCCGTCTGAAATTTGAATTTCAAATTTTTTTTTTTTTAAAATAAAATAAAAGAATTAAGTACAAGTTATATATAAAATGAGCAAGGAATATTGAGTATTTAATAAGTGTATATAAAATCCCTATATTTTCAAATCTTAGAGCAAATTATCCCCTGATCTTCAAATTTGACCAAATTTTCTTTAAAAGCCCCAAAATACCTTTAATAAACAAACACACTCTCTAATCTCTCCCATCTTCTTCGGCCCAGTCCCAAACCACGTTGGCACTCTGCAAATTGGGTAATGATGTGTGCAGCTATTGTTAGCGGGTATGGGAAACGAAAACCAGCTTGGACCAGCACTTAAGGCTTTCCAAAAGCTTTCTTGTTAAACAAACACAGCAGTCATAACAGGCACAATCATAAATATACACGTAGGACGGTTTTTGATTGAATTCGGCCAAAATGTGCCCCGCCTCGACAGCGAAACTACCAATATTTGCAAGTTCGGCCGTTTCTAATCAAACTATCTCTTTTCTGACAAAAAACGGATTGGTCAAAATCATCCGGAAAAAACTAGTCAGCTCGCCTGTTTAACCTTTTGACGGTCCAAACGATTCCAAAATCTTCAGTCACCTGTTCTGCATCAGGATCCAAGTCTAAATGGTATATTGGACTGAACACGTATAGAAATTAAATTGCCTCAACGTTGAATTAGCATGCTCGATACTTGTTTCTTGAAATAGTATAGTGTAAAATATTCAAAAAGAATTAGGCTTCACCTTTATCGATCTTTGGCCTCCACCAATTGTGCCTGATGATTTATTTTGTTGATTTTAGTTGAAGGTGTTGCTTTTTTTTTTTTTTTTTTTTTTTCTCTCTTCTTTTTTTCTTTTCTTTTCTATTTTAAAATTATTAGAGAGGCATATCCTTCAAAAAATCTGTTCTTTGCTTTCTTCACGTATTGATGTTCTACAACAAATTTTTAGGTGTGCTTTTTTAAATTTAGTATAGGTCTCCTTGGTGGGTTTTTATAAAAAAAATTTTTATTCTATATTTTTATGGATTTCGTATTATGAATTTGTTGCTTTAGATCCTATTTAAAGTTTCATTTGTTTTTTTTTTTTTTTTTTTTTTTTTTTTTTTTTATTGAAAAAAAAAAGTCCTTCTGGAATCACAGATGGGTAGAGATAATCTTATCTCCAATAAATTTAAAGTGGTTGCTTGTTGAAGTAGAAAAAAGATGAAAAGATCCTATTTGGTATCAAGCTTTTGTTTCGTGCTGAGGTTCTTTGCAATGTAATGAGGTATGTTTGCCGAGAGTGGTATAATGTGATTAATAACCCCCGTTTCATTAATGCACGCCTTCAAAAATCAATTGATTGCCTCTTAATCCAAAGTTTCTTTTGGATAGCAGAGAAAGTCGTTTATTAGGATCCCTTTATTTTGTGGAGATACACAACGGTGATATTCAGATAAGACACTTAAGATGCAGATTTCCTCTGTCTGTTTACTCTAGTTGCAATGGTTTAGTTTTGTTTTGCCCCAATGACAATTGAAATTTTATTCTTTTCAATTTGTCTTCTTTCTTTTAAAAAAATCCCAAATCAATAATCCGTAGTTTTGTAAATCAATAAACTCATTCTTTCAAAAATTTAAAAATTCTCGACACTAACCTGACCTATTTATTAAACAGATTAACAGGTTAATCAGTTTAATGACATATTTGTTAAAGTGAGAGATTTAATATTCAATCAAATAATAAATACTAGAAAATTTTTGTCAAAATTAAACCAAATATTCAAAATAAGAAGAAGAATAATAAGGCGTAGTCAAGATTTATGTTAAAATTTATGTTGAAATAACTTAACTGTCCGTAGTAATTGGATTTAAACATGTAACATATTATATATGTCATATTCACGATTCTAACATGTTGAGTTAAACGGGTATAAATGGGTTACACGGATTGAACCACCTTAACTCTAAATGGGTTAATCGTATCAAATCGTTTATGACCTGAATCCGTTTAAAGTCAATCCAAACTCGCTTTTTTCGTATCGTGTCGGCAAGTTGTGTTGAAATTTGCCATCCCTAAATTGGTTGTGGTCTACCACCAACCCCCAAAAAAGCTTTTATTTTAATTTATTTATTATTATAATTTTTTTTTTTTGAAAAGTTTTTCAAATGTGAAATTCAAATTCCAAAAGAGAGTTAATGGCGCACTTTTGAAAATTAATTTGGTATTTTCTCTAACTATGGAAAATGTTGTGTATTAAATTACTTTTCCCTCGTGAAAGAGACACTATATTCACAATCAGCAGGGGTAGGTTTGGAGTGCTCTGAGTATGTCGTCGTCGTCAATAGATAATCAGAAAATTGGGCTCCGAAGATCGGCTCGAATTGCTCAGCGTGCCATCCTGTGCAAGAGTCGCCATGTCGATGCAGACTCTCCTAAGTTAAAAGAGGCAATTTTTTCTCTCCCTTTTTTTTACACATACATATAATAATCACACACACACACACAATATGCTTATGATTGTTCAGAACCCCTTTGACATGTGATTTGTTTTTAGTGTTTTGTTTTTGGTTAAAACATAAATAGTATTTTTACTATAAGAGTGTTTTGAAAAAAAAATTTGAAGCATATTTGGGAACAATGTTTTAGACGTTTTATTTTTGGCCCGTGTTGCACTACTATTATGATTTTGGGCACGAATATTTGTCAAAACAAGAAAAAATATTTTTTTGCTGTTTTGGTTTTGGACTACTGTTCATAGAGTGTTTTAGCATTATGTAAAATAAAACAAGGCACACCAAACATGTTTTTGTTTTCAAAATTGACAAGCAGAAACAAAACGCATGCCAAATTGAATGTGGTGAAAATTTTTGCTGAATATTTTGTTGATTGTTTATGTTCCGAAGCAAGCAGCTTTGTTTGTTACAATGATGGGCCATCGTATGCATAAATTGTAAAATTTCTTGTCGGTGCAAACCAACTGCTTGGTTAAATACCCAACCGAAGATAATTTATGTTCCAAAGCATGAGTCTTTGTTTGTTACAATGATGCGTCCATGCATGCATAAATTGTAAAAATTTTGTTGGATGCAAACCAACTGCTCGGTTAAATGTCATTTTAAGGGTCAGGATCCTGAATGTGATTCAGATTTCAGAAATACACACACACACACACACACACACACACACACACACCTATGTATGTATGCATTAATGCATGTATCCATCCCTAAAAGTCAAGCAATGATACGACAGCTTGGTGGAGGAATGGGATGTACAGCTGGTGAAGTGTCCGGTCACCCTCTGCGGTGCGGTGACATCCACAGCCAGGTCCATATCATCCTTGAGCTGTTTAGAATCAGGGGTGCTGCTCCCAACTCCAATTACCTCTTCACAGGAGATTAAGTGTTATGTGATGTCAATTTGATGTTTTATTTTCTTATTGTTTGGGTTATTTGTGTTGGATGTGATGTAATGTTATTGTTAATCTGGTATTTTGGTTTTATCATTTATTGAGAATGTGAAATGTTGTTTTTAAGGTTTTAATTGATAAGACAAGACAGATGAGTTGAACTATAATTACAACTCAATGGTTTTTCAGTTTAGTCAAGGGCTTTCACCAATTTAATTTTGATGAATGCTGTTCCCATATGTTGCTTTCTTTTACCATCAGTATTATTAGTGACTTAATGTCCAATGACTTGTTTTTTTCCATTGGATGAAAAAGAAAATCATTTATCCTCCAAACTCATAAATTCAAGTATTCACCCATATACTTTAATTGATTTTACATCTCACTTTTGAGTATTATTTGGAGTGTAAAAATTAAAAAATTAATTTGGAAAATTTGAATATCATTTTCTTTGAAACAAAACGGAAAGTTGTTCTTTTTAATGTAGTATAGATCTCCTTGGTGGGTTTTTTTTTTATTTTTGATTCTATATTCTCGTGAACATCATATTAGGGTTTTTATAATTTTTTTCTGTTAGGTCCTATTTGAAGTTGTATTTTTCTTAAAAAAAACAAATCCTTTCTAAAGTTGCAGGTGGCTAGAGTTAATCGTACCTCCAATAATTTTAAGGTTGTTGCTTGTTCAAGTAGAAGAAAGATGAAAAGCAGTGCACCTTTTCTTCCTGAAGAGATCATATTCAACATCTTGCTTTGGTTACCTGCTGAGGTTCTTTACAATGTGATGAGGTATGTTTGTCGAGAGTGGTATAATATGATCAATGACCCTGATTTCATTAACGCACACCTTCAAAAATCAATTGGTGGCTTCTTAATCTTAAATTGCGACATTACAACTACGATTTATTCTGTGGAGATACGTAATTGTGATGCTCAGATAAAATTTTTAGGAGAGATGGGTAATTGTGATGTTCATATAGGAATGTTCGGACGCGAGTTTCCTTTGCATCTTTGTGGTAGTTTTGATGGTTTAGTTTTCTCTTACTGCGTTTATAGGGGTACCTACTGTGTCACAAATCCTATTACGAAGCGAGTGGTGAAGCTCCCACCATTTTTCAAAACAAATTGGACAAGAGCTCCCCATATAACATATGTTCGCTCTACAGGAAGATACAAAGTGATGATTTTTATTCATGATGAAAACAAACTTGATGCGTGTTTAATATTAACTGTGGGTATTGATAATGCTTGGAGACAGATTGATTTTAAATATATGCCAGACCTTCATCCTTATTTGTTTAAATGTGATACATTTTCCACCGGAGGGTATATTTATCTGGCTGATCATCGTGCTCGTCATCTATTTGCTTTGGATGCTGAAGCTGAACTATTTCACCAGTTTAATGTTCCAAATGTGTGCCACACGGCAATTAGAGTTACTTATATTGTGTGGAAAAGCTTTCTAGCTTTGTTGGCTCATTGTGGTGAGTTTGTTTGGGAGCTTTGGGGCTTGACGGAATTGAGTACAGGTGAGTGGACCAGGATTTCGAACATTGACTTGAGTGGTCAGAGATGGAGGATTGAGAGGGTTTTTAGCAATGACTTGAGATACCAGAGATGCATGATTGACAGGATTGTTGGCAATGAATCGAGTCCTCTGAGTTTTGGTTGGGATGGTAGGGATGACTTAAGACATCAAAGACGCAAGATTGATCAAATATCTGATGTCCGTGAGATGTCTCTGGACCGTTGTTTGGTTCCTATTACCTCGTTAAAAAATGGGGAGCTGGTTGTCTTTCGTGCGGTAGATCCATTTAACACGTACTTTGTTTATAACCTCCAGACAGGAAAGGTTTGCTCATTTAAGGGGTACATATACGACAGACATATATCAAACGTATGTTTCACTGAAAGCCTCCTAGTTCATCTTGTCATTCCTTCTTCAAGGCGAGGGTTACAATTGTGTTCTGTATTTAAATTCGTTTATTATGTTTTCATCAATTGTGACTGAGTACTGGTACTGTCCTAAGGAGAATTCTATAATTGCCCTGCTTATGTTGGTGCTTTGATATATATATATATATGTCAATGATACATATTTGGGAAAATTGATACTTCAATTTTGGAATTAAAGGAAATTTATTTCAAAATTTAAAATGATTTTTTTTCAATTCTAATTCCAAACTGTGGATATTGTCATTCTAAACGCAACATTAGAGTAGCTTTTAAACTTAAAAATTAGGGTAGTTTTTAAACTTAAAATAAGACTGGCTTGTTAAACACGTTAGGTAGTTGTTTACTATATTGACCAAAAAAAAAAAAAAAAAACTGAGAGAGGGCATGTGTTGGATTTTTGTTAAAAATAAAAAAATAATGTTTTCACTTTAGTACTTCATGGGAGTGAGATTGTTTGGTGAGTTTTCTAACTGAGTTGAAATTCAGAAAACAATTTTTTTTTAGTTCTTGTTCTTTGAAAACTAAACCAAATAGATCTAAAAAGTTTGAGGGTCTTTATAAAAGGGTTTGTTTGGTGAGTATTCTAACTGGGAGTTGAAAATCAGAAAATTGAAGAAAAATCTGTTTTCAATTTTTTATTTAAATTTTTTTTTTCTTTTTTTTTTTTTTTCAGAAACCAATTTTTTTAGTTCTTGTTCTTTGAAAAACAAACCCAATAGATCTAAAAAGTTTGAGGGTCTTTATGCAGTCGATATAGTCTTTAATTAATGGGTAAATTATATTGAGGCCAAATTTTACACCTCAAATTATTTTTTAGGATGTATCACATCTGAGAAATTAATTATTACAATCGTTACAACGATTACATGATGCAATAAACGGTTACTCGTGATCGCGCCCGCGGACGAACTTTTCAAACTCGCTTTTTTGTTCATATTACTCGATCAAATTTGCGTCGAATTCATTATAAGGTTGACGCACTCCCCGTGATAGGGGCTGCAACACATCTCGCTATTATTGTAAAACCTGTTAGCGAGTCGTTTTGCTTGGCAGGTTTTAACAATGATTATTTTGCATGTGCACCTACGGAAACTTTATACGACGAGAAATAAAGTTAATAATTTGACAAGAAATATTACACATGCATTTAACCATATACTTTTTATTTTTAAAGGTGAGGGAGAATAGCTAAACTATTGCCTTTGAGACAATTTTCACACAATCAACACTCATTACAGCGATAATGGAACACCCGTGACTTTCACTGCATTAAAAATATAAAATATGGAATATTTTTACTTTCAGAATGCAAAACTATTATTTCAAGAATGTGTTTCATTTTGTATACAATGAGTATTGCATTTATTGTGCTAGAGGACTCAAATTTTTTTTTTTTTTGAAAAACCTTATTTAGTAGGGTCCTAAAAAAATTGAAATTACAAAAAGGTTAAAATTTTATTAATAAAAACTATTAGGCCCCCAAAATAATGTGAAAAATCCTACGGAGTATTTAATAGCCTTGAAATAAAAAATTGTAAAAAAATTACTTACAAGAAATATTTTAGAAAAACTAACATTTGACTTCGTAAAGTTTTGTAAATAATCTCAATTTAAAATCTTTTAAGCTTTACTTTTTGAAATCCACATTTAAATAAAAAATGAGGATATAATCCAATTTTTTCATCCTCTCCTTATTTTACTTTAGATTTTCTTGGTCCAGTTTATATAAAATATATATATAGATATTATACATGCCAAAATTAGTTTATAAATTATCTTTTCTAGTTTTTCAATTTTTTTGTATAAAAAATAAATAAATAGAAGACTATAATAACATAATATTATTTATTTATTTATTTATCTTAAAAAAATTATATACTAGTACTAATTTGTTGGGGGTGTCTACTTTGTTGTACTGTGAAATGAAGATTGTAATGGAGTTCCGTTACATAGTTTTTGATAGTCATCAAATTCACAGTTCATTACGCGCTTTTTTTAGACACAAACGGCTAAGATTTCGGAAGTTCTCACACACACTGATCATGCTGCGACTTTTGTGTATGAATGATTTTATTTACATTCTCTCTCTAACGTCTCCCTTTCTCTCTCTCCCTCTCTCAATCGCGAAGACTGCTTCGGAGAAGCCCCACGTTTGTTTGCACATTTATTGGGCGCTTCTATACCCAATTTTCTCTCGGAGTAGCTTCTGTAGAAATGCTCTGCAATTCGAAGATTGCAATCTAGGAATAAGAAAGGAACAGAGAGAGAGGTATAAGTTTATTGAGTTTTGAACATTTTTTGTTTGTTTTTCTTGTTTTTGTTGCAATTTTGGTTATCTGGGTTTACTGCGTTTCGGCATTGTAGTTTTGGGTTGCAGAGTTTATTTCTGAATCTGGGTATTACAAGAACTAGTTTAGGAATTTAGGGTTTGCTCAATTTCAATTTTGTTGATCCATTTTTGTCCAAAATCCTGGAATTGGTGTCTGGGTTTTGCTTACATTAGGGTTTTGTCAGTTGGGTATTGGATGTTTTGGGTTGCAAAATTTTAGTTTTGAATGTTGATGTTGCTGGAATCAGTTTAGGGATTTAGGCTTTGTTGATCCTTATTTTTTTTGTTGTTCAAAATCTTGCAATTGGTGACTGGGTTTTGCTCACATTTGGATTTTCTTAGCTGGCTTGTGCTTGGTTAGTATAAGATTGTTTCATCCTCAGTGAAATTTAAAGCTTTTCTCTGGTATTTTTGGAGAATTTTGGTGCTTATAGTAAACTGGTTTTGGATAATTCGACAATGGAATGAAGTTGCGTCGTATGTTTTAAAAAGCGTGGATATTTGGGCTTGTTAAATGTGCAACTTTCTAAGATGGATTTATAAGGAAAGTTTCTTAACGAATGGATTCATCACCGCCTGCTCCAAACTCTTCACCACCTCCTCTTGAGACACCGACTCCTACAACCCCTTCTGGTTCTTCAGCTCCACCTCAGTCTCCTCCACCAGCATCTCAATCTCCGCCACCAGCAAATGAGACAAATGCTTCACCTCCTCCATCTCCTCCGAAATCACCACCACCTTCTCCTCCAGCATCTCCCCCGCCTTCAGCTCCTGCTTCCCCTCCTCCAGCGCAGAATTCGCCCCCTCCAACTTTGTCCCCACCACCGCCTCCTCCCCAAGCCTCCCCAAATGTGACTAACCCACCTCCTAATGTTACTTCACCTTCTCCGCCACCTGCACGAGTCCAATCACCTCCTTCCAACAGTTCTTCACCTCCCCCACTTGCAAAGCCACAGGAAGGGTCTCCTCCTCCAGGTCCTGAGTTAACACCTTCTCCTCCATCTACTTCTCCGCCCTCAACAAGTACCCCCCCAGGTCCTCCATTGTCTCGTCCTCCTCCCCGCTCATCATGGTCACCACCTCCTCCCCAATCATCATGGTCACCTCCATTTCTCTCTCCTCCTGTTCCTCGAAGTAATTCATCAGTCACTACAACTCCCCCTACCTCATCATTATCCCCTTTTCCAACAGAGGAACCAACTGCAGAATCAACTATACCTGGTTCAGATACAACATCAGATGCCTCATCCCCAGATACTGGGGGGGTTATGTCCGGACTGGCTATTGGCACTGTAGCTGGGGTTTTGGCCCTTAGTCTTGTCATTATGGCTGTGTGGTTTACACGGAGACGAAAGAAAAGCCAGACTGGATGCGGTGGTGACTATATTATGCCTTCTCCATTTGGTTCCTCCCAAAAATCAGGTGAAGAGTTGAATTGTTATTGTTACCGTGTTATTTTCTTTTTAATTACTTATTATAAAATCTTAGGTCTTGAAGTGCGTTTCTTCAGGTTCTGTTTTAGATTATTTTCAGAATGCTCAATGAATTACCAGTCCTTCTCTTAGTGGCAGTATAATAATTATGAGTTATGACTCTGAAAAAGCATTCATAATTTAGTAACAGACAACATATCTCACCCAATATACTGCTTTACATGATATTCTCTTTTGAGGGACGAATTGGGATATTACATCTGAATATGTTCTGTTTGAAGAAATTTAAAACTTATGTGCCATGTTTTCAACAAATAACTCAGAATCTCAGCTCAGTTCCACTCAATAAGTCTTGGCCAAACTATTCAGCAATGACTATACTAGATTCTACTCAAAGAAACTCATCCTAGATTCTAGTCAAAGAAACTCATCCAAAATAATAGATCAGCTACATAAATTTTGTTTCACCATTCTACTCCATCTAGGGCCCTTTGGTTTTTATTTTCTGTGAGGTCCTGGATGTCCAAAAGAAAAAAATAAAAAATAAAAAGGGAACAATGCGGCTGTAGTAATGAAGTTAATGAGGCATAGATGTTTCTCTTCAATTTTTTTTTTTTCAATAAATCTGTTTATGAAGATGTAGAATCATATGATAAGTTGGGCCATTTGTGGCTGTTGTAAATCTGTAATTCTCTTCCTCTTCTAACAACTTATCAGCAGTCAAGTGATGCATAATGATTTCAAACATTATATTTCCGCTAGTGACATGCCACAGTGCATATTATTTTTCGATCCATAGTTTGGAGTTGGTTGGCAGCTGCAACAAATGTTTTCATCACTATGCGGACATGAAAATGAAGTTGATGGGAATTAAATATTTTTCCAGATTCATTTTTTATGAAGCGCCGAAAGTCACCTCATCTAGCTAGAAATGCTTCATGTTTCACTTATGAAGAATTAGCTGAGGCTACAAATGGGTTTTCAGCACAAAATCTTTTAGGTGAAGGCGGGTTTGGTTGTGTTTACAAAGGAATCCTAGTCGATGGAAGAGAAGTTGCTGTTAAACAGCTAAAGATTGACGGTGGACAGGGGGGACGTGAGTTCAGAGCAGAAGTTGAGATTATCAGCCGAGTACACCATCGCCATTTGGTCTCACTTGTGGGTTACTGTATATCTAAGCATCAAAGATTGCTTGTCTATGACTACGTCCCAAATAACACCCTTCATTATCATCTCCATGGTAAGATACACTTTTTCTCAAATTGGATTACTTTTGACTTCTCTAAGCATGCCATCTTTATGTTATATGGATTTGCAAAGACAAATTGAGATCCAAGTAGGTTCCACATCAAGTATCTATGTAGAAAAAGATTTGGTCCAGATGTGACCATTCATAATTGATTTTACATCAATAATCTTTCAAGAGATGTTCACGTTGTGGTGGATCTTCTTTTATTGGCCATGTGCACATGCCCACTTAAGGTGCTTTGAGAGAGTACTTTGGGTTGAGATTCAACTGAAAATTGTCATTTAAAAAACTGTTGTGAACTTGTGATGGCAATTTCACCTTTTTACCCTATCCTTTTTGGGCTTTTTGCAGGTGAAGGTAGGCCAGTTATGGATTGGGTAACTCGGGTAAAAGTTGCTGCTGGTGCAGCTCATGGAATAGCTTACCTGCATGAAGACTGTAATTTTTATCCTTTTGTCTATTTCGTCTTTTTGGTACTTCTAAAAAAGTCTGTATACTGTAGGTACATAGTTATCAGAGACTAACCCCCAATATTATGATGCATCGAAATATTTGTTTATTCATAGTGTCCCACTTTAAGTACTTTGCGATTTATTCTTTGCTGCAGCAATGAAAGATGCAGATGTTTTGTGATCACAAATTAGTATAAATTGCCAATCTTTTTATTATGTCTGAAGAATAATAAAATCCATAATTGGAACAAGTTTCTTATTATTGGATCAAAGCTACTAATTACTGCAGTATGCAAGGTAAGATAATAGTTAATTTATGGCGGCTGATCCTTGTTGCCGATCACTAACATCTATTGAGACATTTATAATTCAAAAATTATTTTTAACGGATCAACTGTGTTTGAGGTTCTTTATGGCAAAATTATGGTGTGCTGTCCTTGTTACATACATTTTTCCTCCTCAGATATTTTCATAACTGACATCTGCTGAGATATAATTTTTTTTTTTTTCATTTGATATGTTTATTAGGTCATCCCCGGATTATTCACAGGGATATTAAGTCATCAAACATACTCTTAGATAACAACTTTGAAGCTCGGGTATGCTTAATTTCTGCAGCCTGGATGCAATGTTTTCTCCTAACTCTTGTTGTTTCATGCCTGGGGCTGTACTTTTCAAGTGTTGTTAATATTAACCAAATCGCTGACATGCCTCAAATATCCCAATATGACTGGCACTTTGAGCATCCGATATTTCTTTTATTTTAATTTAGGCCTTTCTTGTGAACAATTAGTGTGCTTAACTTGCATGTTCTCTCAATGACAGGTTGCAGATTTTGGGCTTGCAAAGTTAGCACTGGATGCAAATACACATGTGACGACACGTGTGGTTGGAACCTTCGGGTATGTAACCAGCACATGTTTAGTTCTGGCCCCTGCTAAAGAATTCGGCAGGACATGTGCTGGCACATTATATGTGTTAGTTTATGTTTTGTGTTGTATAAGCAAATTTCAATATTGAGGCACGGGAACCAAAGACATTATGATGGTCTCTACCATTGATATCTGCCCCAACATGGAACTTGATTAAAAGCTTATAATAATAAATGAAGGTATCTCATACCAAGGGGGGCATAAATATTCTGTCTTTTGGTCTAATACATGTTGAAGAAGGCATATGTGGAATGAATGGTCATGGATGTATGCCATGCTTTCACTTTCTCATTTGGATTCATCTGATGAATGACCTTTGGTGATTTTCCAGATACATGGCACCGGAGTATGCATTAAGTGGCAAGTTGACTGAAAAATCTGATGTATTTTCATTTGGTGTTGTGCTTCTGGAGCTCATTACCGGTCGTAAACCTGTGGATGCATCTCTGCCATTTGGTGAGGAGAGCCTGGTTGAATGGGTAAGCTTCATATACACAAACCTTCTTTTTTTGTTTGCCCTTCTTGCTTATGTCATCTATTGTACAAATTTTTTATGTAACGTCTTTTATGGAGTGCTGTATCTAGTTCTGACAACATTAAAAATCTGGAAATGTGAATATAAAGAAAAGGTTAAAAGTGCTTAGAATATCACAATGACACAAGATTAAATGTTAAATCCTTGGTCATGCATGACATGGTGTCATGTGCAACTTTAGGGCATCCCCATATTCTAAAAGTTCAATGCCAATGCTAGTTGTCAATTTCTTTTTAGAAAGATGGTCTGCTTTTTCCGCAGAAAAAACAAATTGATAATGCGACTTTTTATTACCCACATCTGCCACGCTTTGGTTGGAAATACGTTCTATTAGCTCTTGGAGATGAGTTTTTGCATATCAGTCAATTTTGGTGGGCACCTTGCAATGATGGTTTTGTTTTGCTACCTGTGGATTTCACTTCTTATCTAATCTTCAATTTTGGTTCGGCTCAAAAAACCTAATATATATATATATATTGTATAAAAATGGCGAATTTGATTTTAAATTGTTGAATTGTTCAAAATTTGGATATATTGCAATTCTTGGAATACATTGAAATAAGGCAAAATTGTACTAAAGTCCCTGAAATATCCAAATTTCCCGAAAAACACCTTTGAACTATATTTTGTGCCAAGGAACTCCTTCAACTTTTCAAAAGCTGCCAAACTACACCCCTGGACTAGATGGCTATCCAATTCCGTTGATTTTCATTGTGATTTACAATTTTGCCCTTAAAAACCTTTTAATAAAAATATATATATTAGAACTCTTTTGGGAAAGTGGTTGTGGAGATTCGGTAGGGAACGACATCGCCAGTGGAGAAGGATTGTTTCGTGTTGTTTTGGGGAGGAGATCGGTGGCTGGTCCTCCCGTCCAATCTCTGTTGCAGGAGGCGTCGGCATGTGGAAATTCATTCGAAAGGGTTGGGATGTCTTCTCCTCACATATCAGATTTAAGGTTCGTGATGGTAGGCGCATCCGCTTTTGGGAGGATTTATGGTGTGGAGATCAGTTGTTGTCTTGCTCCTTTCCTAAACTTTATGGTATAGCCGAAGATAGACACGCTACGTAGTTGACTGTTATCGGCTTGATAGCAATGAGATTACGTGGGATGTGCGTTTTAGGCATTCTTTTCAGGATTGGGAGATGGATGAGGTATGTGCCTTTCTAGATATGTTGTATCAGTAGGAGGTAGTGGGTAGAGGTAGTGATGACATTTTGTGGGTTCCTTCCTCCCACGGTAGATTTGGTGTTCGGTCCATGTTCCTTTGTCTTTCCAACTTCGTTGGTCCCGCTTTCCCATGGAAGACTATATTGCGCTCTAAGGCTCCACTTAGAGTAGCATTCTTTGTTTGGACTGCCATTTGAGGCAAGATTTTGACGTTGGACAACTTGAGAAAGAGAGGCAACACTATCATTAATTGGTATTGTCTATGCAAATGAGATGGTGAGTCTGTGGATCACATTCTTATGCACTGTCCTGTGGCGTACGATTGTTGAAACCTCATTTTCGGCATATTTGGTGTACGTTGGGTGATGCCTTAGTCTTCCAAAGGACTGATTAACGCATGGAGAGGATGCCCAGTGAGAAGCCATGCTCGCGACTATTGGAGGATAGTTCCACACTATGTTTGGTGGTGCATATGGAAAGAGAGGAATAGCAGAATTTTCGATGGGAAGGAATTGCCTTTGGCGACCTTGAAACTTCATATTCTTCGTTCTATTTCTTGTTATGTAAAAGGAAGCGTTTGCTCCTCTACTAATGACTTAGTTGATCTTTTGGACTCTATAGGTCCTTAGGTTCAACTTTCGTTTTATGTATTAGGGACGCGTTCCCCTTTTGAACGCTTTTCTAATCGATTATTACTTTAAAAAAAAAAAAAAAAACCTCAGAGAAGCATAAGCTGGAAATGGGGGGCTTATTGTGTTTCGATATGGTCATTCAAAGAGCTATCAATGTCCTCTTCTTCTTCTTCTTCTTCTTCTTCTTCTTCATTCATTCTCTCATTTCTTTGCAAAATCACAGCGTTTGATCGTGGCTTTTAACTCCATTCAGATCTTGTGCCTTGAAGCTCCTCACTTCTACCGAATAATTTATGCACAGATCACCACACAACTCATTACAGCGTCACAGGACTCAGCTTCAGACTAGAGCCAACTAGAGATCATATATGCCTAAAGTTGTCAATAAGAATGACTTGGACAAACGACTAAAATAAAATTTCAATTTATTCTTATAGCCCACAAATTACACCCCAGTTCTAACTTGTAATCTTATTCAATTGGAGCATTAATTCTTTGGTCCGGGTATCTAATCAAAACCCATTTATTCAATAGCTGAGGTTTGCTTCCAGCTATGACAACTTGGAATCAAATAATACAAAGCATTGACCTAAACATTAACATCAATTAACAAAAATGAATCACATTCATTTAATGAAAATACACATTAAAAATACATATATATATATATATATATATATAATATTTATACATACATTCCATGGTTTACAACAATGACTTAATCGTAAAAGTGAATCAAAATCTATCAGTAAACCAAACAGTGAGCCCCCCATTTGGTTGCTAGGAAATCAAAGGAAAAGAAAAATAAATTAATTTTGATCTTATAAACTTTACTTACCAAAATTTTTTTTTGATCTAATTATCTTTATCGTGGACCAAAGTGATTGATTTATGGAGAAACCCTGAATGATATACAATCAGAGCAAAGTGAGGAGAGGACTGACCTGATCTGGGGATAAATGATTCTGTAGAAGCGAGGAGCTTCGAGGCGCAAGGTCTGAGTAAATTGTTCCACACTTCTTGTCAAAGGGATATTTTGGGTAATCTTTATTGGCCAAATAGTAAAATACCAAAATCACAACGAAGTTTAATGGAATTGGACGGTCGTCTAGTCCAGGGGTGTAGTTTGACATCTTTTGAAAAATTGAAGGGTTATTTTGCACAAAATATAGCTCAGGAGTGTTTTCCGAGAAATTTGGGTAGTTCAGGGGGCTTAGAGCATTTTTGCCTGAAATAGCTATAAAGTGTTTAGAAATCTCTTTGAAATTTACAACCTTAAGCCTGCATGGCGGCCATCATGAGCCACTTTCCTCAACTACTGCCACTTCTTTTACTCTTAGAGTTCTCTCTCCTTTCCATCCTTACATTGCTCGTGGACCACTCTATTGTTGTGAATTCTTGGCATGCCTTAAAGAATACTTGGGGCATGCCTTAAAGAATACTTGTCATAATTTGGATCAATTAGATCACTTTAATTCTCTAGTATCTTGATCGAGCCTATTGACATTGATAAATAGGCATTGGATGTAGTTAGTAGCTATAGTAATTATTGTTTGGATGATATCGTTCTCGGTGAGTTTCTTGTAGCCATCATGTAATCCATGTGGTACAAACCTTTGTTAACATGCAACTCACAAGATTCACAACTTTGTCTCTCAACAAATTGGCATACATGACGTTATGCCGCTAGGCAAGCACGTCTTCAAATATGTGGCTGCCTCATTTGGATTTACTGGTTCCTGGTTGTAGAACCGCATGAATGCTATTGGCTGTGTTTCTGGATCTAGTTTAGATATATATTTCTATTTGATAACCTTTTAACTGTTTTTTTTCCCCCCAAGTTTCCTCCTTCTGGCTCCCCTGTTCTGATCATGGCTGTCAGACAGAGAACTACATATTTCTCTTCTACGGCATTGTATTGATACATAAAATAAACCAGTCAACATCATAGTTGAAGGAAAGGAAGTGGAAGCAGAAAGGATCAAGGGCAACTGAAGTTTGACGTGGTTACAAGGGAAAAGAGGAGGCGAGAGACAATTTTGAATTGAATTGGAAGCTTATTATGATACTTATAAAGAAATTCTGATAAAATCAATGTGAAATACTGGAAAATGTAAATTCAAAAATTAATGTTAGAATATATTGGAAAACTTAAAGGAAAAGTTATTTATATTTGTTGAAAGAGAGTATGAAAAACACATAAAAATAATAAATAAATAAATAAAAGAATATGAGAAGTGCATTTCTTGGAAATTTTACAAAAAGTTAGCCAGTGTCTTTGGGAATTTCATTACAATTTTTTGAAGTTTCCAAAATGTTTGATAGCAGTTACTCTGAACTTTTTTGGGGCATTTCTAAAATGGCGTCCAAGGAAATAAATGTCCCTATAAAATAAATTTGCTGGCAACTATGGTCAAGCTAAATGCAACCAGTTTAACCTCAATAAAGCTTTAGTAGACCGTGGGTTTGTGATGCTAATTAGGATGATAAAGGAGTTAATCTGAACATGACAATGGAATCTAGAGAGAAAGTAGAGCCTAGGTGGAAACCAAATAAGTGAGAGAGAGAGAGAGAGATGACGATGTATCACTTCTTGAGAGAACGATGAGGACATATCGCTTCTTGAGGTCCAAGGGAAAATCAAATTTCTCCAATTTCTCCTCTTGATTGTAATAATGAAGTCCTCAGTTTGGTAGGTTTATTGTCATAAATGAGAGGGAACCTCTTTATATAGTAACGGGATCTGAAGGACGTTTAGGTAAAGATTCCTGTTTAAAAGGTTTGTTCCTGGCTAAATACATCAAACAACAAGACATATTGTTAAAGTTAAAGTTAGGCATGGTTTTCTAAGACAACATAGATGGTTCCAATTTGCAAAGTTCATTAAATGTGAATCTTTGACACTTGTAAAATAAAAAAATTTATGCGAATGATAGACACAATTCAGGTTTGGTGGTTGAGTTCATTAAATTTGATAGGATAGGTTGATAAACTCAATTTTCCGTCTCAAGAACCATGGAGTCCTCCCTCTCTTGTACCCTACCAAGTTACTCTTCTTTAGATAAAATTTAAATTCCAGCCTCTACGCCAAAAATACCCTAGGATCATGTTACATATCGTCTTGTTATACCACATCTTTTTCTCAAGTTCTACTCCCAACTTTACGTGTAGAACCTCGTTATGATGTGAGGCATGCTTGCGGAGAAGTTTGCAAGACTCCCTAGGAGTCCTTGAGGTGAGGTATGCATGTAGGCGAAGTTTTGAGGTTTATCCATGTGTAGAAGGGTTCTTGGAGTTGGAACTTGATATACATTGTTCCCATGATCTATTAGTTTAAGCTTTTGGAGCAATCGGTTACGTAACATGGTATCAGAGCCTTGGTTTTGGGTGGTCTTGGATTCAAGGCTCCATCTCTGTGTTTGCTCCAGGTTTGGCGTGTAAGTTAGCACTCGTTATGATCTTGGTTTGGTTTGTTTGCCTTGACATGTGCAAGACAGGTTGTGGTGTTGGAACTTGATAGACATTGTTCGGCCCATTATCTAACAGTTTGAGCTTTTGAAGCAAGTACTAATCTAACACCATGAGTGAAGTGTGCTTGTAGAGGAGGCTTAAGACTTATTAGTGGAGATGAAGTCGTCAAATTGAATTACATTTACACCGGCTGTGAAATTTTGACTTTTAAAAAAAGGCATCCTCATTGTCATATGTGAAAGTGCCTGTGGAGAGGGCTAAGGCCATTTATAGATGTGTCCTCATGTTGGAATTTTTACTTCTTTTGAGATTTTCAGTAGTCTCTTGCGGGCATGACTTGGAGGGTTTCCAAGCCAACTAGACCAGATCCCTGTTGCCATCAATTTCATGTTCCCATGTAGGCCAAAGATGGTGTAGTAAATTTCCGTTCAGGTCTTCATACTCCAGTTCCCCTTTAATTGAGAAACACTAATATTTTGGCAAGCAGAGTGGACAATAATCGCATCAAATATGCTAAACTTTGTCAAACAACAGCTTTGAATATTTTAATTGATGATTGATGTTAGAAAGAGGCTGGGGTGACTCAAGGCTACCATTTTCACCTCTTTTAAAACTTGAAGCATGTTTTGAATATAATTACATATCAGGGAAATAAGCAGACTAATTTTTATTAGAATTCCATATTTGTCCTATAGGCTCGACCATTGCTAATTCAGGCACTTGATAATCAACACTTCGAAGAGCTTGTAGATCCAAGGCTGGAAAAGAATTTCGTTGAAAATGAGTTGCTCCGAATGATTGAAGCCGCTGCATCTTGCGTTCGCCATCTATCTTCAAAGAGACCGCGAATGAGTCAGGTGCTTATAATCAAATGCCTTTTTGTGTGTGTGTGTGTGTGTGTGTGTGTGTGTGTGTGTATATATATATATATATATATTATAATTTGTTCTTTTATTTCAGTCAGAACTTGAAATGATTCCCCATCTTTCCCTCTCAGGTGGTGAGAGCTTTATATTCCTTAGTCCAGTTGTCAGATATAACGAATGGAATGAAACCTGGACAAAGCGAAGTCTGGCAACAATCAACGGAAATCAGAATGTTTCGGAGGATGGCATTTGGAAGTAAAGACTGGAGTACAGATTTTTTCAGTGAGTCTAAGAAGAAAGTGAATAGTTAAGAATGCAGCAACCGGCACATATAGGAAATCACAAGTTCATAATGGATACAACAATAGACCACAGTGTGGAAACATTGTGTTTACTTGCAGGCAAACAAGCAATGTGCCTGGAAAAGCTAGGAAGTTCCGTCATATACTTGGAAGCAGCAATTTGAAAGGCACCCAAAACAGAAAAAGAACTTGTTCGAAACAGTGCCGACTTCTCTTGATCACAAGCATCATGAATTGAATATTATGTAATTAAGTCCCTTTGCGCATCTCATGTAAAATCTTAAGCATTTTTCCGTGTAATTTTGTTGTATCGATTGGTTAGCATGATTTGCTTGTAAGGATACAGTTCCCTTCTTCTGTATTCTCTGTATATTGAGATTCATCAGTTTATCCTCTCACCGCATTTATTCTCATGTTATAAGATTTCAGTTGTTTAATCTTAATACATAAATTTCCCTTTTACTTCAAATAACTTGAATTCTCTTGCTTGAATGTGTGCAATTTTGATATTTCTAGACTCAATATATTCTTCTGCAATTTCGGGCAGTTTAATAATAATTCATTGAAACGGTTGTTTTGGAAGCAATGGATGTTAAAGTCAATAGAAAAATTGTGGATATCATGGTCAAAGGTTAGACATGAAATTTTCTATTGAAATTTTCTGTTTGGAGAATGGGTGGTGAAAAGACAGAATTGTACTTTTTTTATCACATTATTGCAGGATTTCAAGAGAAAGGCGCAGCAGAAACAGTGTTTTGGATTCAAGTTTTGCCAAGTCGATTGATTTGGTATCCTATCAAATAAGAAGCCAATATTATATAAATGCCTCAAGTTCAGTACATATTTTACCCTAACAAGCAAATTAAGATTTTTTTTTTTCAAAAAAGTCACGACCAGAAACTCACACACTCTTGCGGTGAGGACTTAAACCCTGGACTTTTTGTTTTGGAAGACAATGATGTGTCACTGGACTACAGCCCTAGGGTGGAGGCAATGCAAAAGGGATTTGAATCTGGATCCGTCTTGTGATGCGATACTGTGCCTCAAATTTGGGATACTGTGCCTCAAATTGCTGCACAAGCCATGTAAAGGGACATTGAGAGAATTGGGTTAAAATTTGTTCACGGATGTGTCCTAACTCCTGATTGGTAGCTTAATTGATCTCTATCAGTGGAGGGTCCACTTGACACATGAACTAATAATTATATCCTTATAATTGTTTGACTTTTTCTTTTATAATTTTGACTTCAGGTATTTAATATTATTACTCTCTCCGTCTTAATTTAAGTGTTGTTTTTGTAGAGTAATAATTTTTAAAGAGACATATGGGACATGCATTGTCTTCATGAAAATTTATTAAATTATCTTTTTAAGTTTTGAATATTCCAATTTAAAATTTAAAATTCAAAGTATATATATAGAAAGATGTGAAATATATTGTTTGAAAAATAAAAATAAATAATTATTTTGAGACAGAAAAAAAAGGAAAGTATGATTTTTATTTTGAGAAGAAATTATTAAATTGTTAAAAATTATTTTGGGAGAGAGAGAGAGAGTATCTCCATAGAGGTCCAAGTGTGCTTATAATATTGCCACATAAATGGTTGGGATAGGACTAACAGGTAAAATGTCTTTGTTTCTGACTCATAGATAGAGAATGCAATTAAATGTCTCGTGCATTTCCATCTAATATTCTCATCTACCACGTCCATATCTATTAGAAGCTTTTACATGCATTGAAAGAGAGAGAGAGAGAGAGAGAGAGAGAGAGAGAGAGAGAGATGGAGTGCTACAGAGAAGAAGTGGTGGTATCAATACCATTAGAGACACCAACTCTTGGTGATGAACAAAGGAAATGTAATGGGAATGTTTTTAGCTGTAGTTTGAGTGCAAGAGAGAGGAAATTGGTGTGTGTGACTAGTGGGAACTCTTACTTCGGTTCTCACTTGGTCAGGAAGCTCTTGGCTCATGGCTACCTCGTAAGAGTCACCATTCAAAACCAAGGTGCCTTTCTCTCTCTATATATATATGTGTGTGTGTGTGTGTGTGTGGGTAGGGGCTGCTGAATCTAAAGCTCTAGTGGATCGAGCATACCTGATCTATACATAGAGAATGTTGGATAAAATGACTAATTCAGTGCACAAAGCTCCTACCATTGTGCGCCTAGAAAGGGTCAGATATATGCAGCTTACAGTAACATTATAAATAGGGTCTTTGTTATTGTTTACCTATTTTGCTAGTACATGGACTACCAATTAATTTATGAACTGTTTCAGAGCACTTAAAATTCTTCAACAAGGTGAAGTATATAAAAAAGAATAGTTCAAAAGATCAGATTCTTATGCCCCAGTTTGCATTGTCATTTACCCATATAAAGATGTAAAAATGGAAATCTAACTTGTAGTTTTTTGTTGGAAGATATCAGTACGTAAGTTTAATATATATAAATTAACAAAAAAAATTAAAATATATATAGCTAGAGTGCTAGACATAGTAATATCCTTTTCATTTTTCTCCTTTGAGCAGTGGACATTGAGGATATGAAGGAGTTGATAAGAGAAGAAGAGATGAATAAACTAGAGAGTGTTGTAGTAGCAAAGATGGGAGATTTGGAGAGTCTCTGTGATGCTTTTAGAGGTTGCCATGCTATTTTCCACACCTCCTCCTTCGTTGATCCGCATGGTATCTCCGGATATACGGTTAGTACGATTTGCACATTCTTGCTTCATTGCACAAACTATACGATGATGAGCTATTAGGAACCATACGAAATGAAGTTATTCGATTTTGGAATGATAACACGACGGTTCTCTTGTATTTTTTGTCGTTATTATAATTTTTTTTTTTTTTTACAGTAAAATTGTGTTTGGGAGCATTGAATCGGTATCTTGAATTGAAATTACAATTCCAATTCCACAGCCTCGATTCAGTGCTCCCAAACATAGCTCGAGTCAAATTCCTCTGTGACTCGAGAGAGAAGTAGTTTCACCTCAAGAGATCGAGGCTAGACTTCAAGCCTTGTAACCTTTGAAAGAACCAAAGACACAGTATACATAAGCTTGTGTCTTCTCTCCTGCCCCTAAGATAGCATCATTTACTAATCATCCTGTTCTTGCAGTTTAGTAAAATTTCTAACTCAAAAAAAAAAAAAAAAAGTGTGTTCTAAAGGAGATGCATAATTAATTTCAGGAGCAAATGGCATTTCTTGAAACTGAAGGAGCAAAGAATGTCATTGAAGCTTGTGGCATAGTAGCATATGTGAAGAGATGTATCTTCACTTCTTCTCTGCTTGCTTCCATCTGGAAACGCGACAACGCGGACAGGGTTGTGGATGAGGGCTGTTGGAGTGACGAGGAATTCTGCAGAGAAAATAAGGTATTTCAATTCATTGTGTCATGTCATAAATAATACCACATTCTGGTTTTTTAAAACTTTTTATTTAAGAAGATCAAGAAAATTGGCTTTTTTTCTTGATCCTGTTGGGAGATTTTCATAATTTGAAGTATTAGATTTTTTATATTGGAAAATTGTAGAATTTTTCTATAACATATTAGTATTTTATATTTAGAAGTTCAAGTTCTCTCCCTCTTTTAACAATTTACATCAGAAATAGCTGAAATTTCCAACCAACTTTTCCTGGTCACACTTGTGTTATTTTATTTTTTTTCGCAGTAAGCAAAGAAATTTGTAATCACTTTTCTTGGTCACACTTTAAATGTTACCATGTTTCATCAATTGCAGTAATTTAAAACACAAATCACTTTAGTGTTTACCTATTAATAAACATGTTGCATCAATTTTTGAAAAAAAAAAAACCAGTTCTGGCTTGCATTGGGTAAGACAACAGCAGAAAAGGTTGCTTGGAGGAAGGCAAGGGAATTGAAGGTGAAGCTTGTGACAGTGTGCCCTGGCCTTCTCATGGCTCCATCTTTCCCAAACGCGCACTTTGAATCCTCTCTACCATATCTTAAAGGTAATTATATCAATCAAAATTTACGACATTTAACTCAATACCTCAATAAAGAACAAGGTGATCAAACAAGATAAATTTGCTCTACATTTTTTGCATTTGATTCAAGTCTAGACAAAGTAGGCTTACAACTTTATTTTCAGAGTACTAATTTAACATGACACGGTCAAATGTTGCATAGGCGGCCAAGTCATGCTGCAACGAGGCATCTTGGCAACTGAAGACGTCGATAGGATGGCAGAGGTGCATGTCCATGTTTACGAAGCAATGGATCACGGAGCCTGTGGACGCTACCTTTGCTTCAACAGAGTAGTAAGAAGATCGGATGAGGCCATTCAACTTGAAAATGTGTTGAAGATGCATGGTTTATTGTCTGCAGGATTAAGAAACGTGGTGTTAGCAGAAGACACTGATGAAATACCCAACAGGCTTAGCAGTTCAAGGCTTGCCAGATTGGTTTTTCGTGCTTCTCAACGTTTATTCTGCGAACAGTGCTAGTAAATCCACATTGCCGCATGATGAGAATCGAGAAAGAAATGTTCAATTGTTGAAACTTAAATTCAGCTATGGCAGTTACTCTGGCTTGTGGTACTGTGACAAAACTTTTCATGCTAATGTAATTAGAGTTATGGAAGGTATTTGAATCTTCTACATTTGTTTTCTTATAGTGTAATGAATATTTGGTCAAATTAAAATTTTGGTTGAGAGCTAAGAACAAATCATGAATATAGGGTAATGAATCTTTTCATGCTTGTAATTAGAGTTGCAGAAGATGTTCTCTTTCTACAAACCTTACCTCTATGGTTGAATAGATAATGTCTGCATTGCACACTCTTCGTGCTCACGGTTTTTAAAACCCATCTACAAAGTTAGAAAACATTCACAAATATAAGTGCTAACGACCCTTCTTCGCAGAGGATGTGGGACATCACAAGTTGGAAGAAATTATCATTTTTAGATCTTTTAACCTAATTATGGTCAACCTTTTCATGCACCAAATGAATGATTTACTTACCTATCATGAAGAAGAAATGAATGGTTTGTGACAGATTTTCTAAACATGACAATGGTGGTGGTCAATTGGTGATAAAGGGTCTCAACCTCATCTAGTTAAAGTTTTTCTTTTTTTTCTTTTTTTTTTTTTAAATTTCACAATCATAATCAAAATCTTCTAAGATTTACAAATGAAAGCTCCTGTTTGTTTCGGAGTAAAAATATATATATATTTTTTAGATAAAATATTTTCTTCTATTTTTATTTTTTGATATTTTGCAAAGGTCTAAGTCGAGGTTGAGATCGAGTTGCCAAAAATTGACGAGTAAGTTATTTTAAAAAAAAAATTTCTTTGTAAATATTTTATGACTGCCAAACACCAAAAAATGAAAAATATTTTTTTAAAAATATTTTACATCTAAACAAAATGAGCAAAAATGAAGGTTAAATTAATTTGGAATTCATAATGTAATTACAAAGGTAAATAATTTGGAAAACACTATCCAACCAAAATTTGTAAACATATATATACATGTATATGTATATGTATGTAACACTAATTGGAGATGCAAATCTAACTATTATGTAACAATGTTCAAGACACTTGAATTAGTTGAAACTCTAAAAAATGTTTTTGCGATGGTGAATAAGCATACAATAACATATAATTTGCTAGCATGGCACATCCTACATAGTTATGAATCCTATGATAAAAAATTGTAGTGTAAATTTGTGTTTCACAGTGTAAAAATTTAAGAGGAGTACTTTTAATTATATTATCATCATCACTCTTATTTTTATTTCGTATTACTAATATACAATAACATAAGAGAATAAAATAAGTGAAAAAATAAATAAATAAAATTATTGTTCTACAACAAAACATGGATACTTAAAGGCTTAAAGCGAACAACATATCATTAAAATTTAAAGAGTAAAACATTTACTTAAATTCTTCTAGTGTTTAATAGGGGAGTAAATTATTGACTTAACTATATTTTATTTTAAAGAGCAAGTGTTAAATCTCTTTGGAACGGCATACGACGTCGTGGTGCGTTAATTGCCAAACAAACGATCGAGAAAGGACGACTCTCCGTTTTCACTTTTCAGTCCTCTACGGCTCTACCATCTGAAAGAACGTACTGAGAGAGTGAGAGAGAGTTCAGAGAGAGAGAGAGAGAGAGATGGGGGAAGAAGAAGATCCGCAGAGGCTGAAGCGAATAGCAGCAGCGTCCTATGACTACGAGAACGACCCAAGATGGGTGGAGTATTGGTCCAACATTCTCATCCCTCCCCACAAGGCCTCTCGCACCGACGTCATCGACCACTACAAGCGCAAGTTCTACCAGCGCTATATCGTTCGTACCTTCATCAACCCCATTCTTATACATATTGTGCATATATATATATATAGATGCGCCTGTTTGTGTTTTTACTGCTTGATTTTTCTTGGAAATTGAACACTGGCCCAAGGGTTTTAGTTATCTATTGTTTGAAGCTGTGAATCTTATCATCTAAATTACTGAATCATATGAACTAATGGAATTGGAGATGAGTACCGCCGAATCTGATTTAGGTCTCATTTGGGTTTGCATATTGGTGGTGTTGTGCTGATTGCGTTAGAACTGAAATTGGGGTTTTGTTTAGTAAGAAGATATTTAGTTTTGATAAATTTGCTGTCAAATTGTAATCATATGAACTAATGGAATTGGAGTTGATTACCACCGAATCTGATTTAGGTTTCATTTGGGTTTGCATATTGGTAGTATTGTGCTGACTGCGTGATTTTCTTGCATTAGGACGGGAATTGGGGTTTTGTTTAGTAAGAAGAGATTTGAGTTTTGATAAATTTGTTGTCAAATTGTAACTGGTTATCTTTTTTGAATTCAAACCCCCAGAGTCTTATCTGGGTTTTATCTGTTTTGCTTTTTGGATGTCCATTGAGTTTTTGCTCTTCATTTTATGGATTATATATATATATATATATATATATACATGAATTCGCAAATGGCAATGACCAAAAACCCCCAATATATATATATATATATATATATATATATATATATTGGGGGTTTTTGGTCATTGCCATTTGCGAATTCATGCCTTGAGCTTGGTGACCGTGGTTTGACTTTAGAATTATATCGGAGTTCACATCAGTGACCGCCTGGGTGAGGCTTGAAGTAGCATATTTTGCCCTATCTCGTCCTAGCCAGAGCTTGCCATGTGTCATACCTCCACTATCACCTACTCTGATAATATATTGTTTCATAGGTTAACACACAGTGCATTGATCTTGGACCTTGACGTGTGAGAAGAGCGATGTTATTCTGCACCTAGAGCTTACCACTTTGGCTTGAGATATTTCCTTGGCTGCACAATCTCACATTGCATGTTTTAGTTGGTTCTTATCTCTAGTCTATCTCCAATATGTTGTCCTCCCGAAAGCCACCTTTGGAAGCATGCACCTTGTCTCATTTTATACTTGCCTAGGTGACGTGCAGCAGTCGTGGTGTGTCCTTGGGTTGTGTTTTGATTTACAGTGGGATTTTATTGTCTACCCCAACAACATCTAGGGTTCCTCGAATAATACGAACCATGCTGATGGCATCTTAGAATGCTGACATTGAACAAGTTATTGTTCAATTGAGGCGGGATGGTCAATACATGGTGTCTGTATTGGTTTTTTTATGTTTGATTTTATTTGGCTATTGACGATATATTTTGATGAGCAGGATCCTGGTTTTATTGTTGAGGCAATGCCTTCAAGCAGTTCATCTCAGCCAGCACGACCTTCAGCACCACCATCATCAACTTTGAATGACCAAACACGTTCACGTAACTCTGGTACATTATTTACTACTAACATTGAAAAAGTTGGTGAATCTAGTTATGTCGCTATGCAATATAGATATAGTCATCTTTATTTGTCCTTTGCCAATCAGATTTTTAATTTGAATTGAATTCAAATGTGTTGTAGGATCTACTACTAGAACATCAGGAACATCAACTCCAGCTGCAAATCCAGCTTCTCTGCGCTGGGATCGACAAACCGTACAATTTTCCGTCAATGCTTGGGTACGGTTCACGCATATGTAGATGAATGCACACATGCACCTAGTCAAGTAGTGAACACATTTCCTGACGAACTTTAATCCACCTGAGTCTAATTGGGATATGGTTCAGTTTTTAATAATTGCAAGGAGTTTGTGTTGGTAAGTAAATTACTTGACACGCCCTCCATCCCACTGTATTTGTTCGTCTTTCTTTTTTCAATGTCTCAAAATGAAAGTCCCCTTTGAAAAATTAAACTACAAATAGATGTAATTTTTCTTTTTTGACAAGTCAAATAGTTGTCAATTTTCTTACTTATCAAATATATATAGTTGTAAATTTTCTTACCTGCCCTTTTCTAATTGAATTTGAATTGAAGTTTGCTTTTGGAAACTAATACTTTTAACTTGAATTGAGTACATTTAATCCTTATCTACTTCATAAGTAGGAATACTTTAGATGGACAAATTTTCTTACTCGCAGGATTGCTTGAGGTGTTGTTTCCAATTGAAATATCCAAAGCTAATGCGGTCATACTTCCCATTTGTGTATAGCAAAGCTTATAATCTAGTTATTTGATTCATTTAGAAGTATCTAAGTGATTGTAATATTTGAGCAACTACTATATCTATATTTCATTGAAGGGTACATTTATCAGCCATAGTTCTTCTCTTTGGAATATTTTCTCCTCTTCGGAATATTTTCTGCTGTGGGAATTCCATTGAAACATTGTGCAAGTGCTAGTAAATCTGGTCTATTGTTCTCCTTTCTTTTCAGTTTTGCATATTTTTTTATTCTATTTTCTGTAAATTTTATGCAGGTATTTGTTGTGGCTGTGCTTGCAATATTTCCCCTTATACCTAGAAATCTTTCAAATAGGGCATATCGGCTTTCCTTCATGGGCACTGCATGTTCTTCTCTGTATTCTTTGTACTCTCTGTATGGGGTAACCTTCCTGTTCCTGTCTTTCTGTCTTTTTTTATTTTTATTTTATATTATTCTATACTCTTTTTTATTCAAAATATGGTACCTCTTACCACTTATTGCTTGCAGAAACCTAGAGAATGGAATTTACAGGCTGTGCAAGTGTGGTTTCAGTCCGTGATTGCAACTAAGGATTTTATCTACTTCATTTACTGCCTTACTTTTGTCACTTCACATCTTTACCTCAAATGTTAGTGCAACATGGCCTCTATTTCATATTATATATATATATATATATATATATATATATATATATATATATATGCCCATTATCGTGCTTGGAGTGGCAGGTTATTTTCCATTCTCACACCTGGTATCCTGATGTTGAAATTTTTTGCAGTTGCTTTGATCCCCATTTTATGCCGAACTCTTGAACATGTTGCAAAATTCCTTAGGCGTAACTTCAGTCGTTCCTCCTTGTACAGGTGGCAGATTTTGCATATTTTCATTAAATTGAATTTGATTGATTGTATGTGGGCTTTTACTTTTTTTTAATTATGACTGTATAATTGTTAGTAATTTTGCCATTTTTGACACGCACCACACTTGAATGGTCTGAGTTGCAGGGAGTTCCAATTTGACTAATTGGATACTACAATTTGGCACTTATATTCTTATTTGTGTTAGTGTTCTTATAATATGTTTATTTGAGGATGTTGGCCTTCAAGGCTCAAATCAACAAGGCAGCCATACATATGCTGGCCTAGAACTTTTCTTGTGTAGTTGATCTAATTACTAATTAGACTGGCCAATTTTGACCATGTGAAAATTCTACCAAAATTTGTTTGTGGTTTTGTTATGTTTACTTAGTCATAACGAGTGTCTAGATTTGAGGCTCAAATCAACAAGGCAACCATACATACGTTTGCCTAGAATTTCTCTCTCTCTCTCTCTCTCTTTTTTTTTTTTTGGCAAGTACTCACACACACTTTGCCCACACCGGGGCTTGAACCCCTTGCCTCCTCTTTGAGGATGGGGAGGATATACTGTTGGGCTAGAGACCCTTTGGTTGGCCTAGAACTTTTCTTGTGTAGTTAATCTAATTACTAATTAGACTGGCCCAATCTTGACCATTTGAATTCTAGTCTACCAAAATCTGTTGGTTTTTTTGTTATGTTTACTTAGTCACAACCAGTGTTTAGAGTCAGTTGCATGTTTAGGAGTGATAACCCAGTGATTCAGTTGCATGTTTTGGAGTTGCAATATCATTTTGAGCACTTGTATCTCCACTAATTTAATTTCTTAAAACATGCTTATTATTCTTAATCTGTGAAACATGTTTACTGTTTGTCGAGAAGATAATTTGGGGTCTCTTTTCCTTGAGAATAAATTTTTTGTTGTTAAATATCCCTTCATGCTTGGGAATACGCATCTATGATTGGCAGTTTTTATTTTGTTTTTGCTTTTCAATATTTGGTTTTGTGGTTGACAGACCTTTGTCCTAAAGGTGCTAGATAGGTGTAAGGTCTTGGTTGTATTTCAATGGAAAATAATTCGCCTATTCTTTTCAGTCTTGATTTGTTAGTAAATGCAGATACTTTAGTTGATTCCAGTAGTATAGAAATGGGCATTTGAAAGCAATAGATAAAGTATCTAGACATGGGGAATTTTCCTACTCAGTTGTATCATGGATGGTGCTGCATGCATAGATAATAGCATATTTACGTCAGTGGATGCTAATGCTCTACCCTTTTTTTCTAAAAGAAAAAATTGGCTGGGAAAATTATGAACAAACAATCGTTAAAGGTTACACTTTATCCATCCATTTTCCTGGACAACACCTCATTTGGACGCGTTTAATTTAGTTTCAATCCCTCTTGCTCCAAAAAATTAGAAGATAAACTTCAATAGCCTCAAATATTTTTGGCCCAGTTTATGTAATACTAGCATATCTTTTCTCATTCATTTAATCTTGTGCTCCCTCTAACTAGCAATTGTTTGAAGTTTAAAACTATTACATGGAGAACGTTGAGCCTATGTACTTAGTTTGATTGAAATTGTGCACAGTTTGGATAGTGCTGTATCATGCTTTGATGAATGGTCCTGTTCTATATGAGTTCGTATACTTGCAGCAGGGGCATTTGTTCACAAGACTGGGTCTCTCTCTCTCTCTCTCTCTCTCTCTTCCACAGTCTCAGAAATACTTTTGGCCCGGTTTCTGTAATACTAGGATACCTTTTCTCAATTATTTAATATTGTGTTCTCCCTAAAACAATTACACAGTGAACGTTTAGCATATATACTGTAGTTTGATTGAAATTGTGCACAGTTTGGATAGTGCCGTATCATTCCTTTATGAATGGTCCTATTCTCTCTAAGTTCTTACACTTGCAGCAGGGCTGTAGGAAAAATTAGCGTAATGAAAAAATTTGGTGCTCCCCACAGCCCACACTACACTCAGCATTCCTTTATGAATGGTCCTATTCTCTCTAAGTCCTTTTTTCCCTTCTCATGTTTGTGACTTTTGGGTGATGTTCACAGGAAGTACTTGGACGAGCCATGTGTATGGGTAGAGTCAAACATAACAACACTCAGCATTCTATCTTCGCATGCTGAGATTGGACTTGGATTTCTTCTAATCATTTCTTTGCTCTCGTGAGTAGCTTAACTCATTCCCTAATTTTTTTTGCTGTTATTTCTAATCACATTATTTGTCCTTTATACCATCTCTAATGCATAATTTGTACATGCAGGCGGCAGCGCAACATAATACAAACTTTCATCTACTGGCAGGTTTGTTTAAATTTCATCCTTTTTCAGCTTATGTTTTTCTGCCTTAACAATTTCGTGAAAGTAGATGTTTACTGAAATCGATATCATAATTTAAAAAATTGTAAGCTGCTTCATTTTTATCCCTTCGAAGATGCCATTGGGGAATGGGTGATGATATTGCACTCCACTTTTATCCACTTGTGCCCCATTTCCATTTTTTAGAAAAAGAAAATGACAAAATTATCCTTCAATATGCATTCACAATCCACAATTATTAAAGAAGATTAATTGTACTCTTCATTTTGAAAGGGTATATTCATTTCAATCATTTAAAAATTCAAGTGAGTGCCAGTGGTGAAAAGTGGAGTGTAAATACTATCTTCCTTGGAGTACAATTAACCCCAACGGGTTGGCCTAGTTGGAAAAGACTTGGGCCTATGTGCCTCATGAAGCATCAGGTCTCATGATCGATTCTTGCTAGGTGCAAACAATTCCTTGGAAGGGGATGTGTGAGTACCAAATAGAAAAAAAATATATTATCTTCCTTGGAGAATTAGGAAGGGTAAGTAGTTACCCACACTTGGGAATATGAATTGTGTTAGACCTAAAATTGTATACAAGTGTTTGTTGGTCATATTTTATTGGATTCGGTGGTGGATTCGCAAACCTGTGTTTTGTGTTGGAAATTTGGAATTGGTGTCTCCCACACCTCTCTTGTTGCCAGCCTTTTTAAGTGTAACTATGTAATTTTCTTGGTTAGAACTTTCTTATATGGGTTAAGGTTCAGGCTTGGGACATACTGGCATGTTGTAGTCAGAATGAATTTAAAGAATATGCAGAAGTCCCAAGTCATTCGCGAATATGGAGTTTGGTAGTATGGCTCTATGGCATTAGTGGAAGACTATAATTTCTTGCATTGGTCTTCACATTCGTTGCAGCCCCTCACATGACAAACTACATATTTCTTTCATTGTCCTGTTTGATTTCTGGTTACATTTATCGTCATGTTCATATACTCTTGCATTAAAACCATTTGTGTATGTGTGTATGCGCGTGCGCGCACACACATATATATACTATTGCATTTGATAACATCAAATTTTCACATAGATACACAACTACCAAAAAAAAAAAAAAATGTATGGCTAGCGTGCATGAAAATTTAGATGTAAATTCCCTTCGAATCACATATCAATTTTCAGATATGTCACCATGTGCAACTTTGCAAGAATATCAATTTTGACCTTCATCTCTTGTTTGGAATTCTATTGGGCAGCTATTGAAGCTCATGTATCATGCTCCCGCGACTGCTAGTTACCATCAAAGTGTTTGGGCTAAGATTGAGAGGACTGTGAGTCCATTGGTCAACCGGTATGCGCCATTTTTGAACACTCCAATTTTGGCTGTCCAGAGATGGTGGTTCCGGTAAAAGCTCAGAGGAAGAAAAGTGAGAACAAGCTTATGACAGATTGCATAAGTACAGGATTTACTTTTTCAGTCTTGTAAACTCTTTCAAGAAAAAAGAAAAAAGAATCACCGACTTTCAGATATATGATCACAAGTCAGCTTAATTAGAATTGGTTTATGAAACTTGTACTTGTATTATTTTATAGGACCATTTTTGTTCCCATATTTTACATTTACAGAATGGGTTGATCAAAGAGGTCTTTCCCACTTGATTTTACATTTGCAATTATTTTAAATTACTTGATTGATATGAAATTTACAAATACCAAAGTGGTATCTCCTCAACCTCCCTGAAGGGTTTGGTGAGGGTTCGAGAGTCTGTAGGGACAAATGGGTGTGTGAGTTTCTTGCCAATTATATATATATATATACACACACACTAATCTATTATGGAGAAAGATATAATCAAAACCTTTGGACCTTGATTTCCAGTATTTGCAAATATTGGAAAATCTTGTAGGTCTGGTTCATTGTTGCTGCAGTATTTTACCTGTAAGCATTATATCTTGTTCCATGAAGCATAGAATTTTGGATTTGTAACTATTTGTGAGTTGGCTATGCATTGATATGAGCATATAATTACTGCTGCTGCATTTTTTATTTTTAAAGTTATAGTGATTCACCCACGCACCTTGTCTCCATGAGGTTAAACCCTGACTTCTCTTTGGGAAGTCAGGGCCGGGTACTGCTAGCCATTGTCCGTTGATCCATGGAACCTGTGAATTAGTGGCAATTAGAATTGGACAGCATCCAAGATCAAATTTTAAATTAATTTTGTTCCGATTCCAAATCAAATTTTAAATTGATTTTGTTCCGATTGCAAATCAAAGGTGTGATTTCAAGCTACCAATATAGCATCATTAGATTAGTACAGACTTTGAGCTCACAAAATTACATTGACATTGTCTTAGAGAATCATGTGATGAAAAGGCCATGCATGTTTATTAAGCCATATGTTTTGTAGTCCTAATTTTGCAAATGAACTAAAATGTTTATAAATAGTTTTGACCTCAACTTGTTAAAGGTTTGATTTATAACCAAACTCGAATTTATTTTTCAAACTCGTTTGAACAAAGAATTAACCTAAAGTAGTTTGGAAAACAGAGTTTGTAGCTCATTTTCATGTAGGTTTACGCATTCATAGTCCAATAACCGAAACATATGCAAATTAATCAAATTAAGAGCTGCTATGTCCCCTTTATATATGTGTGTCTATATATATTTATATACAGAGTATTATTTTGATTTTTTCTATTTTCCAAGATTATTACATTTTTAATGGACTTATAATGATATTTTTCTAATTGTTTGAGTTAGATAACCCACCAAAATGTGGCTTTCAATGTTGAAGTGTTGAACCAGTTGGTCAGCTGCTGATGTGTTGGGATATAACTGTAATGAATGAAGCTATTGCTAAGAGGACAACGTTTTTCCAGGTGTCAGTGTAATCTCAACAAAATTCGGTCGAAGTCTTTAGAAAATTCTGCTTTGTTCGACAGTGACGTTCAGTTGAATGCCCATCTATCTACAATATATATATATATATATTGTAGATATATGTAGAGGGCAACAAAGTCATGTGGTGTGTTTGACCATCCTAGTTAATGGGCAGACATTGAGATCCAAAAATCCACATACAACCGACCAGCAGGAAAAGTACATGTTCTCAAGCTTCAAACCTCAAAAGTAAAAATAAAAAATAAAACTAAGGAATGTTATTTTAATTTATTTTATAAGACCATAAAAAATATATATTAAAAATAAAATCATTTGATGTTATTTTAATTTATTTTATAAGACCATTGGATATATGGAATGGTTATTCAAGAAAAGAAAATTTTATTTTATAGAAAAATATCATCCAATTCGAAAAGTCAAAATTGAATTCTTCAATCCCGTTTGACATGCTTTTTGTTTTTTTTTGTTTTTGTTTTTGGGTTGTTACAGAGTTAATTTTGGCAACAAAAGCATGTTTGGTGCGACCTTATTTTATTTTATACAGTGCTAAAATATTTCGTGAACAGTGACCCAAAATTAAAATATTAAAAAATTATTTTTTCTTATTTTGATAACTGTTTATGATCCAAAACTATAAGAGTAACAAAAAAACACTCCTAAAATATAGAGTATCCCAAACGTACTTTGGATTATTTTTTTAAAACATTCTTATAATAAAAATACTGTTTTTATTTGAATCAAAAATAATATGTCTAAAACAAAGCAATGCCAATGAACCAATGTATAGACATTCATCCTGCTAATGAGTGCCCGTGATTTTAACATTATAATGAATGACTCCCTCTTATGAGCTTTCAAAAAGCATTTTTGACATCTTCTTGTAAACGCCAACAAGAGTGGGGTAGTCACAATCATAGTGCCACTCTTGTTAGATTTTGACTTTTTAATGTACAAATTACAATTTAGATACAATTATAAATATTATTATTTTAACGATAGCTCTAGTAGATATTAAAATATAAATTGCCAAGTTATATTATGAGTTCAATATGAATATGATATAATTATTATTTGTGTCACGATTATTAAAGATATATTTAGTTGAACAAGTATAATTGAGTTAATAAGTCAAACACGAACATATTACTTTGACATAATTAAGACCTGATCAAAGATTAAATCAAATTTTAATTCACTTAGTGCTATCTTGACTTGTGTAAGAGTCAAATTTATGAAAAAATATTAGATTATGATATTGATAAATTATTATTTCTTATTATTAAGAAAAATGGGATTCTCTGTGTATTTTTATTTATTATTTAAAAATAATAATAATAATCAAATTCAGATCTCAGATCATTTTTCTTTTTTCTTTTTCTAAAAAACTGGTGGTCATCATTTAACCGTTACGACCCTATACAACCGTTACCCAAATGCTTCTTCATTACACAAGCAGCATCATTGACTGGTCCGCAAAACAAATCAGAAGCAAAGCACAAGGCACGAGATTCCTCTGACACCACCATGCAAAAACCAACTGTTTTGAATTTCTGACAATATTTTTCTCATCATCATCGTATATGATACATAGCATACCTCTCAAATCAATCCTCAGATCCACACTACCTGCTCTCTCATTCCTTTCAATCTCCGATCATTCTTCTTCTGCCGGCCACCCAATGACGGCGTTGCAGGCGACTCAAAGCGATCGTCTGTATCCACAAACATCGTTGGACGACGACGACATGAAGCAATCGGACACCAAATCTCTCCTTTCTAGGGTTTCCAGTCACACTTCCGCCAACCAACAGAGGAGGCGGAGAACCGCCTCCAAGCCGTTTGCGACGCAGTCTCTGCCCCCTCGCCGACCGTCTTTCAGTCGTGACATCGGTCACGCTGCCGCCGAGACCTATTTGGTCACTCACCTCAGCTTCAAGCTACTCTCATATCTTGGGTACAATTCTTCAGTCAACCCAATTTTTTTTGTTTAAGAATTCCATTGCATGAGTTGTCTACTATATACATATGTATGATACATATGCTCAGTGACATTAAGATTAAAATAATATATTTCTGTATTCTTCAAATTGTGACTTACAGGTGCTTTGACATGTTCTGTCAGAATTTTCCGGCTATGAAATTAGATTTCTGCCATTATTGAAATTTTGTACTTAAAAATGGCTTACTTTTTGGACACTTTAAAGCATTTGCATGACTTTTCTCTCCTAAAACTAGACGGAGAGTTAAGAATACAGGGGTGTTAGCAGCTTATGGTTGTAACTTATAAAAGGTTACATAGTTTTAATAGGCTCCGTTTCTAAATTTCTTTCTGTCAAGATGAGTAATGGTTTTGCCCAACCCAATTATCTTATTGTGATCACATTCGGGCAATGGTTGGAGTAGCACCAATTGTAGATAAAATGAGAGAGGTTAAGACGGTTTGGAAAAGTGCCATAGTCCACATTGATGGTAATACTAGGGGAAGAGGAAGCCCAAAGTTAACGTCGGTAGAGTTAGTAAACAAAGATAAATATGAGATTCGTGTAGCAGTACCAAGTAATTGGGAAAAGGATTGGTTGTTGTTGTTGTTGTGTTATGTTAATGCGGGTTCGTATTGAAGACATGATTGAGGGATTAACATGAGATGCACAAGGGCAAACCAGTGGAGTTAGTTCAAGAGAATAAAAGGGGTTGCAGATTTGTAGAAATGGACAAAGCAGAAACTTCAATCTGATTTTTTTTCTCTTCTTTTTGGTAGGTAATCTATGGCAATCAGTTATGATCCTAAAATAGTAGCACATGCTTTTACAAATTAGAAGTAGAATAACTGCAAGCTACATTAGCTTCATCTTTTTTAGGTGGTGGAATGAGCAGCATAAAGAATTATAAAGTTACAATTGGAACCTGCTTACACATTCTTAGATGGTGAAATCATACATGGACTTGAAGAAGACCAAAAATATTAACACAGTGCGGGTCAAAACAGTGAGCAGAGATCCTTACCCCCACCAAAAAAAGAAGAAAGAAAGAAATAAAAAAAGGGCGGTGAGCAAAGATGGTCAATTAGAGTACAGGGTATGACCTTAGATCTAAAAGGCAATAAGATATATTGTGTATCAAAGCCCTAAAGTAGTTAGGATTTAGGTTGTCTTTTTTGGGCTTAATGTTTTTGTATTGGCTGGCTCAGTTAGGGATTTTTTTTTTTTTTTTTTTTTTTAAGTGGACCAGTTCGGGTTATTATTAGTAATCATTATTATCAGTGGCCTAGGCTTACAGCTACCTTCAGTAAGGCCTGTGGCCAGTGGACACCCCTAACTTGGGTAAAAGTGGTCATGTATCTGTCAGATGATGGAATTTGTTGTTATTTCCTTTTTGTAGGAGGAACCTATAAATTGAGAGGGTAATTGTATGGAGTGCCTATTACGTTGCTTTATATTCACAAGTTCAAAAAATAGATTTTGGATTGGTGGCGGCCTATAATTGTTCTGGCTTCTTGTCAGCATAATCATATTACAGGTACTAGGTAGACATAGATTATGGCTCTTTAACAACTAAACTCATTTGGAAATTAGACATGTCTTTAAGGGGCCTTCTTATAAATGAATGGAGGCTTTAAGCAGTCTTAAACAAGATTTTAATTGCTGAGTAACTAATTATAACAAAATGGGTATGCTAAAAGAGAGGCGCACATGGTGCAAATAAGACTTTGAGGACATGGAAAGTCTCTTGTTTTCTTTTTCCAAGTGGACTATGTGTTTTTTATTTTAATTTATTGCAATGAGAACTGAACCCTTGGCGCCAGCCATTTCTTTCAAATGCATGCCATCACTTTTACCACTTTGTCAAGTGTGGTTCTTTAAACTCCTTGTCTTCCAGGAAAAATGGAAGAACTAAATATTCATTTTTTCCACTAAATGCCAAAACATTCGATTAACTTAGAACTATATTCATATAACAAGTATGCATTATGAATCGCTTTCTAAACGTTCATTTTCATTCAGGGTAGGTTACCGGTGGATGACAAGACTTCTTGCCCTAAGTTTTTATGCCATGTTACTTATGCCTGGCTTTCTTCAAGGTACATCTTTTGTGATTTGTTGCTAAAGATCTGATTGGTTACTTCACCTTTACGCTCCTCTGTTTCCCTCTTCTTTTTAATTGATCAAGAATACGTATGCACTGGGGAAAGTAAGAAAAGGGGGTCTTGCAAACTCTATGTTCAAAGCTAATTATTAATTTTGCTCTTAAAGGACTCTACCTTCAAAGCTATGTGTTCATCTATTAGTCAGTGCCTTTGTAAGCTTAAAACACGACTGTCCCAGAAATCCGTGAATCATGATCAAATTCCAGTTTGACTAGATACTCTGATTTCTTCCACTCATTCCACTCTATATACTTAGTCATGATCACATCCCTGTCATCCTTCCTCTAATGGCTTTCTTTCATTTTCATTAAATCTCCCAAATAACCATTTATTTCCTCTGGCCTTCTGCTTTGTAGAACAGTTGAGTTTGTCTTGATAATTTTAAAAGGTGGTTGATGTCTTTAGGTCCATTGGATGTGAAAGTTACCCTGAATATCATGGAACAATCCAAGGGTATTGTTTATTTTCCAACACGTTTGCTTTGTTTGTCAACATGTGATGAGAAAAAATGCACTCACACATTAGGCTATTACTTGAGCACTTGGCAACTTACATGTTCCCGTAACACTTACATAGTTGTATCATTAACTATAAGCAGGTGTGGCTTTGTATATCTAATAGTTACATTGTTGGATTAATAGAACATTATGAATGTTTGGCAGTTGCTTATTATTACTTCTTTTCAAGCCAAGTCCGCCGGAGTATTGTTTACGGAGATCAACCAAGAAATAGGTATGTAATCGTGAAATTTAGGTCATATTTGCAATCTATCTTTGATATCAATTAACTTTCTCATGTTATTTATAATCACACATTTGTGCCACAAACTGTCTATTTACCATTGTGATTGTGCAGGTTGGATCTATACATGCCTACAAATTGCGATAGCCCAAAGCCAGTTGTGATATTTGTAACAGGTGGAGCCTGGATTATTGGGTGAGTAAGAAGGCCAGCAACTCCATCACAACACTATCTACTGAACTTCTCAATTAATGATCATAATTTTTTGGTGACCTACTCTACGTAGTGGGGGGCAATACTAATACTCAACAAACCTAGCCACCCATAAACCTTGCTACATAGTATTCAGCGTATTCAAAATTTATAAAATCTTTGATTAATTTACTAATGAAACAATTGTTGTATGATATTTAATTGCAAAGGTAGTCTTCCACTTCCATTATGGTGATTAGGACAGCCACTTGGTGCAATTTGGAGATTGTAGCTCTTTCAAAGTTTTGCACTCAATGATTGAAATAAGCGATGGAGCCAAAAATTTCATTAGGTGGTTGTAGTACTTGGCCATTTGATGCATTGTTGGTCATGCTTTTTTTCTGCCCCAAAGAGTCTTTTGCAACAGGACATATGCCTCTACATATTAGATTTTGTCCTGTCCCAAAGGAGGAAACAAACTGCAGCTTTTAATCATTACCACAATTAATGTTGCTGAAATCCAGGTTGGCTATAATTAACTCTTATAACTTAAGTGTAGTATTAACCTTTTGAGTGGTCAGGAAATGTTACTTGTTACATGATTAAGAATAGCAAAACAGTTGGCTTCGTAAAATTCAACAATTTGTAACTGTATAAACATTTTCACTACTTGATGATCCCCCAATATGGATTAGACAATTCAATTACTAGTTAATACCTAATATGGATAAGGCAACTAGCTGTTGTTGTTATAAAAATTATTCATTTGCACATAGGAAGCTCTTTTAATTTTTATGCAACTTGATGTTGTTGTTATAAAAAAATTATTCATTTGCTCATAGGAATTTCTTTTAATTTTATATCATTAAAGGCTCTCTAGTTTTGGTGATGTAGGTACAAGGCATGGGGTTCGCTTCTAGGAAAGCAGTTAGCAGAAAGAGACATCATAGTAGCTTGCATCGATTACAGGTATTGGTACTATGCTGTAGTGCATGGTCCACGTTTATCCATATATGCACGTTTTGACAAAGTTTTTTAAGGGAGGATACTGTAGGTTTGATACTTGTTACATTGCAATGGTTTTGTACTAAACTGTTTAGCTCTTAAGAATTAATTTAGGAAAAATTAATTCTGTGGTGATACTTGTTTGAAAATGGATATCCATATTTAATGAACATTGTTGGATACCAGAAAGCGTCCAAAATAGATACCCTTGCATTATGCTTTATTGCTAGTTGATTTATTTGATGATTAGACTTATGCATAATCTGGATTGGCATTGAAAATGACTAAAGATAGCATCTTTCATTGAACCTGCACAAGAGATTGCAGCCCAAGTTTCTAGTCCTTGCAATGTAATAAGCAGTGGCTTCACGAGATAAAAGCTTTTTATAATTGTCAAAAACATAATATTTTCCCAGTGTTTGCCCACCGTATCAGATCATCTTACGATTGGAATATGCATGCAGAAATTTTCCTCAGGGGACCATCAGTGATATGGTTGAAGATGCTTCTCAAGGGATCTCATTTGTTTGTAACAATATTGTTGAATATGGAGGTGATCCTAACAGGTAAGAGAATTGTATATTCTTTGTTATATGCCGCATATGCTTTTATCTTCTAATTATTCATTTTTCTTCATGATTGTTTGTAAAGGTTATATCTAATGGGCCAATCAGCCGGTGCACATATTTCTGCGTGTACTCTCGTGCAGCAGGCAATCAAAGAATCTGCTGGAGAGAGCATTTCTTGGAGTGTCTCTCAGATAAAGTCTTATTTTGGTTTATCAGGGGGGTAAGTGTGATGTGATGTATTCCAGTGTCATTACTGTTGCTGTTATTGTTATTGTTATTGTGATTAAAAAAACATAAGCTTTATGCAAGGAGGAGGATATCCCTTAATAACAAAGAGGAGCAAAATGAATAGCAAGACTGAACCCAAAGAAAGGAAAAGGAAAAAATGAAAAATGAAAAAGAAAAAAGGAAGAAGACGGCGAAAAGAAAATTGGGTAAGGTAAGATAGAATTTCCAAGGAATAATGAAATGCAGTGGGCTATTCCCTGGGGTAAAAAAGCCACCTCTAAGCTGTGTGATCTAGAAAGCTAATGGAAGCAATCCACTAAGGGTGAAAAGAGGTTCACTACTTATTTGCACAAGTGGTGAAATGGAAACGATTGATAAAGACAAATTATCAACCATTTTTATAACATTGGCGCAGGACAAACTTGGCCTCTTTAAAAAGCCACCTCTAAGCTGTGTGATCTAGAAATCTAATGAAAGGAATCCACTAAGGGTGAAAAGAAGTTCCCCACTACGATTGATAAAGACAAATTAGCAACCTTTTTTATAACATTGGTGCTAGACAAACTATGCCTCTTTACATTCCTTCAAACCTCACAATATGGTTAACATCTCCTTAGTGAATAACTGCCCATACGAATAGATCTTGATAGCATAAAACAATTTTGCTTAATGGTTTCTACAAATGTCTTGATTCATCTTTTTCCCGAGTTTTTAAGGGAGCACACATCTAAGTTCAAGTCAACGACCTCCTTGGAGTTGACTATGATAAATGTAGATGTGCAGAAGAGGTTACGCTGGTCAAAGTCATAGGAATATTGTTTATGGAAATCCTCTTGTCTCATGATTGACAAAAGCCCAATCGGAAGCAATTTGTGTTATTCTTTCCCATATAGGTAAGAAGTTGAAGACAAGTTTGCTTTCCTCTCTTTTGCATAAGTTACTCCTGGAACTTAAAGCAACTGCCTGAGAGGAACTTGAATTCTATAATGTTTTTGGATTCTTTAATTTTTTCATGAGTAAATGTGTTTGGAGGATCTACTACATGGAAAAGGGAAGTTCTACTAAGATCAGATACTCAAACACTTTTGTTGAAGATGAACGGGATAAATGAACATGGTTATCAATTGAAGAAGCTTTAAGGTCTCATAAATTCTGAATCATCAAATGTGCCTACATTCTACTTTCTGAAAAGGATTAACTATGTTACATGGTAGGAGTCGCACTTCTTTGGCTGCACACCTTAAAGATGTGCCAGGCAGAGTCTAATTTTATATGTCACTGCTGTAGCCAATTGCATGTACGGGTTCTCAAAACAGGTAAACTCTCACAATTTGACAAAGGGGACTGAAGAGGAATGACTAGTAATGAGAGGGCTGAAGAGGAAGTATTATCTAGAAATAAATTGGGAGAAGTGTTTAACTCTCACAATCTGGCAGAGGGAACATTTGGGAAGTCGTGCTTGCAACAGAACTAGACAGATTACTCATGAGAGGGGTCTGAAGAGGAAGGATTGTCTGGAGACAAATGGGTGAAGTGTTATATCAGTATTATGGTCACCACGATCGTGTTACCCTTCTTCTTCTTCTTCTTCTTCTTCTTCTTCTTCTTCTTTTCTTTTCTTTTCTGAATTGTTTTCTTTTCTTCCTAAATTGTTTTCATAAATGTGTGGTGACTCATGAGAATAACCATCATAGTCTAATTCGCACATGCAAGTTAATTTAGGTTCACCAGTCAAATACATCCAAGTCGCAAGTGTCCATCCTTCTGATGACCTAGTCAAGATGCAACCCAGCATCTATTGTATACACTTTGCCTCTATACGAGACACAGGACACAATGTGAGTGATTAAGGATCATGCTTCAAATTGCCCTTAGCTTAATCCACCGAGGAAAGAACACTTGCGGGTTGCAGGCAGAATAACGGCACGACATTCTTTAATCAAACCATATTTGCTTTACAGTATAGTGCATAGTCCAGAACATGATCTTCCACTATGATCACGGGATTACATCATGATGCCAGGGATCTTCCTGAGTACTACCTCCAGCTCATGTTAGTGTGTTGAACACTTTTTAGTATACCATATTGAGTGGTTAATGCATTCTTTGAGCAACATGGAAGAAGAGTAGCATATGTCACCATGCAATCAAGTCCATATCGAAGACATTGATATTTTGCCTTATTTCAATGCGATTGGTGTGTCTTTTGTGCAACCACCATTCTGCAGATGGTGCTTGCACTTGTATCATCCAATCATTTCCTTCTTTTCAATTTCTTATTTTTTTGAGCATCTTTGCTGCACTCTCCAAGTGTCGAGCATTGTATTATTATTATTATTAATGGTTCATATTGGTTTATATAATATATTTTTTTCTTTCAACTTCTGTGAACAGGTATAATTTACCAAACTTAGTGGACCACTTCGATGGTCGAGGCTTGTATCGGTCCGTCTTTTTAAGGTGCCAATTACTGATATTTTTGCTAGAAGCTGATTTGAGCATATACTTATTTGAATTAAAGTTTTTAGGCTGTTGTGTTTGCTCCCACTGACGTGCTGACATACCATTGCAGCATCATGGAAGGGGAACAATCCTTGAAACAATTTTCCCCTGAAATTATGATACAGGAACTGAGCACTGAGAATGCTGTTTCTATCCTGCCCCATATTATCCTTTTCCATGGAACGGCAGATTATTCCATACCATCAGATGCCAGGTCTGTATATCTTCTGAATGATGCTGTCAAACTAACTTGTTTTTCATATAGGATATGATGCCTCCTTTCAAAGGAATGCTAATTAATCTGTAACTTCAGATGTGATAAGGTGCATGTTGTTTATGAACAGTCCCTTCTTGTTATCATTTACTGTTTTACACTTCAAATTTTAGATTATGAAGAAATATGATGTACTAGAGCTGTGTTACATAGTTGTAAACAATAAAATATAAATTGAAGAGAGAAATGAAACGAGTAGAACACATAACTATTACGTGGTTCAACCACTAGGGCCTGCATCCATGGCACAAAGAGCCCAAAGGGCTACATCACTTTTATAATACTCTCTCAACTCATACACAATACAATGGTGGAGGCTCTATATAGGAGAAGAAATGATGAGAATGGAAAGAGATGGAAAATAGGAAACAAGGAAGTTGTTTCTCCACTGATTCCTCTAGTAACAGTAAATCTTCAATAATAGGAAACAATATCAATTACTAGAGGATTTTCGTCCACTGATTCTTCCATTAAATCTTCAATAAATATTGACATTTTAATACCCCTCTTGCCACTGACATATGGATACATGACTTAAATTCTATGTCATTATGCCATGTGGACATATGGTAATATCAATGGCACCTTCTGCTCAAAGCTTGTTTTAGATTTGCCTCTTCTATGCAATGAAGGCAAGTTCAGTCTCGGGTGGGTGGCTGTGCAAATGGGATAACATAGTTTATTTGGTGTTAAGTAATGAAGCTAGTCCTCCTGTGTTGTTAAATATGCTGATTGAGGACTGTGCACTTTTGCCAAAGCTAGTTGATGGAGCCCTGACCTCGGGAGGTGGTTGCCCGTGTGATTGCCAAGCAATTCTGGATTTCGGATCATTGCTAGGTCAGGCCAATTAGTTGTATAAATGGATTCGAATCTTGGTTGAATTTTAGGGGGAAAAGAAACAACTACTTTTTTTTTTTTTTTTGATAAGTGGGAAAAGAAACTACTACTTCAGGGAAAAGAATCTGGAATGAAAACTCTCTTTTGAACCACATTTTGGGAAATAGCAGTAAATTATCAGGTAAGGGATCTGGTATTCACTGGGATCTAAATGGTATTAATTCACCGATGGATTACATTATTTATTTATCTTTCTGAGTGTAGAATAAATGGCATGCCAAAGGAGTGAAATATATTCATACATACTCAAAACCTGAACCTAGATACTAGTGCACTATACGTAAGCCTAACATACATGCTTTTTTTACTTTAGTTTCTATGATTTGATGGACTCTACTCAAGCATCTATACCTCATGCCATATGTGTTTTATTCTATTTTGCATATGCTTGCGGCAAGGAGGGGATAAGTGAGAAAAGAATTTTTAAATTTTATTATCCTCACAACTATCGTACTTTGACTCTCAATTCTGAACAAAATTTATGAAAATTTTCTGGATTACTTTTATTCATTAAGTGATCATATTAATATTTTGAATTGGTCTCTAATTTTGTATGTCATTCTTATCATATTTATTGTTAACTAAATGGAGTTGCATCGTGGTCGAATTTGTAACACATTCACAATGCTATTTTCTTTTTCTTTTTCTAATGCCGAATAAACTAACATTCAGGAAGGAAAGAATTACTTTTTATCCCTCATCAACAAGTTTATATAGCACATTTTTTTGTGAGTGGATCAAAATTGCACTTATTCGGACCTCTTAACGCAGCCAATATGTTCAATAGTTTCCTCTCGCTCTCTGGGTGTGGCTCACAGGCACTTTTGTGTGTGTGCCTGTGGCCATCTGCTAGACACGTGCACCCATGAACGAATATTGGAATTTTAATATTATAAAGTTGTGAACATCCATAAAAAACAGAGTCAGTGTGGTCTTTCATCTGACACATATTCTGAAAATTATTGCCTGATGAAGAAAGAAACCTGTCGCCTCTGGTGCTCTCTTTCTCTTAGCTCCACCATGCCCCATCTCTGTCTGCGACAGTTTCGGGGATGAATGCTCTTCTATGGAGGGCATGGGGTTTCCTGGACCAAGTCCTTTCATCATTGCAATTCCCAGGCACTCGTTGATGTTTTTGGATACAAAAGGCTTGCATTGTTCAATGATGGTTCACTCAAAATGAATTTCTAAGCTTTTGTCATCTCTCCAAATAAATTATAGAGCCAATATATACAAGTCATGAACCAAAATGGAAGACGTTTTCCTTCTATATTTATCAGTTATATTAAACATAAATGCATGTGTCTGATTTACACGATTGTTTTGCTTTAAGTAAATATAGATTTGGTAACCATTATATTGATTTTTCTAATGAGGGAACAAGTTAGTTCTCTTCTTCATTTGTGCTTTTTTGTTGTATCCTACTCTGTTGTGACTCTCTTTCATGGCACATATAAGGAATTACCAGAACATAATCAACAATTCTAATACGTTCCTATTTGCAGTATTACCTTTGTAGATGCTCTCCGGAAGGTAGGGGCTCAAGCTGAATTGGTTCTGTTTGATGGAAAAACTCATACAGATTTATTTCTTCAGGTAAGTAAAATTTGGATCCCTTCTTTCTGTTTGTTATTGTTAATTATATAATTTGTGAATGGGAATTACTAATTAGCCTGCATGGCTGCACCCCCCTCCTTTCCCCTTGGATGGGTGGCAAATGATACTTAGCATAACTGGTATTAGTGTATCCCAAACCAAAGGGCTTAGAAACATATCATAAAAGGTAATTTCAAGCAAGAAAGTAGTTGGATGGGTGGTTGGAATTTAATGAAGCTTAATTGCATTTTCCTAACAGGTGATTTACACCTCAGTGCAAATATATATCATGTCTTGCTATTTAGTTGTCTTTTGTTGGTATGCCTTGCAGTAATTTCTATTATAATAGTTCCACTTATCATCATGTAACTACAGGAAGGGTCCAATAGGTTTAATCTCTTCTTTTTTTTTTTTTAATACAGTTTAACTTATTTAATGCTAGAAGTGAAAGTTTTGTGGTAATTATCAATACCGTGCTTTACGTTAAGAAAAAAACCTGGAAGCACACACAACACACACACACACACAAAAAAAAAAAAAAAAAAAAAAAAAAAAAAAAACATCTGGAAGATGGCTTTAAACAAATTTGAATGCCGTGGTGAATTTTAAAATTTAGGGATCATTGCCCAGTGCAAATCGTAATGCTGAGACTGACAAGTCTGGGAACATGAGTTCCACTTATCATCAAGTACAGGAAGGGCCAATAGGTTTAATCTTTTCTTTTCTCTTTTTATTTTTACAGTTTAACTTATTTAATGCTATAAGCGAAAGTTTTGTGGTAATTATCAATACCTTGCATTACGTTAAGAAAAAACCTGGAAGATGCCTACACACACACACACAAAAACACATCTGGAGGATGACTTTAAACAAATTTGAATGCCGTGGTGAATTTTAAACTTTAGGGATCATTGCCGAGTGCAAATAGTAATGCTGAGACTGACAAGCCTGGGAAGTGGGAACACGAGTTCGAATCTTAGGTCCATCTCTAGGCTTACCCTCTCAACATCCAAGGTAAGCAGAACATACACTAGCTAAAATAGATGGACCCAATGGAGACATGTAAATTGTAGAAATGTAATGAATGTACTTTTGGCATCAGAGTATGAGACCTTTCCAAAGGCCCCGATGAATTTTAGGAGGTAAATGGAGCCCAAATGGAGAGAAGGATTTTCCCGGAAAGACTTTTCAGGAACTATTTTGCATCAAAATGGGTGGGAAGGAAAGTGTTAATTGGTGAATTTTTAAGGGCATTCATAGAACATAATAGCATTTGTGCTTCTTTGTTATGAAATCAACTTAGCTTAAACAAAATCGTTGTCATAGCTATATGGGTCGGCTACATGAATCTTATCTTCCACTTGATTAATTATTTATTTATCATAAACCACTATTCCATAAACACACAATTTGTAATAATTCTAGTAATTGCACAAAGCCTTATAGATGAAGTAACTGCTATATGTGATTTGCTAAGTTGATATGATGCGCTTTGTAATCTGTTGGATGTTTCCTGGCGTTCCTTTTAGTTTTCTCATGCCAATTGGACGCCATCCTTTTAACTGCACCCGAACTCTTTGGCCTCATATGCAGGATCCTCTGAGAGGTGGTAAAGACGAGCTCTTCGACCATTTGGTCGCTGTCATACATGCAGGTGATGAAGAAGCTCTTGCTAAGGATGCTATGTCTCCTCCTCCGAGAAGACGCCTTGTTCCTGAAATTTTGTTGGAGTTGGCTCACAGAGTGAGCCCATTTTAGGCCTTGCATGCCTTGTCCCTAAAATTTTGTTAAAGTTGGCTCACAAAGCATAGTTGTTAAAGGCGCGTCTAGACTCCAAAAAAGCCCCAGATTCGTCAAGGCTCAGCTAGATTGCTTTAACCTACTACAGGCCAGGCTCCTTCAATCAGGCTCACATAAAGCCCACGGGCTCACGCTTTTTAGTAGGCTCCAGGCTCAAAAAAGGCATGCCTTGTATTTTTTAATCATTTATCCATATCATTTTATTTTTTACTTGATGACTACTAAATTAAAAAGTCCTACATCATATGTCGTATTGTTTAACCTTATGAAATATTTGACAAAATTTATAAATTTATGGTTTACTACTTACATTAATTGCAATTACTACTTGATTATGAATATATAATAATAATATATGTTTAAATATGCAACATTATATACATGCGCCTTGCTTCGATCAGGCTCGCGCTTTATACTGCACCTTGCACTTAGGCTTAGTAGGCCTTTGGCGCCTTAGTGCGCCTTGAGGCTTTAACAATTATGTCAGAGAGTGATCTTTTAGGTGTTGCAGATTTTTCAAAGTTGATCAGTGACAGCTTATGACGCTTGCCATAGTTTATAATTTTTAAAACCTGATATTTTAGAATTTCTTGAAGAAATCGCTTCACCATTATTATTCACTTTGCTGAACTTAGTTGCACCCTTGTGCACTGGTTTAACCTTTCTTTTTTCTTTTTTTTTCTTATTTCTTTTTTATGTTCAACCGATTTATGTAAGAAAAAAAAAAAGTTAATTCCACTTACCTCTCCTGAGGTTTGTCCGTATATCACATAGACCTCTATGTTTCATAATTCCACTTAAAAAAGTACAAACATACAACATGATTTTATTCTTATTTACTGGGGTGAAGTTAGTGTGTGCCCCCTACCCTGGCCCGCCTAGCTTAAAATATGGTTGATTTTTAATTTATTTTAATATTTATAAGAAAATTTCTATAAAATGCCTCCCTAAAATTTTTAATTTCTAAAATTATATCCTAAATGTTTCTTTCTTCTCTCTTATATTCTTAAAATTCCTTCGAATTCCTTAAAAAAAAAAAAAAAAAAAAAAAAGGGTTAAATTTTCCTTCTTCAATCAAAGTCTAATTGTTTCTTTTCAAATATCTCATTTTTCTTTCCTTTTTATTCTTCTTCTTCTTCTTCTTCTTCTTCTTTTTTTTTTTCTCTACTTAAAATTCTTCTTTTTGCACTTGCCAATGATACCTGTGTGTGCAATTTTTCTTCTTTTTGCACTTACCAATGATACATGTGTGTCCAATTTTTTTTCTTTTCTATTTATTTTAATTTAGTACTCCAATTTATGAAGTTAATGGGTGTAATTTTCATGCATCAATTTCAAAATAAAAGACCTACAACTATATTCAATAAAAATATTAATTATTAAACAGTATTTTAGTTCTTATATTCATCATATACTTTTATTTCTTAAACTATTCATTGATTTAGTATATTTGCAATGATTTTTTTTTTTTTTTTTTTCTCCTTCATTTGAACAATTTATATTTGTCATGTTTGTTATTTTTTTTTACACTGTGCCCCTGAATTGAAATCCCAACTCCACCCCTACTTATTTACTCTTTTAATTTTGGAAAGCATACCATATATATATATATATGCAATTTACTCTTTTCATTACCGCCGTTGTTGATTTTTATGCGATTTATTTTTTCTATCAAATAATTCACACACCCACTTTGTCATAAACTTGAATATGGACCTTTCAGTTTGGAAAGTGATACAGTGATTGTTAATGCTAAAGTAGAGTTATTACCCGTTATTTTATAAAACTAAAAATAAGTTTTGAATATTTTAAGAGGTTATTTTTGCCGAAGTTTTAAAATAATAATAAAAAATAATTGTGAGTGTTCAAGTGATGAGTGATATTCTTATTACTTCAAATTTTATCTTATTTGTACTTCCTGTTTTGACAATGATTCTTAAAATTTGTTATTAAACGCATTTAATTGAATAAAATCTTTAATTGGTTTATAATTAAACACTGAGATGAATCAACACGTGTTTAATCGAGAAAGACCAATGGTATAATTAGTACCAGACAAATGAAAATAATAATTAGTCCAATGAAGTCAAAATAAATAGAAAAAAATTGATTGATTTACCGTACATAAATTTTGCTATGAATTTTAGAAGGTATAAACCCGAAAGTAATTTTTTTTCAAACCGTTAAATGTGTGTCTCGATATATATTTGTGCATGGTCACAATAAATAAAGAGAGTTCATCACTACTGTCATGAAGTTAAATCATTACATATGATGAGAATATACGATCTTGGAATTGCAGTTTACGATCTTCATATATATATAACAAATATATAACAAATATAAAAATTACTCATAGAATTGGGGAAAAGCATATACCGTCTTTGGTTTTAAAATAAGGATATAAAGTCGATTAAAAAAAAAAAAAAAAAAAAAAAAAAAAAAAACATGTACACACACAGAAACGCAACTATTTGCGAAAAGATGGGTTCCCGCCAAGCAATGAGCGGTTAAGTAACCGTTTTTGGCTTAAGCAAACCCTAGATAATAAGTGTGACACCTCTCCCTCTCTCTCTCTCTCTCTCTGCAATTCCAAAATAATTTTCTGCAAAACAATGCCGACCCAATCCCTTCTCATTTTGCTCCTTATCGTCCGATCAGCTTCCAGTGCAACTCAAGCGACGCAATTCCAGAACTACCCATCCAATTCACTCTTATTTTCAGGTACATATCAATTCACTTGTAATTTCGCTAATCTTTCTAATGAAGACATTAGGTTAAATTTGTTTGCCCTTTTGTTTAGGTTACTGAATATCGTAGATAAGGTCTGTTTGGTTTTGAAAACACAATATAACTTATTTTAGCTGTATTTTGTACAATAATGGTTGAACTTGAATTTGTTGCCATCGTCTTCTGATCATGAGGTTCAGATCACTGTTATTTGTTAAAAATGTAAAGATGCAATTTTTCTTTCTTTTTTTGGTAAGCGCACACACACCACACTCAACTTTACACACACTATGGGAATTTGAACCATCAACCTCCCATATGGAGATGATGGGGATAGATTGTGTGATTCCTGTTGAAGTATATATATACTCGGGGTGTGGGTATAGGGCGGACGATTTTAAAGCAGACTCTCCATTCATCAGATAGACAAGATCACCAAGATTTTGTGATCCCCCTAATTTGTTCCAATTCCAAGAGCTCGGATCAAATTCGGTATATCAATACATCCGGGCTCTCTTATTGAATTGCTCACTGAATGAGCATTTCTCAATAGTGTGCCTTGAAGAGGAATCGAAACCTCCACGCTCTTTAGCACAAGATTTTGAGAGCCGCATTAAAGGCTAATTGAAAAAGAAAAATGCAATTGACTGAGGAGGCATTGCAACAATAACAACCATAATGATAATTTTTGGGTTTATTAAGGGAGGATTCGAAAGATGATGTTTCTATTAGGAAATATTCTCATGGAGGCAAACAGTGACTCTCAAAGTGAAACTTTCGTAAAAATGTAAGATATTACTCGAGTAATCTGAGGGGACGCATGAGTTTCATGTTGAAATTCGCAGTGTCATTTGGAGATATTGATATAGATTTCTAAAATAAAGTAGAACAAAATCATTCATAGGAATTCTATACAGTCCCTTTTTCTTTTTTTTCTTTTTTAAATAAGAAGAAATTATCACTTAAATACAATTCAAGACATTAAATGATGTGCAAAATGCAATAGACTGGTGCAGAACCGAGGGACATCTTAACACCCATAAGGTTTTTCAAAATCTTTATCATGGTTGAAGGTTTAAATATTTTATTTTTTTCATTTCCCACTCACATATTATCTAAATAAATTGATTGTTTTCCAGTTTCACTATGGTATTTAATTAACTACATTGGGTATGTTTTTAAGGGCACATGATTTAGTAGTGCAAAGTAAGATAGGCTGGGAGGAATATATCTGTGAAAAAAAGAAAGAAAAAAAAAAGCTCTCTTCTTGATGAAGTGATGCAAGTGATATCATGGTGCATGTGAGGCTGCTGCTGGCCGGCTTTGAGATGCGGTAACTGATACTAGTGAAACAAAACAGATGGCTGATATGGGCAAGACTTCTTGACTGTCGGAACGGGTTTATCTCTTTTTTTTTTTTTTTTTTTTTTTTTTTTTCTCATATGCATCTTCTTGGTGCTGATGCAGATAACCTGGAATGTGATTTGATTTATAATACTGGTAGACAAATTTGAACATTTTTATACGATTTTAAATATCTTGGAGATATCTAGGATCGAATCCCATGCATCCCTCAATGTGGGACTGTGTCTATGCGCAAAATGTTTTCTTTGGGCAACCTATATAGAAATTGAAGCATGTTACGTATTGCATTTTAACAAGAAGTCAATAGTTGAATATGTTGGAGATATTTTTAAGCTCAACTTATACTTGCTCATTCAGTGTTTCACTGCAAAGGAATATAATTTATGATGCAACTCTTTTTCTTTTTCTTTTTTTTCAGCTCAAGAGCCTTTAAGAAAAACTGCTTGGAAGCTTTCCAAACCTCTAATTCGAGATGGAAGAATTTATACTTGCTCAGGGAGGAACTTTTATGCATTTGAAAGTAATGGTTCCATTGCATGGACCATGAATCTTAATTATATATGCAATCATGATATAGCTCCAGTTCATGGTGGCTCAAGAAAGGTGAGAGCTCTGCCTTGTTTATTTTTCTTATATCAATATATAAATTTATTTTCCTCGAGATTTTTGTATTAATGTAGCTTTGAATTACTTGAAATTGGTTAGTTGATATATATATATATATATATATTTCCTTGAGCGACTGAAATTGCATCAGTAGAGCTATTAGAAAAATTACTCCCAGATTAGTGACTGCATGAAATTAAGTCTTGGAAAATCGGTTTGCTGTTGCATTAATATCTGTTAATACTGTAATGAACAATGTCATAATGTTCGGATGTAGCAGATATAAGATTGAGATGCATTACAATGAGAGTTTCTGCCTTGTGATGATTGGATGATAGGTTAAGGACATAAAGTACTCGTTCAGTGATTGAAATATTGCACTGCAGAATTCCTCTGGATTTTAGAATAGAGCACTTCATTGATAATAAGAATTGACTATTTGACCTGTCCCAATCATATAACACAATTTCTTTTTGGGTCGGTAAATCGGCCAAAAAAAATAGTATTAGCAGGAACTGGCTTTACAGAGCACTGCAGCATTGCAATACAACACAACATAATGAACCTATTGTTTGATAGTGTCAAATGGTGGAATAGGATTACACACGATTAAAATGATGTTAATCCAACATTCCCAACCAAAATGTTTATCAAGACAAATTTCGTGCTCCTCATGGCATATATATATATATCTGTCTTACACTGGCCAAAAGTAGACTGTTACTCCAATATATTTTCCTAATGTGTTACCCTGTTATATCCTTAACTTCGAGCAACTAATCTTGTCTGATGAGATATGGCTAAAAGAGATTTGATTGAGCATGACATGTGATAAAGAAACCTTTAATGTCATCAAGTTCTCACATTTGCATTGGCTTATCATGAATAGTTTCATATAACAGCGTTGTGCATTTTCACATTGTCTGTTTAGGTTTGTTTTTTTCATTTTCCTTGCAAATATTTTGTCTCGCATTTTACACTTTGCAACCTTCTGTGTTCATTGATTTGCGCCAGGCCAATTATTGGCAGATATATTTGGTTGCAGAAAACAGAGTGCTGAAAATCAATCCTTTAAATATTGGAACCTCTAACACTGCTGCAGAAGTTTTCTTCGGTCCAGAACCGGGTGAAATTATTGGGATCTCAGTAAGCACATTAAGTTCGTCTATATTTATCAATGTTAAAAATAGGGGACTCTTTGCATATAGGTTGCAAGGACAAATGCTTTGGAGTGGTGGCCCCTTGCTTTATCAGTCTGGCTATCGTCAAGGGTGTCGGAAAAATATTACGGATTGTTATTTTTCTTCAATCCCTGTGATTGATCTGTGTGAAGCTAGTCTTTATGTAAGGTTTTCTCTTCCCTTTATTATCTTCCTTTCTTATCCATTTTCCGGTACTCTATGGTCTATGCATTTTTGTTGAAACTGGAATAAGTTCAGTTTACTTCTTAATATTCAAAGTCACAACTGTTTTTTATTTATGAAATGATTTTCCAAGGCAGTCTGTTTTAGGAGCAAGCCAGAACTGATGTAGTTTTTGGATCACTTTGCAAAATAATTTTTAGAGCGACTTTGTTTTTACACTACTGCAGTAAGATTTTCTTTGAAAAGCTACATCCAAAGCCTGTCACTGCATTCGCCACATCAAATATGTCTTCAGGTTTTTCAACTGCAAGTTTGTTTTTTCTTTCTTTTTTTTTTCTGCTTTCATTTTTAAAAAGGTTAAGTGGCCCGCAAGAATGGACTCTCTTTTTTATATGTTGAACATGGATTTTAATCTATATTTTTGTACTTGCAGATTTCAAATACCGAAGGAGAACTCTATGCGATGCCATTCCAGAGTCCTCATTTTAAATGGATTCAAGATTTTAGTTCATTCGACAAGATTTTCGTTGTTACTCCTGGAAATAATGGCCATTTGTATGTTACTGTACCAATTAGGGCTACTATACTGGCGCTTGATGTTTTTACCGGAACTGTTCTGTGGCAAAGAAGTATCGGGCCATTAAGTACAACAGATGTTGCACCAGTCATTGATTCTAATGGTAAATATCTCTGCAAATTAAGCACCATTAATAAAGCTAATGGTTTAGGGAATATTTAAATTTATTCAAAATGAGATGGCATTCTGGGCACATCAGGAAATATCACAAAGCATGTTGCCATGATAAAATATGAAAGAAAACTTTTAATAATATATTCCAGTGAGAGAAAACACTATATTTTGGTGTGGTGAAACATGGAATTATTCAAACAACTGGCTTTTTTTTCAATTTTAAGTAAGGTAGCTTTTGGAATTGCACATTATTTAATGAGGTTGCATATGCTTAATGAAAGGTTGTCTAAGAGTCAATTTTTAAGAATTCGAACAACTTTGTTGACGTACTTACTAACTTTTCAATTACTACAATCTATGTAACAGGCTGGATATCTATCGGTTCATTGGATGGGTTCCTGTACTCATTTTCACCAACTGGGACGTTGAAAAAATTCCGAAAAGCAGCCGTACTGGATTCTGTGGTCCAAGTTAGTCCACTTCTTGATTGCTCTGGCTATGCAGTTTATATTTCTCAAACTGAGATGGAGGGAAAGATTAGCCACACAATTGGGGAATACACTTACGTATCGGCAATGAAACCAAGAAAGGTAGTCTTCACCATGCTTGTTCCATCAACAGGGTTCATCTATTGGTCTGAAAGCTATCCTGGTAATTCTGATTTTAGCAATCACTGTCTTTGTTTTTAGCTTCACCATTTTAATATTTTCTGTCCCCGGACATTTTATATCTTAACCTATTCTCATCATTTCCAGTGGTTGATGGCACCAGGTGAATTTTGGTCCTCATTGTCTAAGAGTGATCTGCAGCATTTTGTAGTTGATGAGAGCATCCTTCTTGCTTTCATTACTGCTTCAAGTGAGATTTCAGAGCAAACCATTCGTTCTTGTGATGATGTGTTTATGGATTCATTGTATTACTTTTTGCCGCTTGAAAACTGTATTCCATGTAAATTTCGTCTAGCTAGAAAACTCGTGCCGATTTTTTTCCATAGCTGGATGATTTTAGATGCCCCATTTATATGTAAATAAGGCAATGATGACGATGATGATGATAATGGATGATTTTAATACTTATATGTCATTAAATTTAAATATTACCCTATTAATAATTAGATGGCCCAAAATCATATTATTGCTGAATGTTTTACCATTTTGTTGAGTTCTTCTACCCTTGCTTTCCAAGCCATGTTGTGCAGACTCTGCACTATTGTGGACCCTGAACTCTATTCAACATTTTATATCAGGGACTTGTGGTTCTATTACATGTTTAGGGAGTTTTAAAAGGATGACTCTTTATTACCCTTCTGTGGATAATTTCTCTCATCATTTTTACGTTTCTTCATTTTTTAGCTGTATTGCCATTGAATTTATGGTCTCCGTTTTCCCATTTATGCAGAGATTGGCAATCCATTTCCATGCCGTAGCACACGTAATGATCTCATAACTGTCCCAACAATTTCCTTACTTCATAATGTGCCTTGCTTTATAGTAATTTTTGTTAGTTATCAGGTCAGAAGCTCACATCCAGCTGCTCCCAGGCAATGGTCAAGCATGTCAGCATCTATACAGGTGACTTTGTGTTCGGTTGAGTGATATGAGTAGGCATTCAAGAAAAGATATAGATATATCTATATATTATATGGATAATGCCTAGAATCTTTTGAATTGTATAATTCCTGCTACTTCTTTTCAGGTAATGAAAAGGCAATTCTGTTGTTCCTGCTATTTGAAACTGTAATTTTGATAGTTCTAGCTGCACTCGTACGATTCTGCTGTATATTTTGGAGGAAAAAGAAGCTCCAAGGTCAACACCTCGGGAAGTTCCTGGAAAAGCGAGTAAGTTTGATTTTGCATTTCCATGATTTTGTATAACAAAAAAACTTCCACCATGACAATTAAAATACATTGGAGCAAGTTTTCTCATGAAAATAAATTCTATGCTGCCAAACACATTTTTTCTTCCATACTGCCCTGAGGACTCTGAGTACACTTCTTACTTTGTTTTTCTTTTCCATTTCAGCATTCTCTTAGGCTCCAAAAGAAAGCATTTGATAAGACAATAATGGATCTACAGCAAAAGGCTTCAGCGGAAGCAGGGGCTAGTGAAGTGCTTGAAAAACTAAGCGATTTGGTAAGAGAAAGGGAAGGCATAGAGAGGAAGCTCTCAACAACCTATAGTTTGGGAAGGGATAGAACCGGCTCACACTCAAACTCTCTCCTTCCACTGCATGATGGTAAAACAAAGAGCTTTTCTTTTCGAGGTACACAGGAAGAGAGTGTTACCATCTTCCACACGTTAAGTGATACTTCTTCAGGAGACAGCAGCAGCGAAAACAAGGCTGACCAGAATCTCCACGAAGATAAGGAGTCAGCTGTCAAAGCAAAGGCAAAGGCAAAGGCAAAGGCACCTATTGAACTAAGGAGTTCTAGTGATGGTGAGAATTACGAAGAAGCCCATCCGGGGAGTCCTTCAGAGTCAGCATCGAGCTCAAAAGGATTCGTGAACCCCTCATTCATGAAGCATGAATCCGATGTGCCAGGGGAGGTGAAGGAAACTGTGGAGGATGGCAGTAGGAGCATAAGGAAGAGGACATTGTCTTCGAGTAACTAGAAGCTCAAATGCATTTTGTAAATCTTAATTGTCCTGTGTTTGCACTTCTGGTTGATGACTGATGAAGTTGGTTGTTAATACACTTTTATTTGTGAGTACTTATGTGTTGTTAATGCAGTTGTTACAAGCTTTACATTCACAATGTCTTCTCACACTAGCAAGTAGTTTTGATACTTTCTGTATTCATTTCTCAACATGAAACTAGTGTATTATCTATTATGTCCTTTGCCATAAGGATTGTATTATTGCTCGGTTTTCATGTAGGACGTACATTGGTTATTATTTTTCACAAAGTGACTATTTTGAGTTTTGGACTCGTAAAGTCAAATTTGTTAACCAGAATCGGAAGTTTTTTTCATTTTACAAATGCCCACACAAAAGTCTTCTGAGCATGTCTGAAGCAATGGCAGGATATCTTCAACATATGATATATGCATAATTGCATATAGATACACAACTATATTTCTCAACCATGTCTTGTTTGTGCTTGTATCGCATATTTAAAGGATAGTGCATGAAAATGGAGAGAAAAAACCAACAATAATATTTCTTTAATGATTATTTATGGTGATTATATTGTCAAATCATATATTTTTAGTGATCTCGTGTTAATTTAAAAATCACATTTGTATCTTTATTTATGACACATTCAAAACGTGTTTATGAGAGACTTGTCCAGTTGACTTTAGATGAGTCAACTGCAATTAATTCATTGTGGGATGTGTTTTTGTATAAATAATGAGACTATAGGTGTGAATTTGTGAAGTGTGTACAAAATATAAATTCTCAATGATAGGTGGTGCACCTTCTCAACTATCATGTGACTTCTAATTGTTTATAAAAATACTGAATAATTAATATTGAAGTCTTAGGTAAAAATCCAAAGTTCCCCTTACACAAAAAAAATAAAAATAATAATAATAAAAGCATTTTGGTCACTCCTTGCAAAATTTATAAGAATGTAAGGCCATCTGGTATGAAAGACAATTAGAGAACTAACAATCAATTTTGTCAAAAAAAAAAAAAAAAAAAAAAAAAAAGAAGAAGAAGAAGAAGGTGGTGCTGAGCTAACTAATTAAGAGCCCCACACAAATAATATTTCTTTCCATTCAAATATAAAAAAAGTTTTAAAATTGAAGAAATATTTTGTTCCATTCAAATATAAAACATATTTATTTACTTATTTGTTGAAGAAAACACAAACAAACAAGTAAATTAATATGTTTTAATTTTTTTATTTAAAATATTAAATATCTATATAAATAAATAAATTAATAAAATAATAAAAATTATTTAATTCACAGACTAAACACACTATAGCTAACCAGCACATGGCAGCCGAAATAGCAATTGGTGCCCTAGAGACGGCTAGAATCTTGATGGACTCTAGGTAATGTTAATCGAACAACCAATCTTGACTCCGAGATTGAGTGCCATCCCCAAGTCAACAGAGAGACTACCCTGTACTTCGACATACTCGATAATAAATTATAAATAATATCTATAGGACTAGGAGATCTGTCTTTTCGATTCTAAGCTTCTGGTCCGCGAGCTTTTGCCTTCTCTCTCTCTCTCTCTACGCTGCAACTTGCCATTGGAGAATCTTTTCGTCAAGGTAAATTATATGCCTGAAACCCTAATTTCACTCTCCCTCTCTCTATAATTTCTCTCTTCCACGCAATTTATTTTCTTGGATTTTTTTTTTCTGGTGTTCTTGTCTCATTGGATAGCTCGGAAAATTGGGGAAATCAAAAACTCGGAATCATTATATTGATTTTCTGTATTTGGTCTTGTTTGAATAAAGTCTTTGTGATTTCACAGTGAAATCCTTGAGTTCAGTGTAAAATTGGTGGCAATTGCGGCGTGCAAATAATTATTGTAAAACCCTAATCAATGGGGTCAATTGCTCGGTGCAATGTTAAAAGCTTGTACTAACAAGGTCGCCACTTTGTGAAATTTCATTAAATCCCTAATCTTACTCGCGGATATAACTGTTAGTTGTTGTATCAGTAATCCTATTTAACTCATAGTAGCACATTATGTGTTTATAGATGGTTTAGATATGTAATTCAACACTGTTTTATTACTTTAATTAGTGTTTTTTTAAAAAATAATAATTTGAAGTCACAGTTCAGCTGGTTGATTCATCTATTATCATCAGTTTGGGCCTCAAAAAGAATGAAACACAGTAGATCATACCCAACATATCTATTAGTAGTCACTCCATAATATTAACCTTTGAAATTTATTAGAGCCCATGTTAGAAGCTTTGATTTTAGGGGCCATGGTGAAGAAAAACAAGGAAAAATTATTTGTTTGACTAGTTTCTGGTTTATTGAATTTTTCTTCATTTTTTTTATTATTTTAGATCCATATTTTTTTGTTAGTTAAGATCATATTTGAGTGTTAAAATCTCATGTTAATACGGATTGGTTGTTTTTAGTGAACCATGGATGAATATAATTTAGATGGTTTATTTGAATAAATTATGATTAATGTTTTAGAATTAGTTAAGTTTCTGGAATTTGTATTTTTGCATCTTGATTTAGTTCTTTAATTATATTGCATGTTCTTTGTATTAGGGTAACTATTTCGTTAATTTAGATGATTTACATTGGACTTCTAATTTTGATTCTTGAGTTTGATATTTGCCCTAATTTGAATTTCAAAATATGATAGCACAGTTTTATTGTTTTAGTCTAAATATTTATTGTTTTATTATTCCAAAATACAAATTAGGAATGGCAATGTATTCCAAAATATTAATAAATATTAGGGATGAAAATAATAAAACAATGAATTCAAAATAATAAAATAGGTTTTGCTAGAATTCATTGTTTTATTATTTTCATAAACTTTGGGCTTTGATTGAATGTCTTGGTTTGTTGTTTTAAGCATGATTGATTTCTGGAGTTGCATGATTTATTTAGTTTAGGGTTTTTATAATTAGTGCTCTCTTGTGTCATATCTAGTGTCTTGGATAGTCTCTAGTGCATGGTATGGTTATAATATTTTTATTTTTCTTCTTTGTTTTTATTTTTGGCTTCATCAATTTTAATTTGTTTCTGAACTTGGCTTTTAATGGAACTGCTTGCATCAAGGTACGTGGTATGCCTCTTTTCCCTTTTGACTTTGCATACTTGGTTGGATGTTAAGGGGCCATTGCTTAGTGCATTGGTAAAATGCTAGGGTTGTCAAGTCTGAGGACTCAGGTTCGAGTTTAGGGCTGCATCCAGTATTGGGGACCATATTGCATAATGACCCAAAATGACCCTATGCTTGGTCGGATTTATATGTTGCATATGATCATTTCAACCTTACACTATGTGCTTCAATTTATAGATATATTTTTTTGTTTGAAATATGATCGCTGTACCTGTTATCCCTAGAAGGCACATTGGACTTGGGTGATGAGTAGGCCCACCTTTGGTGGCACGTGGTGGGCGCCTTTCTGTTCTCATACTGTAATCCTCGATCTTGGTTCTTAAGTGATGATTGCACTAGCCTTGTCCGAGGAGTCGTAATGGGCAAAATTGACTCGGGAGACCTCCAAATCAAAATCTGCAGCATCACAGTTCTGGAGCACAACACTCAGTCTGGTAGATGTTCATAGGTTGCCTGTACTGAATGGACTGTATAGACTATAGACTGGTCCGCTCAATACAATCAATAAATTTTGTTTTTCTCCAGGTTCCTCATTTGTGTGCTTCTGGTACCTTAGGCTGATAGAAAAGAGAAAAAAGACAGAAGAATAAGGGAAAGAGATGAGGAAATAGAGAAGAGAGAAGGATTGTGAGAAACAGAGAACATAGAGTGAACTCAGACTGGATTAGTCTTTAAATTTTATTACTACAGAAAGGTAAAATTACAAGGATGACCTTAGTCCACAATAGCTCTTGTTAATTCACAGCCGTACTTTTTAACCTTTCTACCTTTCCATTCATATGAATATGCTATGATATGCCCACCTCTTTAACATTTTCATTTTCTTCCCGGGCAATAATAGTCAATGGTTATTGGTTTTCTAGGTGAAGAGCTCTTGGAAACGAGGTTCTGGTGTGACCTCTAATTTCATAATAAAGAAATGAAGACATTATTATATTGTTGCTTCTTGCTAGTACTAAATAACATTATTAAGCAAGTCATAGGCTTGTTTGGTCATTGAGCTAGAAGCCTAGAACTCATTACTGTGTTTTGATTCATTGTTATTCATATTATCATGTTTTTTAGACAATTATTATTCATATTATCATGTTTTGAGATTCATTGTTATATATATTATCATGTTTTTTGATTGTATCTCGTATGTATTTTACCTCGTGTATTATCTCATGGATGAATGTATTTATTTTTTTGTTGGGAAAGTTGTATTATTTTTATCGAATAATAAGTGAATTTCCAAAGATTCTCAAATTCTCATTTAGAGTGTTGTTCAATAGTGATGCGTCCCTTGATTATGTGTACACTAACTAGGGTTCATCTCATGCAGAGTAGTTTTCGGTCTGATTTGTTCCTCATCACAAGGAAGTAGCCTTTAATTTGAATATGGAAACTGAGGAGTTGATAGGCTTGCCTGCTTCGAGCAGTTCCGACAGCGAGAAAAATGACATTCATAATTCAAATTCTGAGCCTGAAATGGATTCTCAATGTAGTAATTCAGAGATCAAAGAAGATGAGCTAAACGGGGAGATCTTGGATAATAGGGGTGAAATTGGAAATAAAGATCGTCAACTTTTGCTGGCTGCTGACATTGATGAGGACTTGGTTGACAATCCATCCATCTTGCAAGTTAGTGTTGAATTGACCGAAACTGTTGCAGTTTCAGAAAAGATTAATTGCCTAAACACTAAGATTTGTACTGAGAATGGTTTCATAGCTGTTCGAGGTGGAAGTCCCATTAGCAATCATGAGAAAGATGTCAGTTGTATCCTTTTTTCATTTTCTTTCATACTTTTAACTTGGTACTCACAATGCAATTCAGAAATAGAATTCTAACTACTTTCTCAAAAAATTCCATATTTAAGAGTAAGAACTGATCCTCCCCATGTGTGCGTCTACAGAAATAATTATCTGCCTGCTGTTTAATAATTAGTTCGCTGATCTCTTGTTTTCCATAATTTGACATGATAGCCATATCTGGTGTTAAGAGAGCCAGAGTGGCAGTTGATGAACAACCTTCAGTGCATGTCATGTATAATTCTTTAACAAGGTATAAACAGCAATATTGTTTTCATAAAATAAAGTTGCATGTTTTTAGTTGATATTTTAAGATGTTGTACACTTCCTAATGGAGGACTTCCTCAGAAGCAATTTGCTGGCTGTCTAAACTTTAAGTGGGTTATGTTTAACAGAGACAGTAAGCGGAAACTTGGGGAACTACTACAGCTGTGGTCAGAATGGCATGCTCAACATTGTTCTGCATCTCATGTAAGCCTTGTTCATCTGTGAAAAGCAAATTTGTGGCTTCTGTATGTTTCTGTTAACATCTGTATGGTGTCCAGCTTTTCTTTTTTTCAAAATGCTGTCATTGCCCAATGTTGGTACCACCACTATGGGCTGCTGGGATGGACTCTTTGCTGTTTGACTTTTGAAAATTTGTACCTGTATTACCTAGATTGTGTAATCATTTTATTTCCCTCTTCATTTACCTATTAGTTATACTTCATTACAATTATTTGGTGGAATTCTGAATTATATGCTTAAATCTGTGAAGGATTCAAATGAAGTGTTAGAATCTGGTGAAGAGACATATTTTCCCGCACTCCATGTTGGTCTGGATAAGCCTTCTGCAGTGGTATGTTTCTTTTTCAGTGCCTCTAGTGCACGCATTCTGTTGTTGGTTAAGAATTAACGTGATATCTTCTTTGAGGGTAATTGAAGTTAGTTTTGTACATTTAGTGCCCACTTCCCTTGATTACTATGTGATTTTTTTTTCCCTTGATTACTATGTGATGTTTAATTTATTATTATTTTTATTATTAGGAATTTTTTGAAACTAGAGGGGTGTCCCTACCCTTTTGGGTGGGATTATTCCCCCCTGAACATTTGGTAGGCCCAATGTTGCATGCCTATTTTAATCCAGGGAGAAACCCATTGGTTGATCTCAAGGATTGATGGGTAAGTGACCATCAGTTCTACCATCTTTGGTTTCTGTGTTGTTTCTTATCAAAAAAAATAAAATTTCTGTACCTATTGTGCTAATTTATTTTCATCATAGGGTATGAGGTGATTTATAAGCACTATCAACTCTCTAACAACAAAATGGCTTTACATATTTGATAACTTCAAACAAATGCATTGGTTCATTTTATCTACTGACTGCAGAAGTCAGTAGATAAAAATATATATATATATATATATATACAGTAGATAAAAATATATATATATATATATATATATATATATATATATATATATATATATTCATTAAACACATTTGTTAATCTCAAAAGACTGAAGTGCACAATTCACTTTAATGGGAGTAACAAGTATCAACCCAACTGACTGGGAAGGATTGTCTTTGTTTCAATCACAGCTTATGATATTTTTAGTCAATATCACAATTGCTCTTAGATGAGCAAAACAAATTAATTAACATCGACTAAGAATGTCTGTTTGTCATCACTTTATTATAAAGGTTGTGGTAATATCAAATATGTGCTTATTGGCAAACTTCCATTTCACATCAAGCAAGATATTTTCACCCTTTCCTTCTCACTTTTAACCAGAGTTCCATTTTCCTCTTGAGCATTACAAGATGTTGAACCTTGTTGGTGATGTTAAGTATAGCATTTTATGGATTTTACTTCTCCAGTGAGTTCTTTTCATGGGCATATTCTTGTTAAGATGCCAAAAAGTTTGCTATACGGTCAAATATCTAATAATCAATAGTAATTTGAGACACTAAATTTTTAAAAATAAATAGAATCATCTAGTATCATATTATTGTAAGTAGTGTATATTCAAAGGCAAAAGGAAACCAAAAATGAAATATTTCTTTATATTAATTTATTGGCTGGAGCCTCGTGCATTGGGCTGGCCCTTATTACATTATTGGCTTAAATTTGGCGAGACATGCAAAATCATCTTACAAGCTATTAACCAGTGTGGTTCTTGTCGAGGGTGCCGCAATGGCTGAACTGGATATTGACTGACCTTTCACATTTTTTGCCCAAAGTGGGTGCCCTCAAACGTAAAACTTGTGTTCTTCTGGTCGGCAGCATGAGCTTTTTCCACTGCAAACAATGGCCCTGCAAGTGCAAACCACCTTAGACTATTTAATTTGTTGAGAATTGCTCCAAACATGTCAGAAATCAGAGAATATTAAATTTTATGCTATGTGATTGTTTATATTTTTGTATATGTTTTCATTCTAATAATCAATAGCATAATATGTAGATATATATATTCAAAAAAAGTATTAGTTAACTACCATCCATAGTTTCATCAAAAGAATATTGACTTATCAAATATTTTATTATTAGAGGGTCATCTGTAGGTTGTTTCTTGGATATGATTATAATTTTAAATGTGATGATAAAATTTTAAATGAATATTTATATTTATGTCAAGATCAAAACAGCTTCCTAACTAGATTATATTGACAAAATGTTGCAAATTTGATGACTGGAGTAAAAATGATGCTGAAAACTTGACTTTACGGGAGGTCAGTGTTATGTCCAAGTTGATAGCAGAGGTTTCAGATGTCTAAAATATATATTTTAACAGTAATTAATACGTAGCATGAGTGATTTACTTCTGCTTTGTGAATCATGTTCTAATTTTGCTTAAGCATTTTTCTTTGGCAAACTCTCTGGCTCACATTCTCTTTCAAGGTTTTGTAATGTTGGAGAATGGTTCTACCATTTCAATGGATGACAAGCTAGCATTTTTTCCTTTATAACGTTTCATTTTAAAGTCAATTTATCTTCCACTATTTTTTTTCCCCCCTTCTCAAATTAATGTGGGCACTGGGAGTGTAACTCAACTCACTTGGTCGTACTACAACTCCCTATAAGATAACAAATGAGGGAAAAAGAAAGGAAAGAAAAAATTGGTTGCTTAGATTCGTTGCCACTCTACCAGGATAGGGAAAAAATTCTATTAGTTAAACACTTCTACTTCCTGATACTAAAATTTTATTTTATTTTATTTTATTATTTTTTAATATTTCTCTTAAAGTTCCGGTCATGAAGACAACTTGAAAGTTGTTTGCAAGTTTCCCATGCAGTGTAAGTTGTGTAGAACTTGTCTTATCAAGTACCTTTTTATGTGTAGTCTTTCTGGATGGACAATCAAACGAGGAACCTGCAGAGCAAGGAGTTTGTTCCGTTGGAGAGTAACTCTGTCCCTCTTTATGATCGTGGATACTCATTGGAAGGGTACAATTTTGTAATTTTTGTTTATGAATGTGTACACTTTTTAATGATCCATTACTTGATGCTTGCTTCGAAAAAAATAAGCTGTGATTTTCACCTTTATGGGTAAGAATGTTCCTTTTTAATCTGAAGACACTTGGAGATGTAACTGATTAGTTAAAAGTTACAATTTATTTTTTTCAAACCTTTTAGGCAAAAGGTATTAGAAAGAATATCAAGTAGTTTATGTGCTAAGCATCCTATGGAGGTGGAATTTGAGCTTTAGTGATGTAGGGCTGCAAAAGATTCAAGCAGATTACAGGGAGCGGCTCTGTCAGCAGGGTGCGCGATGCAGCGGACCATATCTATGTGCTTGCGGTGGTCTTGCCCATGGTGTCAATTGTCTTTACAACTGAACATTCAGGAATGTGGCCAAAGAATTCTAGGGATCTAAAGAGATCAATCAAAGTGCTATCGGCTGTCCAAACTATTGCCAATTGCCAATAGTCCTTGAAAGGATAGACATCTGGAACTTGCAGATCCATTTCCTAGAATTTGACCGACCGAGTTGTTCTTATTTTTTGTAGTTTATAGAAGTCTTGATTTATATTAGGAAAGGTTGGGCTGCTTTTTAAAAAAAAAATCAATTTGATATTTCAAATTCTTGGGGCTTATTTTTTATTTTTGTGGGTTTCAGTAGAAAACTAGTAAATTTTGTATATTGTCACTTTTTTAAGGTAAATACAACACCCCCCCCCCCCCCCCCCCAAAAAAAAAAAAAAATCCACTATTGGGGTTCGAAACCTCACCTTTTATTTCACTTGGACCGATGGTCTGTGGTTAGTGTATTTATTTTGACCTTTGCTGCTGTTTAATTTTTCTTGAACCTCAGTAAGAGAACAGCATTTTTTAGAATTAATGAATTTTTAGAATTTCCTTTCCTTTATTCCTTGTGAATTCAGGGAAACCCTTGATTGATTTTAGGTCTCGCTTGATGGCTTTGGCCTGTGGCCCTCCACATGCCCCCCTTTGCCCAGGTTAGTAGAAGTGCCTCATCATTGCGTGCCTGCCTTTCAGAGGAAGAAGCTCTTTGAAGAGTTCAAGCTAAGGACCTTTTGATATAATAACCATAAAATGTTGAACATTCCTTGACCAATAATTGATGGTTTTTTTAATTTATTTTTTTAATACTAATAAAAAAAACAAACAACAATGACAACAAAGCCTTTTCCCAATTATTTGGGGTCGGCTACATGAATCCCATGTTTCCAAATTGACAGTACGTCCACAGCCAAGTCTTAGAATTGGCGTTACGTCTTACAGCCATCTTGTTCATGTAGCTCACTGCCTTATGTGGTCTGTTCTTAAATGTATGTGTTAAATGCCGCTCTGTTGGGATTTGAGGGACTTCTGTAAAATGGTCGATCTGGCCAATTCTAGTAGTCTAAGGATATCCTCTATTGGCTCACAGTCTGTTGAAAAGAAACCCTTAAAAATGACCGCCTTAAATGTACATCTAGTTGATCATTCATTGTTGACATGTTTCATGGCTCGTTTGTTGTCTCACAAGAATCCAGAGTCCCAGCTAATAATTTGCTACTTCATTGGTCGTTATAGTTCTCTTTCTTCTTTTCATGTGGTAATTAATAATTTAATTTATAATTTTCATGTAGTTCAAATTTTCAAGTCAAGCATTTTTTCTACCTCTGGACCATATTCATGTTGTTTTAATTGTCTAACATGTAATTTAATTTGTTGCATGCTGTTTGTTATGTTATAGAGGTTTGGAAATAGTAGATGCTTCCCGTTGTTTCAATTGTGGTTCTTACAACCATTCAATGAAGGAATGCCCAAAGCCTCGTAATAATGTTGCTGTCAATAGTGCTCGCAAACAACACAAGTCTAGACGCAATCAGAGTGCCAGTTCCCGCAACCCAACTCGATATTATCAAAGTTCTCCTGGGGGAAAGTATGATGGCTTAAGGCCAGGTGTCCTTGGTGCAGAAACACGGCAACTCTTGGGTCTTGGGGTAATATAATTCATCCTTTCGCATGGAAAAAGGGTTGGTTCTTTTTTATATGTGTTTTTGTTTATGGGTCAATTGTGTGACAAAAATGCCAATATTAAATTGCATTATGTTAAGTTCCTTTCCGACTATCCGGGTCATACCGGTCTTGACACATATTTCATTCTCAGTACTTGCATCACATCCTATCATTTTTGGCATTAATCTGTCAAATATTTTGAAGAGTAAATGCATCACTGTTACCAACAGGCCAGTGGCCTAGCGGTATCAGACTCCTACTTTCCAAAGGGAGGTCAGGGGTTCTAGCCTCAGTGGAGGCATGTGTGTGTGAGTACCAACTAAGAAAAAATAAAAATAAAAATAAACAAAAATAAAAATAAAAATTGCGTCACTGTTATTGGTTATCTCAATTGGCCTTTTAAAGTATTGACATTATTTTTTATGACTCGAATTGGGGCTAAAACGTTGTTTCAGTCCTCATAAAGTCTAGAAATGCTTCCTTAAAACATCTTTAAATAATTATATAAATATATATTTTTTAATGGTTTATGTTCCATATCATATGAGTAAAGTTGGGATTGTATAACATATATGCTTTTATTAGAAACTTAGAATTAATACGCTTCGGTTAAGGATGAGTTCAAGGTGATCATCGTCAGTCCTGGGACATTGAGATGGATGGCTGTAAGAATAATCCAATATGTATTTCGTATGGATTGACTGTTTTAGTGTTGTACACAGAGATGAAAGGAACGTGAATAGTTTGAGCCTTGGAGAAAATATTTAACCTTAAGGCTTCGTTTGCTTGGATGTAAAATATTTTTCAGAAAATATTTTTTTATTTTCTGGTGTTTGGTTGTCGTAACATATTTACGAAGAAAAAAACTATTAAAACTTAACAAAAATAACTTACCCGTCAATTTTCGGCAAGTTATTTTACACGCCTTCTCGATAGACTCGGTCTCAACCTCGACTTATATCTTCGCCAAACACCGAAAAAGCAAAAATAAAGAAAATATATTACCTAAAAACGAAAAATCTTTTACGAAAAAAATATTTTACGTAGAAACAAATGGAGCCTAACTGTGAATGAAAAATTTCATCTCTAATTATGATGGGGAGTTTCCACATTGACCAAAGAAGCCCATTAGATGTCATAAAGAGTAGTAACCTTATTACGTCACTATGAAATAGTGACTATGAGTTCATAAATGATCTGTTCACAGTTATAGATATTCTAAATAGAGAACTGCAACCATTGAGGCCTATTGAGGATAGGTTTCTGCATCATGACTTCATTTTGAGTTTCATCACTGTAAAGCTTGAAGTACCCGTCTCCTTTTTGATTTGAGATTGACAGGCGATAATATCCTCCAATCCATCATTCTGTTATCTAGTTTTGATTGCTAGTCAACTCCTCTCTTCTTTTTTTTCCACTTCAGAATAGCAATAACATAGGAATTTTATGTATGGTAATATATGTAATGCTTTAACTACCTAAGTTATAGAATTGTGGCTTCTTGTTTCAAATTCCTTATATTTTTTCCCTTTCCTTTTTGGTGGTGAACTACAGGAGCTGGATCCACCGCCTTGGCTTAACAGAATGCGAGAAATAGGATATCCTCCAGGATATATAGGTAACTGAAATATTTTCTTATATTTAGTAATGAACTAAATGTTTTGTTCCGAGTAATCAAAGTATGTTTGTTTCTAATTTATTTTTTATTTTTGAAATTGCATTACTTTGGTTGTGGAATGCAAATCCTAGTGATTAAATTCAGCCCTGTATATTTTATAGAGTATGTGTTGGCGCTTTGTTTCCTTGTCACATCTACCTGCACACTTAGGCTGTATGGGAACCCGGAAAATTATTTGTTGCCCCCCATTTTACTTTCCTTGGATAGGTCAAGGACTCATGGCCAACCTTAAGGCCTGTTTGGTTACTTCAGTTTTTTGACAAGATCTCAAAAAATAGGAAACTTTTTTCAATGAACTATAAAAGACTCTTATCTGAAAACAGTCTTTTTTTTAATTGAGTTTTCAGAGAACAATTTTCAGAAAACTGACAACCAGACGGAAAATTGTTCTCAGAAAACTAAACCAAACAGACCCTTAATTATTCAAAATTTTGGAAAGATTTTTTGTGATCTTTCCTGGCATGTTGTGGCTCATATAGGGTCAATTTATAAGTTGAAGAACCATGTGTTCTCCATTATTTATATAGATTGTTTAAGCAGGAAGAAAGAGCATCTAGATTTACGATTGACAGTCATTTTCGTTAGTCAAATCTAACCTTAAATGAACTGGTTAAGCACAATTACACAGATGTAATTGTGTGTTGCACTTGAGATTGGGTAGGCTCACCATTTTCTCTCTAGCTTGAAGGGACAACAATAGTAGCAGAGCAATTCCTTTTGTTTGGGATGTCGGACAAGCATCAAAGAGGCTAGAATTGTAAATAAATCCGTATTTACTGCGGAGACAACAGTATAGTTGGTAAAATTGGCAAATGGATTCAAGCTTGTCAATAATCAGGATACTGTGTGAGGTTGATGAGAGGTCTTTAGGATGAGATGTCGTATGAGATAAAAAATCGTGTATAATTCTACAAATGAGAAACAACGTTCTTAGTATATTTGTACTTATTAAAAAAACATTCCTAGTATATTTGTGTATCTTGAGAATTCTTTAAAAACCACAATGAGCAATCCTAAAACTTGAAAACTTTCAAGCCTCGTACAAATAGAAATAACTATTAGCATAAAATATATTTAATTTACAATGATGGTATCTAACAATCTTAGGTGTAAAATGTTAAGACTAAAAGTTCATGAATTATGAATTATCATAATTCATGTGAGGAATTGGATGGCTTAAATTAGTTGTTAAAGCAGTTGAGAAGTTGAAGTATTAGAAGAGTAGTTGTAAATTGAGAAGAAATTTTGACATAATTGTCCTATTTAGGATATTAAGGTGGGTCTCGATTTTTGTTTTATAGTATTGCTTTTGCGTCAAACCCCAACTTACAAAAATGCACACAAGAATTACATATAAATTGCAAAGTCCTACGGAAGAGGAATCCTTTTTGGAAGTTACCATAAGAGTAAGAATCCATTTTGAGGAAGTTATTTCACTTAGCAAGGTTGGGTCTCACCTTATCTTTACTTGCATGTGATCCTATCTACGACGTGGATGCTTTGCAAATGATATTAACACATTTTGTTATTTAACTCCTAGTATTTTAAATAATTCTGACTTGATCTACTATTCATCTCTTAGGGTTCCATTTGGATAAGGATTTGAAATGAATGGATTTATGTTAATCATTCAGGCCTGAGGCAAGGATGAATTAAAGTATTATAACATAAATCTAGAAATGGTAATTTAGGTTTGAGTTTTAACAGTGTGGATATAATTGATTTGAGAGCCATATATTTATGGATTTGAAATAACAAGGTGGAAGGAAATATTTGAAATCCATGCTTGGCAACAATTCTTACTACAGAATGATTGCAATAAAGTCTCTTTCTCCTACATTTAATCTAAATATCCATTTGAGTTTCGGGATCAAACTTCAATGAACAATTTTTTGTTTCAACTTAAATCCTCTCATTTCAAATCCATTTCCTTAGGTTTTGTAATATTTATATCTATAGCCGTCACTCTCAATTTTGCACTTCACCAGTATATATATTTTTGTGTTCTCTTAACATTTTCCTTGACATTTTTTAGATCCAGAAGAAGAAGACAAGCCTTCAGGGATTACAATATTTGGTGAGGAGGAAAGCAAGGAAGAAAAGGAGGATGGGGAAATCCTTGAGAAAGACTGTCCTGATCCACCTACAAAAATGAGTGTTGAATTTCCAGGAATAAATGCACCCATACCTGAAAATGCAGATGAAAGACGTTGGGCAGCTCGGCCTTCAAGTTCTGATCATTCTAGGAGTCGATCACAGCGCATAGTTAACCATTCATCAGAACCTATCAGCACAGGCTCGCGTACCGAGCAAAGGTTCTCAAGGGATTACAGATATGAAGGCCCCCCTGGCTGTGACCTAGGATTCAGCCCCGCCTTACCTAATCATTCACAGAGGTATGGTTATGATTCTAGTTACGCTTCCTACAGTCCAGGAGGTGATCTTCCAAGAAGCCCTAGTTTCGGAAGATCTCTGTCTGACAGAGATAGGAGAAGCCCTTTAGTCCATGATGGTTCTTCATACAATTCATTACCATACTCATCACCAAGTAGACTGCTTTCATCACATCGATATGGATCAGGCAGTTTTGACTATCGGGATGAAGACAGTCGGCATGAGGTGCACCACCGTCATAGAAGGTGAACGGCATTGATGAGATAAATCAGTTAAATTGTAAGTTGCAGATGGTCTATTCATAACCGACTAAATACATTAGATTTCTTCAGCACCAACAATTAGGGTGGTTTATATTCAAATATTAGACGATTGATGACTAGATTAGATGGGTTTGTGAAGTATCTTTGTATGTATAATTAGCTGATTATTGCACCATTTTAAGTCTTCTAACCGAATTTAGTCTTGATAAGATTCACAATTTTTGTTTTGTACTGTATAATAGACATTGTTTCCTATTGTTCTGTTCAGTGCCATTGATTGATGGACTTTGTCCCTTGGTTTGGTTTAAGCTGTGTAACATACAATGTATCCGTCAACCTATGAAGGACGGATACGGATACGGCGACACGGTAAATTTTTCAAAAATAGGACATGGACATGGCCCAATAAAATATTTTATATATATATATTTATTCAAAATCCACAATACAATAAATTTAATCTCACCGAAAAAATATTGCATTAAAAGAAATACTTTAATTTATCATCTAAGCAATTAAGAACCTAGCAAAGTTATTAACAAAATTAGACAAATAAGATCAAGAACATTTCTAGTATGTTTAACATTTTTCATTCATCTGTTGTTTTTTAAATTTTTCAAAATTTTACTTTTAAACATTTAAAACTACATTTGGTACCTTTTTTAAAAATAAAAAAAATTACAAAATATACCCGTCGTGCCCCGTACTTGTACTTCGCGTATCCCATCCGTGTCCAAAGAAAAAATAACTTCTGGACACTTAACCCGAGAGGGGTGTCAGTGCTTCATAGCTATCAACATGCATAAATGGGAAAATGTTCAACGTAGTTTTTTTTGTTTTTTTTTTTATTATCAATTGTTGGGATTTTTGATCATCGCCATAGTACTAGGTCTGCAAACGAATGAACATATCATCAACAGCTTCGGATTGCCAAGTTTAAAGTTTGGTTCAACCTTGTTTATTAAGTAAACGAACCGAGTTTGACTGCGTTTGATTTTGAACCTAATTATGCGTGTATGGGCTGGTGAATGGTCGGCTTGTTTGTGTTCTTTCGCAGAGTCATGGATACATTCATAAAAATAGACTTGTTTAGGTTTGTATGCTCGTGAACATAGACTTGGTTATCTTATAAGTTGCGAATGCATCAAAGTAATTCGAGTCTAGCTACATCTCACAATCCCGAGCTTTTTAGAATAATGACAAACTGAGCGTGAGCTCAAATTTTGGAACTCATCAAATTTTGGAACTAACACTTGGCTAGATTACCAAGGCAATGGTGAGATTGATAATTGTGTTTTCTTTAAAGAATTATAGAAATGCACATTATTATTATTATATATTTTTAAAATTTTTTGAATTAATTTCAGTGATACTTCCTTAAATTTGATCAATTTTCACCCTCAAATATTTTTTGAAAATAAGTATCACTTATATTATAAATTTTTGCTCCATTTTTCGCTCACACCCAACCGTTAATTGAATAGTTCTGACATAATATAAAATAACTTAAATACCCTTTTATTTTGTTAAAACAACTTTTTACCTAAAGGATATATTAAAAGACTAAAATACCCCTAATTTTTTTGTAAATTTACCAAATTATATATATATATACACACACACACACTCTGACAGTAATGTATATATACACACAAACAAACACACACACACACACACATATATATATATGAGTAATGCTATTGCTAGCGAGCTCTCCCATCTAAACCGTCAGATCCAAATGGCTTGAGATTAGGAATAAAACAAATGTTTTTTAATTTTTTTGGTCTCCCTTCTGTCTTTCCTCTCTCCTCAAGCTTTTCTTTTTTCTCTCTTGAAACTTTCAGACTCTTTTCTTTGCCACAAACTTTCTTTCTCTTTCTATCTCTGCAGGTTCTCTTTCTTTCTCTTTGTTAAACATCTTCCTAAGCCGGCCATTAAAAACGTAGAAATTGGGTAGTTTTTTTTATAGCCGACGGAGACCGGTGAAAGGAATGTTAGGAATTATGTCTCAAATTCCCATTATTATTAGTTTCTATTTTAGAGTGTAATTTTATGGTAATTTCTTATAGAGACGTGAATTGGGCTCTAAGAAATTGTAATCCTTGTCCACAACGGAATTGGGTATGTGACTCTATAAATAGACACTTAGACTATTGTTGAGAGTTATGAGTTGAGAGAGATGTAACCTCATGAGGGAGTACGATGATGGTAGAGGTGAGTTACGGGTTTGGTAGAGTGAACACTGATGGCGAGAGGGAGTCTCGTGGCGTACGCAGAGAACTCGGTCAAGAGTTTGTGTGCATGGTCTTGAAATTCTCTACTATTGTAATATCTCTACATATATAGTGAATCTTTTTTCATCCGTTGATGTGACCTTGATTTTGGGTGAACCACGTATATATCTCATGTTATGATTTGAATTATTGTTTTTCTCTCCCAACAACTGGTATCAGAGCCAAAGGTGAAGGAGACCCAGAAAACACAAGAAGTCTCAACATGTGCTACAACGGGCTTTAGTTGTAGGTGGAGTCAATCGGCTTGATTACATGGCATGGAGCTTGAGTAGTCAAGGTGAAGCCTTAGGGTTTAACTGATTAAGCAACGTATAATGAGGGGATAATCCGAGTTCTGCAATAAGATCGCGAAGATTGAAGTTGCAGAGAATTGTCCAGATTCAATTTCCATAAGAAGCGATGATTGACGTAATGGAATTTGAGTCAAGGTGGAGATTGCTAGGAATTATGTCTCAAATTCCCATTATTATTAGTTTCTATTTTAGAGTGTAATTTTATGGTAATTTCTTATAGAGAAGTGAATTGGGCTCTAAGAAATTGTAATTCTTGTCCACAAAGGAATTGGGTATGTAACTCTATAAAATAGACACTTAGGCTATTGTTGAGAGTTATGAGTTGAGAGAGATGTATCCTCATGAGGGAGTACGATGATGGTAGGGGTGAGTTACGGGTTTGGTAGAGTGAATGTGATACCCTTCGATTCTAGAGTCACGGGTGATCAAGTGCGAGCACAGATCCGAGGTATATCAGACAATTAATATGTAACCAAGCAAGAATAAAACTGAATTAAGAATAAAATAATAATGCGCTGAAAGAAACTAAAATGAAAATCCTCGAACCTTAAATAATAAATTAATATAATTTAAATCCGTACAACTCGGGAATCCACCTAGTGGACCCCTAATTCCAAAACTTTAAATAAATTTACAGAATTAAAATCCAAAACCAAAATAGAAAGGAAATCCTATGTAACCGGAAGAGTGAGTGTCTGTATCTGCATCAACACGATCAAACTCTAAGCCTGGTACTAGCGAATACCTGAAAAATAGAAGTGGGTCAAGCCCACATGCAAGTTCCAATCTACTACAATCCGTACATAAACCGGATACGCAGATACATCCTTGATAGCTCGGCAATATCTACAATAGTCCATATATATATATACACACTATATGATGCTCACTAACCTATAACATAGTTCAGCCTGGGTAGAAGGTGACATATAAAACATGTTTTTCAGCAGCCAGGTACCTAGACCTACCAGGGAACATTAGCTATATCTAGTTACTCAACCTTTGCAATATACGCACCCTAACCGTGATCAGGAGACTCAAGCTCGCATCACGGTACCATAAATATATATATAAATTCCTTCCTAAATGCAAAAAGATAAAACAAACATCCGTTATGTCGTTCAACTGTTTTAATTCACAGGACATGTACCCATGCAGGAGTTAACTATTTTAGTTAATCCATTCCGTATGTATGAAGGGGTAGGACTTAACTTTTTGATCTAATCCATCCCTGATGTGTCACCGTCCCATACCGGTACATATAATGCAAATGATCCACAAATGATGCACATTCATTAGAACATCAAACATATCCAGAAACCAGTATAATAGAAATCAGATATTATTTAAGATCCTATCATGCATCCAGTATATGATTAAACCATAAATCCTTCCTTTAAATTGTTAAAGTAATGATGACTTCTTATTCCTAGACTCCTACAAGACATAGAAAACAGTATTAAAGGAAACACGAGAAAAGGGGAAAAAACAGAAGAGAAGAGGGAGAAGAAAGATAACATGGAAAAAAATGTTGGGAGGAAATATTAGAGTTTGTGGAAAGGACAAAAAAGGAATTTGTTGGAGAGGATTTTTGTGATGAAAATTATTGGGAGAAAATAAGAAAAAAGTTTGAAAAACTGGAGAGGGAGATGCTAGCCTGCTTTAGTTTTGTTTGGATTAGAAGAAGAATAGGACGGGGAAGAGGAAAGGAAAAGTAGAGTGCACAATTAACCTGATTGGCCATCCTTGGATTCCGATGTTTGCATGCACACCTTGCCTTTGCTCATTGAAGACGAGAAAAATTGTAGCTGTAGACTTGTAGTCGCAGATCCCCCTCTTTGCAGGAGAATTAAGATTGTTCAGTATAAAGGGTTTTTAAAAAAAAAATCTATAAACTGACCTATTTTATAGAATTTTGAATTTATTTTGGGCCTAATCCCTCTTAAAAAGTGTTATTTTTGCTTTGTTTTGTTACTTTTTCAATATCAAATTCGAACTAACATTTGATGCTTGTGATGAAGGATTAAAATTTTGTTTCAGAATGTTATTTTGTTCAGTCCTGAAATGGAAACATTAACGTTTCAGAAATGCAGTAACAATGGTAAAAAAAATGGAAATGCTTGGAAACACCCGAAGTACATCTTATGAAACCCCAAAAGTATTCCCATACAAGTCCATTTAGTTCGTTAAAATAAAGCTAGCAACTAAAACTCCTACAACTCCTGTCGGCATGCAACCTATCAATTAAAATTACATGACGACCCTAACCATAGCATAAACCACCCTCTTAGAACTGAAACATGTCATTTATATCATTGGTATAAATTCCTAACACTTACCTTTATAGCAGTTCATTTAATTTGCTAGCCAACCAACGATTCCAGTTCTCCTTCCTTCTTGACAGTATTGAACATTCTTATTTTAAAATTTATGTTGTCCACTCCCATGACCTGAATCAATACATCTTAGGTCTTCAACATCCTCTGTACACCATTTAAGAACCCCCATGAAACTCCAAAATTACCCTTTTACCCCTGAAGTATCAAAAATCACCAGAAAGACCCCCGGAGGGGTTTCTGTTCAAAGGAGCCGGCTCCCCCCCATGGGAGCCGGCTCTTCATCTTCCAGAGCCGGCTCTCCCTCATGGAGAGCCGGCTCTACCTTCTTA